CTTTGCCAACATCTCAGACACTTATTCTCACGGCGTAGTTTTTCAAAATCGACAAAGAAGCGTTGACTTTGTGCTTCAATAGTAGGAATTGCATCAACTGCTTGCAATGGGGTTGACGATTGCTTAAACTCACTGATTACTACTGGTGACGATTGAAGCTCCAATGAACGTGAACGACTTAACATCAGAAGGCGAGCCCTCCGGAAAGGGACGCTATCAAGTCTATATGCTAATATCCAATCATTGTAAGGGGGCCTTAAGGTAGCACAATACAAGTCATATAACTCATCATCAGTAACGACACTACCTTGGAGCTTCAACCTAGATACGATCGACTCAACTTCTTGAAAAAAGTTGAGTAAAGAGACATCTGATCGATGAACTAATGTGTTCAACCGCTTACGCAATCGACTATTGTCACCAGCATCGTAATACAAAGTATGCAATTCCTTCTTCAAATCATCATACAACGACGAAACAGGAAGTAAGGATAGATCACGATCTTGTAACACATCTTTTACACTACTATCCAAACTGTAATAGAGAACGAAGTATGCCGTGGCAGACTTTTCATCAATAGCTGTCTGCTTCAGCAATCTAGTAATCTGAGCTAAATGCCCGGTTATAGTAGGGCCATCTCTGCTAACCTTCCATGGTTTCGCAGCCAGCCCATTGTTGACAATCTCCAACCGTGCCTCCTTCTTCTCATCCCTGTAACCACGACCACGACCACCATAGCCCTCATGCTGCGCTGACCTCTCCTGAAGTACTGGGGATGCAGCCTCGTGTGAGGTCTCTCTAGGGGAGGTCTCACGGGGGGGCGTGAACTGGGTGTTCGAGGGTGGAGTTAACTGAACTCCAGACTTCTTTCTTGCAGTGCGACCCATGATAGGATTCTCGGATGATTGTTGGTCAAGTTGTCAATGTATAACTCGTAGAACTCAATGCAGAGTAGGTTGAGGTGCAGCAGTATACAAAGCGTCAATGTGGGCCTTATGTTCGCTATGTGCTTACGTACACATCTATACTAAGTTGAGCAAGATAGCACAAGATAGCAAGAATAAGCTGCGACTAGTAAGTTGGTCAACACCGGGGACCCATCGATTATGGGGCGAGCGAGAAGTAAATTGCGTATCAAAGTCCGCAGTTCGATCCGGGCAAGCGACAATTCTCCGCCATTTTTACCCACAGGTTACTAATAATAATCGTATTCTACCTCACAATGGAGTCTGCAGAAGATACTTCCTCACCCGACCTCGACCGAAACGGGTCTTGTTGGGCTACAGCTAAAGTAGCACTCTTAGTATGATGGTGACGATTTAGAAGAGGAATCTTTAGGTTGACCGCACAGCCGAGAAACGGAAAGATATTCGTATCATATTCGGTTACGGCTCGATAATGTGGCGGCCAGCGCTTGACTATGTAAGTTGTGGGTTGGTAACAGTCAACGATAACATCATCAATTCTCAATTTCTACAATAATGAATATATTCTAGAAAATTACGAATTTAATAAGTAACTTTTCTTTCTCCTTACACGAAATTTCAATTCCACCAAACCTTGATGGCACTCTCGTTAGTAGTCGCCGATGGAAATCTTATTATTTCGTTGTGGAATGGAAACGGGTCCTCACTGCAGTCAGACGAGTGAAGCTCTCATACATGTACTGTACTATACTGTACATCTACTGTCCCGAAATGGCTAAATCTAGTGCTCGTTGTTCTCCCAAAAATTTTCGGAAAAACGGTTTATTTTCAGGTCGATTGTTTTCCCGCAAAAGCAAAAGGTTTCGTTCGACGTTTTTGGCAGTCCAGCGTTGATCACCGAGGAACAGTTGCCTACCCTGGAAGGTTCGATCTGATAATACGAGATGGATCTCTATTTCTGAGTCCTTCTAGAGTGGCGACACTACTGCGATGCAAGGACTTGCCTGAAGTTAGTGGTGTTGCTCACCCTGAGGAGGGAGTGTGGGGTATGGCTTACGTGTTGAAGGAAGACGGTTTAGAGAAAACCATGGAAGTAATGATCATGTTGTTACGGCTGATTTGACGTTATTTAATGTTACACACTGTGTTGTATGAGATTTGTGGAAAAAATGGTATGGAAAGAAATGGTAGCTTTTGTTCATGTTCGCTATACGTGAACCATCACTCAGCGCCGATGTGTAAATTCATCACTGACACTCAGGTGGTCGCTTCCATTTCAAATGTCGTTTTAAGATTGCTATCTTGTCGTATTATCGGTATTTATCCTCCTGAATTTTGATTACATGCTATCGTACCTATTTTGAATCTTATCATGATCAACCTGTGGATACCTTTTTCTAGATGCTGGATATCCGCGAGAAGAACGGTTACACTAGGACCGTCACGACACTATACGATGCCAATGACAATTCGATCGGTAATTGAGTTGTATATGTCTATCAGGATCGTTTACCTCAGGAGAATGTTTTCTGTATTACGGCTCGGTGAATACTTCTGAAAATCCGATGTTCACTGGCGCTGAGACGATAGAGTCGATCGCGAGGCGAGTTCGGAGTGCAGTTGGACCTAGTGGGGCTAACGCTGATTATGTAATCTAAAAACAGGAATAGTGGAACTGAGAGTACTCGTTGAGGATGCATTAGTAGTAGTAGCGAGGCGCTGTATAAGGACCTCGTTATGAGGGCACGGGTAGGGGTGTCGGTGGATTCATCCGAGCTTGAGAGTACTTGTTACGGATGCATTAGTAGTAGTAGCAGGATGATAGTAGCCTAATGGTAGAGGGGGAGTCTTTATGTGTTGTTCATTGGTTAAAGCAGATGACCGGTTGAAGATTTCGAGGATGGGAAGGGGTAGAAAAGTATTACTTAGTGCTTTATGTCATGTTCATCGCAGTAACGGTTTCACCTCGGGGCGAGCGAATTTGTATATGAATCTTTCATAGTGAGGCGCTGTAGGGAGTAGATAGAGTATACAGATGGTGGGAGTATTTCTGTTGGATATGTATGGTTGTGGTGTAGGTTTACCGACTGTGGAGGTGCTTGCAGTCGTTGGGCGTTAGGGATGATCACGTCAATGCGTTATACGACGCGATAAAGGCCGCGTGACTCGGGTTCGATCCTTGCACCTGCTGTTTTTACACAATTTCTGTTGAGAATTATTTCTAACAGTAGTTTCTGCATAACAGTCTCTTCTTTAGTTGCCTCGCAGGCTCATACGGATGATGAGCTTCTTGTCTCAGTCCACGGCGATATTTTTGTTGACTGAAATCATTCGGTCAGTTCATTTTTAGTATCATACTCAACTTTAGTAGACAACTTGTGGATAGACTTTGCAGCAGTGATGTTGTTTTCGTTCAGATTTATTATAGCGTTTTTAGTGCTTTCACCAAAAGTGGTGTTTTTCATATCTAGGGAAATCTAATGAACGGAGTTATTTTACATTTTTCCGAACTTGATTTTTTCATGCGCATAATCAGTACCCCCTTTATACATGCCTTTACCTTCCCCACCATACGATGCAGGAATAGGCGTCGACCCACCGTCAGCAGCTGGAGGGTATCTTGCAGATGATGAGAGCATTCTTGATGATGATTTGAGTTTCCTCCAAATTGGTAATAGCAGTTCTCAGGCGATTCGGAGGTATTTTTCCTATCAGCGGTGAATCGGATGGATTCTACTTTGTGTGAGGAGATGACGAATGTGTGTCATCGGGCTGCGGTGGTGTTGTTTGTTATTTTGTTGTTGGCGTGGACGTGGTAATAAGGGGAAGTGGAAATGGAGTGGTATCGAAATGGATATACTGTGTGGTTTAATCGCAATATCTAACGTGTTTTGATTTTCATGCTGACTTCGGGTCAAAGAGTTCCCATATTTTATTTTTTCTCTCGTATAGCTTCCATTACTGTTTCGAGGAGGATCCGTATTCGTCATCTATGTGGGAGGGCGCATAGCCTTCCGATGGATTGGTGGTGTAGGAGTATCTTTTCGCATCCTTTTTGATCGATCGTGGGCCTGTTTTGCATCTTACCAGCAGCGAGCCTGGATTCGGGATATGTATCATAAGTAGTATTTTACTTGTTGATATCTATCGTTTTGGAGGCTGTTATTTGCCAGTTATTTCGATTAGAATTTGTTCGTCATTTTTTCTCGGGTGTACAGCTTGTCGTCATTGAAAAAGTAGCCCTTGGGTGTCGAGAGTTTTGAAGTGTTGTCGAGTGTAGGTACTCGAAATCGATTAAGGAATTTTATGGAAAATATGTTATGCCCAACTACGAGCCGCCAAGGGTTTCAAAAAAGGATGAAGATTCGGATAGTAGTCTTACACCTCGAGAATGACAGAAAAAGTATCTCTCGAGCGGCTTGTGTTGTTGGTTTTAGTGGAGCTCGAAAATACGTTTTAGTTTTTTATTTTTGGTATGTTACGGTATGGTGATGGAAGATCAAACCGTTAACATCTCCTCCTCCTCTTCTTCTCCACAAGATGGCATGAGAACGGTCCCGATGATGTCTCTCCCTACTATCAGTTTACTCTCTGCATCGTCATCCTTGCCGAAGGATTGTAGGCAAGGGTGGTGTGGGGAAGTTTCGGAAAAGTGTGGATTTTTTTTTCGAGCTCGAAATGGCTTGGCCTTTTAACGCCGTTCTTATCGTAGTGGATTCAGATTTTTTTTTATTTTTAGGGGGAAATTTTTTCGAATGTAGCTTGTATTTTGAGGCGGAATGTGAATTTGATATGATATTGTATTTTTTGGTATCAAGTCGATCGAGGATGGTTCTAGTAGTTTTAAATAAACGCTCTCAATCTTGGATGATATCATCGTAGTCATCCAAGATTCATATTCAATCAGTCAGAGTCATCGTAATATCGAAGTGTATAGTAATTAATATCTTTATTATATTTCAAGTGGCTCTGGGTGGAATTGAACCTGGATCGTTTGGTAGGCAACGCGATACTGACAAGGGTTTTGGTGCATACCGTGGACCGGGGTTTGACGAAACCATCATCGGAAGTGTGGAGGAATGGTGGAGGGTTGCGTCCGTTGATGGCCGCGCGAATATCGGTAATCTTCAAGGAGGAAATGTTGTGTATTTTAGCAGTATATTTATGATGGCAGGTTGTACCGGATAGCGAGGTTCCTATACCTCACAATTGGAGTGTGCCGGTATCGGTGGAAGATGATTTTGAGAAGGTAGTTTGAGATGTCCTTTCCTGTGATGGGCATCATCGTGATGATGGTAGATATTGGTCGGCGGAACAGGAGGAGGGGAGGGAGAATCGGTAGTATATGGGGAGAAGTGGCGAAGGAGTGGTATTGTAGAGAACGAGGGGAAATATTTATTATTTTTATATTTTTTTCGAGATGTTGAGTGAAAATTAGTGGCGATTTTTGTGCTTTGGGAATTTCTGTTGAATATATGATATGTTTGAATATGATTAACTCAACGTTTAAGATTATATGAGGTTTCCCGTTGGCATTACTAGAACAACAGAGGTTTTGTATGTGCAGTTTGTTCTCGCTGTAGAGGCTAAATCATGATTGAGTGAAGCGTGATAGGCTTTTGTTTCAGGGGAGTCAGCCGAGTTCGTCCCAATCGATTCGAGATAGTAGTAATGTGAAATTGAAGTCCTCAGGGGCGCGGTAATACGGGGGACGTTCGGAAGAGGGGCGGTTCACAATTTGAAGATCTTTCACTCGGCGCTTTCACTCGCAAGTTGATTTAGGATTTTCGATGATTTTGAAAGTAGTAACATTTCTCAAAAGGCGACTGTCGGTAAGGCTACCGTAACTTTCAAGAGGTCAGGAGCAAGGTACAAGGAGTGGGGGACAGGGGTATCTTGGGAGTTGCGCACAGCGAAGATTTTCGGTGTTGTCAGGGTGTTTGATATGCGGGAAGGCAAAGATGATGTTGACTCGGAAGGGTGGAGTGGAGCTGAGCATTTGAGAAAGGCGATTGGAAAGTAGGGGAGGGGCGGAAAACTTTCTGCGAAATTTGTTGTTTTTCTCGAAAAAAAAGTGAAAAAATTGTATTTTATTTCCTGGTAATTGAGATGAAGACTAGAGGCTTGTAGTCGATGTGGTGAAGCTTTGCTAGCGGTAGTTTTTCTGCTGTGTTGTCGTTCTCGCTTCAGAACATCTGTTGTTGTATCGGATTTGGGGGGAATGCAGGAATGTTTTTTGGGGGGGAAAATGGGGATATTTTCCGGTTTTTCATGTGACTCGTGATTGGTGTTTATTCGATCAGTCTGTCGCTATCTCCCGAAGAAATATCTACTGGGTGGGCATCACAGATAGCTCGGCTCGCCGGACCACAGTTGATGCAGGAAAAGAGACGAGTCAAGCAGGAGTTGAAAGTAGTCGGGGAGTGAGCTGATGATATTATCTTTTGCAGAAGAAACTAGAATTGGAATTTCATCGCGATTTGAATTTCGCACCACGTGTATGTGCTCATTGATCGGATCATTTCTCTCCACGGTAACGCCGATGAAAGGCATATATATCTTGTAGTGTTTAAAAACCCGGAATAAGTTTCAAATTGGAAGCAATTTTTCGTTTTTCAAACGAAAGTTCGCAAGTTCGTGCGGAAAGTTAGTTCGCTCTTGAATAATGAAATTTTCGTGTTAATATCAATACTCGCCGCGTATCAGCTACGACTATCTATGAGTAAGGGCCCATGCCGGGGGTCGAACCTGCGATGGATAAAAACGAGCTCTATTTGTTCTTCTCCGTCTCGATGGTCTGGTCGATGAAAAAATCTATAATTTTTTTGTGATTAAGTCTTGATGCTGTCAAAAACGGTGAAAACATTTCACAATACGGGTTTTGAGGATACGACTGTGTAGTGCACTTCCTGGTGTGAGGGGAGCATGTATTCGTAAGAATTGAAAACTTTGATGAATGCGTTTCGTCTCAGTCGTATGATGTTGCCTTTACGACCGTTCATGGGAGGCCTCCCGGAAGGGTAGATAAAGAGCCTATGCGCCCACTGTAAGTCCTAATTGGATGGTTTATGCAACCAGCACGAGCTCAATTATTTTTGACTCAGGTACACATATTACCGTGGATTAAAGCAAGCGATTGAGGAGTCGGAGCCGTCAACTGCGGCGGTGCCGAGTATCGATCGATCTCGGGCTACGATTCAGGGAAGGAGTGGTATGGGCCATCAGCCGGAGGAAGAGCCATCGACAGCAGCGTCGTCCAATCGGATGATGATGCGACTGCAATCACTGTAAGGCGGGGTGACTGGATGTGGGAAAATACGGAATTATGGTATCGGCTGAGTTCATCGTCACGCGGAAATAGAATTCGTCGCTGAGAAAAATATGGGGTTTAGTTTGGTTGTGTCTATTCACACAGTGTCATATGGATGAATTAGGAGGGTTGGAAATTTCTACTTGGAAACCTATCGACGATATGTGTAGTGCAGTTTCTTATGTAGCAGAGATTGGGCTACTGGGTATGGGTTTTCATATTTGCGTGAATTCTCACTCCCACCCAGGATCGTTACCACTTGGTTGTTGGCGATCGATTCCGACTGTTTTGAGAAACTGTGTGTGATTCAGGATTGATGAGAAATCGCGGATACGGGAAGGACTGCAGCAGTACCAGGCACGGTTCTTTGTTGAGAATCAGAGAAAGATTAAATATCACAAGGACATAGTCCCGATAGAGCGAGAATACCGAGAGTAAGCCTATCATTCGATAGGGCGTGGGATCGATCTCTGGGGGTTGGATTTTTAGATACAAGCAAGTTAAAGAGGAAATTGCCCAGTTGGAGCGAAAGCTGGGGATAGGCAATTCCAAGGAGCATCACCATCATCATGAAGACTGAGCAATGATTGAGGAGAGCATACCAGCTGAAGTATCTCCCTCCTTCTCTGTTTAAAATTTCCTGTATGCTTATCATTGATTTGAGTTGTGTTGGAGGGCTGAGGGGAAAAGCGGTCGGGCGAGCTTCATACGTTTTAGTTAAATTCATGGTGCTCTTCTGTAAAGTGGACCCCCTCCGTCGACGTCGCGATATTGCCCTATCGATTTAAACGGGCGTCAGGCGAGAGGGGTGATTAGTATACTCTCTCATTGGTGCTATGATAGGTTTTGATGCTGATTGCGGTGTACATGTATACGGTTGACGGGATATTGTGTGAAGAATGGACGGAGGAGTGAGAATTGTGGTAGAGGTAGGGCCGTATAAGGGCACGCATGCGGCGCAGTTGAGTATTACGCTACGACTACGGCTAAGTATGGCATTATGTACGGCTCGACGGAGATGGAGGGGACTGGTGAGTCGATAATGCGATCACAAGTCTCTGGGTAAAGATGGGATATTGGGTATAGGAAATTTGAAACATTTCAGTGTTGTAATCCGAGTGATTCGGACCTACTAGCAACTTGTAGTTCGTTTAAGCCATCTTCGATAGTCGTTCAGAATCATAGAAGTTATTCTCACAACATGAACGGAGGATGGTTCGTACAGCCGACGAGTAGTTTGAAGTTGAATTCCCGGAGGATCTGGAAAAGGAAGTCCCTTCAGGAGTTGCCAATGCCTGAGTCATTACGCCTCTCATCAGAGGACCTCTGCTCTCGAGCTCAGTAGTTGGTGTTGCTGAATCAGCAATGCTGATTATATATACGAAGCAAATACAGCCCAAATCTGAGTTATAGTCGACGACGTCGACTCGACGTTGGTTGGAAGGTTGGAAACGATGCACTGCATCGGATGCAGCCAACGATGCTCTGTTAACGATGCTATGCCAAAGATGCTATGCCAACGATGCTATGTCAACGATGCTATGCCAACGATGCTATGCCAACGATGCAGCCAACGATGCTATGTCAACGATGCTATGCCAACGATGCTCTGCCAACGGCAGAGCAAACGGCGGTGACGGAAACGGTAAATATGATGAGAGCGCTGGTGTCATTCGTACTCATGTGGTTGATAGACTAGGTAACGTCAATAATGCTGATTCTCAATGGGAGTTATTCATCATGAACGTGGCTGGTAATCGTACAAGGAGGGCGATTTGCGGATTCAATCAGAAGGATTACCAGGGACACCGCAACGGTTAGCAAACGATTGACAGTTGTAGTTTGCGCTACTATGGGAGACAGAAGAACAGAAATGGGAAAAATGGTTCCTATCACACTGACTGCTCTCGATAATTTACCACTGTTGATCGGCGTTGCGTTTTCCGCACTGTACTGGTGCTGTCGTCGATGGCCGATCGCCGACCAATGACGGGAGCGGTAAAAAAGAGACATACCGTTGCCGCGTTGGATTGAAATTCCTGTGTGAAAACCTCGACGTATTGGAATGGGTAGAAAGAACGGCTCGTCTTGAGGCTTTGGCGACTCCATTCTGTTATTATTTCAGGATGTGCCCAAGATGAAGTTGCAACCCGGAGATTTGCCTGGTTTGTTCCCATTGTTCACTGGCAGAAGGTTTCATTAATTGAAGAATCTTATGATTTCGTTGTGGTGGTTCGAAGGGGTGTTGAATCAGACTTGAGTCCTTCCTCGTTATGGCCGCTACAGTGATGAGCACGCCGTCTGCAGCACCACCGTCGTTGCTTACAGTAGACGCGTCAGGAGATGCATCCACGATGTTGGCTGTTGATCTATCGGCATGTGTGGACGTCGAAATGGAGGAAGAGTTACGGAGGAACCCGGGGTCGATGCGGCTTTGGTGGTATTACATTCAAGCGACGACTAAACGGATGGAGATGAAACAGAATGCCGATTTGAAGGTGAGGAAGAAGCATTGGTGTGGTATGAGTTGTGTTATTTAGGATGCCTTTATGGAGTTCCTATTCCAGCTGCACGAGAGGGCTTTGAGAGAGCTGCCGAGATGTTATAAGATTTGGCACAATTATCTCAAACTGCGGGTAGGACTATTGGTTGCCAGACTCTGTCACCAGAATGCATCGTCGTTATTTCTACTCGCACGAGTGATGTTATCATTGGTAAAATATTCTTTTCAGGAATCATATGTGGAGGATGTATGCGTGACGGATCCTGCATGTGATGTGGTAGAGGCTTGCTATGCTCGAGCGGTGTGTGTGTTGGGAAAGATGCCTCGTATATGGGAGGAGTATATTGAACACCTCACGAGACGATTGAAAATAACTTCAACGCGGCATGTGGGCTCGTTCGACTCTGAGAGTTTTCTCATTGTATTTGGTTAGGTCATCTACCAGGCGTTGAGGAGTTTACCTATCACACAGCACTATCGAATTTGGGCACTGGTGAGGTTGGGTTGGAGTGGTATGAATTATGATATTTTTGTAGGCGATGAAAATGATAAGAGAGCTGAACGTGCCAGTGAGGACTGGTGGAGAGTTGTTTAGAAGTTATCTCATGTTGGAACCGGCGCATGCAGAAACCTACGTGGCGTATTTGGAGGGCGAGGAGCAATGGGATGAGGCCGCTAAGTTGTTGGTGAGTCATCGAGTTAATGGTGTAGTGGTAGAGTGGTCGGCTGACTTATGAGAGGTCGTGGGATCGATTCTATGTGGTATTATTTCAGATGAAATTGGTTAACGATCCCGACTTCGTGTCCATGGAAGGAAAGTCCAACCACCAGCTCTGGCTTGAGCTATGCGATATGGTCACTACCCATGGTGAGCACCCCTCATATTCATGCGGTTTATAGACTCCGGGAATATGCCAACTGCATCCATGTAGCATGTCCGTGGCTGCTGCCCCTCTCAGGCCCTTCTATCAAGTCTGTGGAGGTCGACGCGGTGGTGCGTTCGGCCATAGGGAAGTTCTCAGACCAAACAGGCCGCCTTTGGAACAGTCTCGCAGACTATTACGTTCAATTGGGCAACTTCGGCAAGGTATGTAGGGATCAGATCGAAATTTCGGTAGTCATGCATTGCTTCGCTCCGCCTAATTTTCAGGCGCGTGACGTTTATGAGGAAGCGCTGGAGAGTATATCAACAGTGCGAGATTTCTCGTTGGTCTTCGAAGCCTATCAGAAGTTCCTCGAGAATCTCGTCACTGTTTACAGTGAAATGGAGGAGGAAAATGAGGAGGGCGAAGATACGGCAGGCTCGACTGCAGATCTTCTGGTGGAGGTGAGAAAGTCCCGCGTTCGATCCCGGCACCCCGCATTTTTCCCCGCAGGTTCTGGCTAAACTCATTGACCGTCGATTGGACCTCCAATCTCAAGTCAAACTCCGTCAAAATCCCAATAAAGTCTCTGAGTGGATTTCCCGGGCCAAACTTTTCAAAGATGACCCGCTGACGGTCGTTAGTAGGAATTTGCTCACTAGAATTTTGGGAAATTTTTGTCTCCAATTTCTCAGAGACTTTTGCTGAAGCTGTGAAGACTGTTGATCCGTTCCAAGCTGATGGGAGATTAAGTCGCCTTTGGATAGAATTCGCTAAGTAAGGATTTTCCGAGGGGGATGTGATCGGTATAGTAGTCGGCGGTCAGTAGTCACTGTATTAATGGGAAATTCGACAATGAATGAATTATTGGAGTTTCACCCGTGATATGAAAAACATATTTCACGACTATTGCATACAGCGAATATCGCGTTTTTCACCGAGTTTTACGCCACTTCACGTAAATCGGATGAAACTCTAAATTGTTTATCTTATGCCGAAACGTGGGGTAGCTCAAAGTGAGATCGGTAATCGATCATCAGGGCGAGCGCGGTTCTCCTCTGTTATCAGTTACTACATCAATACTGGTAAAGATATTGCGAATGCTCGGGCGGTGTACGAGAAGGCGGTGAAAGTGGAGTTTCGCAATGCGGAGGAGTTGGCGTCGGTGTGGTGCTCGTGGATTGAGATGGAGATTCAACAGAAGAATAACAAACAGGTGAGAGGAGACCTCTGAAAAAGGGGAAAGTGATTGTCGTTTGTTCTCGACCAGGCGTTGGAAATTTCGAGACGTGCGGTTGGCCAGTATAAAGGGGCGGAAGCTGGTACAGTGCAAGCTCAGCTGTCGAGGAGTGTGCGACTGTGGCATTTGGCTGCTGACTGTGAAAGATTTATTGCCAAGAATTTGGTATGCACGCATGCGCAAGGGAAATTATCGGTTCATGTTGTGGTATTAGGACACGACGAGAGCTGTTTACGATAAGATGATCGATTTGAAAGTGGCGACTCCGCAGACTTGTACGTTGTGTCACCAACGGGTGTCACCACATCACCGTTGCTGTCGTTGTAGGTATCGATTACGCTCAGTTCGAGGAGGATAACAAATACTTTGAGAAATCTTTCCAAGTTTACGAAAGGGCTGTGAGCCTGTTTCGATGGCCGCATGCCAAGGACATTTGGGTGAGTTGGTTGAGGTCTTCGGAAGTATTGATGATGGTGAATGTAGGTACTTTATTTATCCAAGTTCACTAATCGTTATAAGGGCTCGAAGTTAGAGCGATCTCGGGAGCTCTTTGATCACGCCTTAGCGCACTGTCCGAGCAAATACTGTCGCATGATGTAGGAGGAGGATGAGTATCTTAGGTTGCGGATGGTATGATACGGATTAGGTACCAGATGTATGCGCAGTTTGAGGAGAGGTATGGTCTTGCGAAGGAATCTTTGAAGATTCTCCATCGAGGAGTGTCGAAGGTTGAGAAGAGTGAACGCGTCCGCATGTGAGAGGAAATTATTATTATCAAATTTTGATCGTAAAAACTTGTCGACCTCATGCGTGTCGTTCGTCGTAGTGAAGAATATCAATACGAAAATTTGAAGAAGTTGTGGATACTATAAGAAAGAGCGCTTTGGTATTGGTCCTCTGCAAAACTATACCACGACAAGGCAGGTATATAGAAATTGATGTACTTGTTAGACAAGTCGTTTTACATTTTGTTGGTTTGAAAAATGACCATCCGAAAAAATGTATAAATGGGAGATTTTTCGGGAATTTCTATAGTTGTTAAATCGTGAGGTACAACCTTCTTATTGCTAAGACGGTAGATCTACTGGGAGCCCCTGCAACAAGGCCTATCTATGAGGAAGCTATTGGTGAGTATTGTCGTACTGTCATTTATCATACCACATTTTCTTTACTTCAGCAACTCTCGATGACGACCGTCAAATCGTGGGGATGTGCCTACAGTAAGTTCGCATTAGTGCTAATCTCGATGAGTGGATTTGAGGGAAATCGATCAAGATTCTTTCGACACCGCACGCGCGATAATTCCTGTGGTCGGGGGAAATGACCGAAGTATTTGTCAAAGACATAAATTATTAATTATAGTCCAATAGTCTTGAGAAATTGGGTGAGTTGAAGTTACCCTTCTGAGACTTGCACTGCTGTGTGGTGGGTTTTCTGTTCGAAACTTTCGTGATAGATGTGGAATTTTCAAATTTTTTACTCTTGGCGGGAGAAAATAAAATCATAGGTAGTGGTTACTGGAAAAAATATTCGTCATTTTTTCCTTGGCGCAGGTCAATATTTTCCGATTTCAGGTATAGTAATATCGAGAGAGCTATGGGTGAGATCGATCGAGCTCGAGCTATTCTCAAGCACTGCAGCCAATACTGTGACCCTAGTAAGGATTCTCCCCTTCTTTGTGATGCGCTATGGTCCATGTTTAGGTAAGGAGAAATCAGAGGAGTACATTGGCAACTTCTGGAATGAATGGAGAGAGTTTGAGCTCACATATGGCAACGCTGATACGTAAGGCAAGATGCGTCTCGTCAGAGAAGCTCAGGTTTCTGTTGGCAGGTACCGAGAATTGAGACGAATTTGGAGAAGTGTCATGGCACAGTACTCGAGGCAACACTTCAATGCTACTGATATCAGCCATCAAATTACCGAGCAAATGGAGAGGGATAAAATGGAGGGAGATGATGACAATGACGAAGTAGGTTGAAAAACAAAAGCTTGTTGATGAATTTGTATTTCTAGGCGGATCCGATGGCAGCAGCGGAGAGACAAGCTGAGCGAAAAAGAGGTGGGAAAAGATAATTTTTTTCGGGATAGTTTGAGTTTTGTCCTCAGCTCGAGAGGAAGGGGACAGTGGAGATTCTGTGACGAAAAGACTTCGAATGCAGGAAGAAAAGTTGGACTTTATCGAGAGCGCTTCATTCACTGGAGAGAAAGAAGGGTTCTCTTTCAAGATGGGTGTTAGAGGCTTGGGGTGAGGCTTCAGGGAATTTATCGGTCCATTGTAGCGTTCCTTGCAGATACTACAGAGACCTTGGTGGGCTGCTCGCACTAGAAGCTGCTCATACTGGAAGAAACGACGAAGACATAGAGTTGTCTGATGATCTATAGAGTCAATAAAAAGATCGTTTCGAAACGTTATCACACCGAATTGAGTTCGTCAGTAGTTCGGATATGAGACGATGACGCGAAGTTTGATTGGACGTCCAAGAGTGCAGGTCCAGGCTTGCATGGGGCAAATTCAAGCAAGCGTAACAAGTATCGCTCGTGCGTGCGTGGCGCACGCCATGGTGATCGACTCGAATGAGGAGGTAGTGCAACCGGTCGAGGACCAGGTGATAGCAATCTGGCTGTGCAAGAGCATCTCGAGCCGGTTCCACTCTGGAATTTTTCTTTTATTGTTTTTACTAGTTGTTTGGGGGACATTGCCTATGTGCCTGCGTGCTAGGCAATGTGACTGTGGTGTTGAGCCAATGCACGGCGTATTGTGAGGTTCGGTATTATCACCGCCCTCTGCTGCCTAGTTGGCTAACACCCAGTCTCACCCAACACTCCCAAATGACTAATACGATGCGGTGGAGCGGGCCTTGATGATATTGAACACAAAAGTCTGCATGATGGATGTTCACGAAGGACGCATTGAGTGTGATTCGCGTATTATGTGATTCACATTGATTTTTTTAATTTCGTACCAACGATTAGTCCTTGAGGAATATCACCTCCGGGAGCATGATACGATGGGAGGCAAGAAACCCCCTGCTGGAGTCGAACTGGATAGTCGATTCAGCAGACCTGATGTGGGTGATATCTTCACTCGACCACCCACCGATAGTCAGTCATGAGATGCTCTCGTTCACACCCCTAATCTTCTTGGGACATATGCAGAACCAAACGTCATGTTCGAAATCGTTACGAAGATATTCTCAGGAACACTGTAGTGAGTATTGTAAGGCTATCCTTTTTCCACTACTACAACACTCAACAGCTACATAGTAAACGGATAACTGAGTATTCTCGTATTCGTTAAAAGGTAAGTGTAAATAATCATCGAATCTTTAAGCAGACGTGAACTTGGTCACAGCCTTAGTGCCCTCACTCACAGCGTGCTTAGCCAGCTCACCGGGAAGGACCAGCCTGATAGCAGTCTGTATCTCCCTACTCGAAAGAGTCCCCTTGTTGCTGTATTTGCACAATTTACTGGCCTCGGTCATAATCCTATCGAAAGTGTCATTCACGAGGGAGTTCATAATCATCATACTCTTCTTGGAGATGCCCGTCTTAGGATGGACCTGCTTGAGGACCTTGAAGATGTAGCTGTTGAAGGTCTCTGAACGGGAACGTCTCTTCTTCTTGATGTCCTTGGACACACCACTGGCCGCCTTAGTAGGGGAAGACATATTCTTCAATACAACTGCACAACTCGGGAATACAATGCATTTGGAACATTCATCGGTCATTCATCCTCTAATTATGATCGGAAGCTTTCAGCCTACAATGAAGTTATACTACTCCCGAAGTGTAGTTCGTACAGTATGACAATTAAAGGACAAACTATATAATAGAAGATGTGATTTGAAACGAATGCACTCAAAACCAAACACCAGCGAGTCGATCGTGAAACAACATACGCAAGGGGAACTTTAGAAAAGTCCCTTGGAGTGCATGTGGAAAGCCCTAGCCCGCATCTTCCTCTCCCTCTTAGTCGTAAGATACTCCATCCTAGTGTGCCGGACCGTCCTCCTGTTGTCAACACGTCCACAACTCTCAAGTAACTGACAAGAATGCTGCTACCGGGGATCGAACCAGAGACCTCCCCACCTTCCGGAATTTCTCTGCCTTCGATTTGGCATCCAAAAATGTCCCTCCTTGCACACGGAATAATCGATGACTGAATAAAAGTGTACATCAACGACAGATGATCTCTACTCACCGAGGCCTCCCCTTCTCAGTCCACCCAACCCGCCAACAGTTCATCCTCGGATAATACATCACTTCTGAAACCGTACTGAAAGAAAACTTCCATCAAAACGATTAACCAAAATTATGGTCAGACACCTCATATCATAGGGTATCCTATCGTGAACAACATTGTATCTTCGCCGCTTCCAGAAATTTTCCGGTAGTAAATTGTAGGGATAATCAGCACCGCAGAATCGACCATCGCGGACCGTAGCTACGAACTGCTGTAATCTGCACGCATGCACAAGTCGTCAGTAAAAGATTCCCTTCCTGCCCACTTGTAATTCTTCGGCAAATACTTTGCAAATCCGTCAACAACTGCCTCCCTCTCAGGAAGGGCTCTCCACGCTGACTGAATATGGGGATGTCTGGTAACCTTAGGATGGGGTGGACGGTACCTACACCGTCACGCGCCACAAAATTCCTGCACGCATGCACAAGCAAGTCTCCCGAATCCACGACTTATCGAAATGAGAAGGAAGATATCTACAGCATCCTTACTATTCCAAAATCATGAGAGGAACTTGCAAGCATTTTCGAGGGAAAAGCGACCTAACTAAACCTAGCACGCATGCACACGGACTCGCGATAGAGATAACACTACCACAAAAACAAACGAACGATTCAAAAACTCGGATTAGTCTGACACGCTAAGAGGGGGACAATCTGCACAATGGACCTTATCTGTATCTTCCACGCTCCGACCTAAGATACCTCCTACCATTTGAAATAACATCCCGGTTTAACAATGAGGGTCCTCCGTTGAGGCTGCAGCCCGACTGCCAACTGACAAGCCTTTCGCCATGCACAACATCCACCAAACGAAGATGACAAAATCATCGAAACAAAAACTGCTTCGCTCCGCTCAAGCTCCAATAACACAACCTTGAATATTCGTCCCCATCACGAAGACGATGAACCGCCTACCCACAACTCCATGAACCCCCCATCATTCTGAGGCCCAACAACGTAATATACCTGTAAACTTCAACTCACAGATGAAAATGTGAACAAATCAGCCAAACAAAAACCGCTCCGCTCCGCTAATAATACAAGTCAAATGTAACTCAGTAACTTCCAATTGCATCAGTGATAGCAGGTTTCAGTTCGAGGAGGAGGGAGGAATAAAAAACAACACAACAATACGGAAAAACTACCAAAAACCATCGTCATCAGAAGGATGCTCTTCCTCGTCAGCATCGACTTGTGAAATTTTTGGGAAAAGTTTGAGAACATTTTCCGTCGTCTGCTTTGTGACCTCCTCCGGGGTCACACCCAACAGCTCTGCCACAGCGTACGCTACAGCAACCGTCCTGACCAATCAAAACTTTCTCACCGATACAAAAATATGAGAGATTTTCCCACTAATATTTTAGTGACATGTCTGGATATGTTCCTGATGCCCATAAAATAGAACTCTGATTCAACGACATTGCCACGTTTTCCAACGAAAGATAGATCTTTTCAAAAATCCACAAGAAAATTCCCTAAAACTTTCCAATACCCCCCAGTCTTTAGTTTGCAACAACGGAAAAACCGGTCATCATTTCATAAACTCACCCCACCGGTCCACCCACAGGAGTAAAATGAGAGGAGAAAAAAATGTAAATTTTCCGGAAAAATACTCGCGAGAGATTACAAGCGAGTCCTACGGATGGAATCCCTCCCCCCTACTCCTCACCGTAGTTACCCCGCTGGCTCTGTCTTCTTAGTCCCCTTTAGACCCTCAACTTCATAATAATCATCATCACCTCGCATATACGGTGAATCCGTCTCCAACATTAGCCGAGATAATGGCAGATACCCACAAGATACCATTGATCGAATCGAGGCACCTCTTGCACGCATGCACACGTAACTATAGGGAACGTGGGATCAGGACAAGATGGACTACGACTATGAAGTAATATAAGTGATGACCATTATAGATGTACCACCATAGAAGAATAGCTGAGCCAGTTTATGTGATCGTGATTTTATTATTGTTTGATAATAATAAAATGTTATATAACATTGGAAGAAAAGTGATGAAAAAACGTCCCCCCTGAGGTTCGATCCCACGACCTTCCCACGACTAGCGCTACCACTACCCAGTTAGCCCAATCCAATAGCCCTTTTGTATGTACTCCTGTGCAATCTGCCGAGTGCCCGTAAAACAATGAAATACTGCCTGTTTCGGGTCGATCGAGTGCTTAGATAAAATACGCAACTACAACAAGCAGCGTCACGCGCCACAGAATTATGCCACTACTACACAGTCCTTGTCTGAACCCAGCGGCCCCCCACCCTTCACACGATCCCTCTCGTGCAGGAATAACGGCATGTGCAACTCGGACGCTAATGCTACCTGTACGGAGCTCTCAGAATGGAATTCCGATATACTCCGATAAGATTTAAATTCTGTTAACATTTTTTTTCTAATTTCGAACAACAGATGAAGTTATGTGTTCGTTTTTGCACAGTGCAAAACATCAACAAAATCCATAGCACTATTTTCCCATGAACCACTGTGGCGTGTTATGCCAACCCCAAGCTAGCCCTGGAGAGACTGGGCAGACTACAGAGTGTAACTATCATCATTGCCTGTACTCCAGACCCCTTATTAATCGATCTATATGTATCCGCACGACAGTGTTAATCTTCATTCCCGAATATGTCGAGCTCTTGAAGCTACACTCAAGGGCAGCAGGAGTTGCCACAGTGTTTACCTTCAATGCAACTGAGATATGCTCCTACCGGTTACGAGCTATTCTATCTAGTCTACTACATAACGACAAGCCTCCTAAAGAGCTACCTGTCTATCAAACCATTTCAATTGCTCTTCTCGTGTGGAGAACATTCTATCATAATCCAGCCCACATTCCCCGATCGCCACACAATACGGAGATGCTGCTAACCGTCGTAGTTCTGCAATGGTAGTCTGAAGAAAATGCAGGATGCCGGGATCGATCCGGGGACCTTTCAATTACTACTTCATCACAATTCTTCACCTCGTGAGGATGAACACCAGCTGTGAAGAACAACTTCGGCCGGTCACCAGACGGGACATTTTTAATTCTCTCACGACACAGCTGCTCAGCCCATTTAGACCCTAACAGAGTTTACGACCAAATTAAAATTATTGATACCACTCCACCCCCAACCGCTAAACGATTGAACCACAACACAGTATAAAACAGATCCGTTGTCAACTCTCAGGGCATTCCAAGATCTCAACACGCACTAGAGACTTTCCACGAATTCCAACGTTTACAAGATCTGCATCGAAATATCACTCCAGAAGCTGCCACGTTGGAAGCCTTGTTAAAACTCCTCCTCCTCCTCTTCCCAACATGCCTTACTTTTCACACTGGTCCCGGTGACAATGATCCTCTTTACCCCAGCAGCCAAGCTCCTACGTAGTTGCTGAGCTAATAGCCCATCACTGAGTGTGGCGATGTTGGCCCCTGAGGAGAGAAAGCTTACATACCGTTTATATACCATATCGAACCGGAATAAATCACCCATTTAAACGATGAATAATTGTAGATAGTTTACAACAGTGGGAAAATGTGCACATGGTCAACTACATGTGTTGGTGATAATATCAGAATTCTGAGGAATTTTTGCAAAACTTGATTTTTATACGCTTCTCGAACTGTATATAAATTCCTATATACTTAGTCAGCAAACTCCTGAGACCAGCTGAGGAAAGTAAACATATATTACAACACAGTGATTGTACAATTATGGCATTATGTTGGTCCGATTCGAGATTCACATCCGACGATTATATGCATTGGAGTTTCACAACTACCCGTTTTATGTGAAGTGGCGTCGTAAAACTCGGTGAAAAAAGCGAAATTCGCGGTGATATGTAGTAGTCGTGAAATATGTTTTTCAGTGAAAATTTTCACTAGTGTTTCTCATATCACTAGGGTGAAACTCCACTGCTATAAAAATCTTCATCGCTGATGTCCCCGAGTATACTGCATAAACTATAGTACTCCCTACGATGAAACAACCAGTCAAAAACGGTACCCTCTACCGGTCATCTCGTAACTACTTCTATTACTACCAATATCGACCAGGCCTTCCCCACTGCTTCCCATGCAACCCCATTTTCGCAACTCATCTAATACCAACTTCTCGGACACCTTATGGGGACGGCCGGTCCGTAGTGGTGACACCATTGACTATCACACCAAGGGAATGACAAACAGTCTTGGAGAAACCTATCCGATCTCCTCAGTTGAGCTCAGAAGTTCTACCGCTACTTTGTGAAATCGCCCACGAATTGAAAATTTCCCACAGATCTTCATACCGTCGCCAACACATGCATATGTTACCACACCAATTGCAACACAGAGACTTCTCCTAGATCAGTGATGACCATCACCCTCCCTCTCCTCCTCAAGAGTGTTGAAGGAATATATTTCCGCTTTCCTCAACTGAGCTCAGGAGTTTACTCACCAAACCTAAATTCAGAAATGTACAGAAACCATTAAGGAGTCTGTTCCCGCCCTTTCTCGCTGTAAAGAAGCGTACATATACTCGCTCGTCTGAGAGTGAATACGTTGAAGTGTATAACTTAGCATGTAATAAGATTATACTTAGCCTCCACACCCCTGTGAAATCGTGTTATCATTCATCATAATGTTCCGCACAACTTCCCAAAATTTCCTTCCAAAAATTTTATCATCGACATCAACACATGTAGTTGACCATGTGCATATTCCCCACACTGGAAGTCTTCAGGCTTAACACAATACAAGGGTTGTTATATAAACCAAGTAGAAGCACGTGCATGCATACCATACGGTACACTATCCCCTCTAATAGGGATCAGCCGAACTTCATCCATACTTTCAGCGCTGTGGCCGGTCGAGAACTCCCGAGGGTTCGTCGGAATTTCGTGGCGAAGCGACGCATTCCTGATAGCAGCAATCTTCATTACTCTACATAACAGTTGTGGCGTATTTATAAACATCCAAATGATAATATAAAAATCAATTTCAAGGTCTTCAACCAGTGTTTGGATATATATATTTGCTTTCCTCACCTGAGCTCAGGAGTTTACTCGCAAATTATAAAACTTTTTATACGAATTGTACAAAAACCAATATTAATTCCCAAAAATTTATCTACAATTTTCATACTGTAGTTGCCCCCGTGCATATTTTTCCACACTCACTCCATCGCGGCTAGTTTCTTCACGACCTCCTGCAGCCCCTTCGAGCCCTCCACCGCTAGGACATGAAAGTGTCGAGGACCTGTGCGGACCTATTTTGAATCTTCCACGGTGGACCTCACCCGTATCTTTATGAATATACTCTGTATATAACGGTGGTTGCAGCCTCCCCTCCTCGATGTTATGATGATGATGATGATAAGGATTGCTATCGCTCATGATCAACACTAAACACCGAGCATTAATCAGCACGCATGCACACGAAGATACGTGCAACTCTGGCAGCAGCTGAGCTGACTCTCACATCGGGGAAAATCCCTTAGGATTTCCACGCGATGATTGTAACAGCATATGCAATCATAATGTGATTTAATGCTATACCCCTATGGACCTGTGGCGTATGGGCAGATATTGGGGTATATCCCCAGAGTTCACCTACAACCCTTTTAGGAAGAAGTAGAGGTCATTTTACAATTATAATAATAACATATATCACTTCAGAGTTTCCAACATCAATTCACAATAATTCCGTCTCGCACAGTGTTTCTTCATTATAAATTAATAACAATTCTCTCAAAACTCTGCCGTTGCCAACGATCAGATCTCCCGAGAGAACTCATCCGCCCCTCATCATTAACTCAACATTTCCACCTCCACAATGGACCATATCATGCCAACGCCGCGCGTGTCCTCAACTTCATTTCTAACACTTTCTCTAGTTCCTCCAACTCCAACAGTGGAGGGTGTTGGCCGAACATCCTCCTCCTTATCAGAGACGTCGCCGAGACTATCTTATCAACTCTGAATAGATCCATACTGGACAACCTCACAGATCCTCGCTTGTGAAATACATTATTACGATAACCGTAAAACAGTAACATTATAATATCATCGCATGCATTCATATGACTTGAAAAAACATCTTGTTGATGACTCGTACTGTACGAGCCGTACATATTATAGTGACAATAATATATTCATCAAAGTGAGAATGAATATCAATCTCATTCTCTCCTTACTCTCCGAAAAACCAATACTCATCTCAGCAGCTGATACTAAAAGAGTTAATCACATATAAAATTCAGTTGGCATGAGTGACATCCGGGAACATTAAATGTATCTTCGCAGGCGACCGCGCCATAAGCACTTCAGAGTTTCTCACCCACAATTTCCCAACAATATGCATTGTTTCCATGCAATATAACTATATAAGAGGGGCTTATATTCGAAAATTTACCGTCAAAATCGCTCTGTAGAAAAAGTTACCTCTGCACACGCATTTTCTGTCTCTAGATGGTGCGTAGTGTACAGCCCACAGTGTTAGCCCTACTACTACTACGACAGGGCTTGACGCTGATACTATCATACACATTCCTCCACAACGAGACTGCTTACTCCCTCTGCATTTTCTCATTTTCACACTGCAATGTGCAGATCAATTCCATCACCTCGTCACTCGGAGGCTCAGCTAGGCCTTCACTCAAGTGGTAATCTAAATTCAAATTGATATATTCTTTCTGAATTTTTCAATTAATTTTTCCCTACTAACACTACTCTGTTACTATCAACTATTTTCTACCATATCGTTACCATTCCTTTTTGAATACTCCATACATATATTTCATATACATTTCGTTAGTATGCATTTCCTTTTTCCACCAGAGAGCACAGACTGCATTAGTCATTGATAAAATATGATATACCATCTCTTCGGTCCATCAGTGACTATCACATACAGTGCGGAACATTATACAACTCTCCCTTTCCCATTCACAAGAGATATACTACATATAACGACGATAACAACAATCGAAATCGATTGACCATTCCCTTCAGTGTTGGGATAATCTATGTTCGCTTTCCTCACCAGAGCTCAGTAATTATAGAAGTATACACCACGACTCCTGGGAGAGGTGTACGAAAACCAACAAGAATTTCCCCAAATTCTCCCAGCATCCTCATATTGCCATCAACACACGTAGTTGCATATTTTCTTGAGTTTCGAGGCGCGCGAAAATTCCCAGATCCTGTTGTAGTAACTCTTCTATTCTCATACAACGACTTACTCTCTGCATATTCTTCCGCGTGCGCACAAGATTCTTGCATAAATCTCAGGAAATCTTCCAAAGCCTGACGGAACGTCCGTCGATTAACAACCACACGAATCGCCATCACCCTCCTCGTGGACTCCTCCCCTTCACTTAATTCCAAAATCTGACAGACATCGAAGATCTGAGACAATAAAACAGAATATATAGGACCCCACATGCAGTGCTCCCTCAATAGTGGATCGCTCATCCGAGATATCGTCACCAGAATATGCATGCCTGTGATAGGATGCATAGAGTAATGGAGTAGAAGGTCCTACAGGGACTCCAATATTCCTCCTCCTCCCTTTTCCACCTCGATGGTCGGAGATGTTTCCTCTAAAGAGGCATGAGCAGCATACTATACCACAAATTGGTGTTTCACTCCAATCACTCCATACCCATCTACCATCTAGGTCTACCACACTTCACTGTCCACTTATCTAAACTCATTCGTCTACATAAACAGATAGTAAAATATTAACTTCTTTTCTAATCAGAAATTCTATCGTATCAATTTTTTCTCATACACTCCTGATAATAGATGGACAAATCTGTCAGAATACATTTGAGACAAACTGAAAACCCCACAACGGTCACTGTTACTATCGTGTTATATTCACTCTAGCACACCAGTTGAGGGCAAGAGGCTCATCTACAGATTCACAAGTCCACCTCCATTGCTGCATTTTACAACACAACTATAATAGGAACGATCTCGATTAAGAACCGAGATCTACATATTTCTCTCTCAAGTATTCCTGTCCATACATCTTTCGCTGTGTTATAAATATACTTCTATTCGAGAGAAAATGATCCGTTTGCACCCTCAGAAGGGTCGAATCGCAATACACAACTACTGTCATTGTAAATGACGTTTTAACAAAATGTTCTACACAAGTGTCTGTCGTAATCGTTGAATTCTTATGGTACTCGTCGCTCTAGCTTAGATTACTGTATTGATCATAAGGCGATAACCACTTAACCTTAACGTCTCTTATCTCACCTCAACAAGGGTACCACCGCTAAGCTAACCGTAGATGCAGAATCCCCCAGGTACAGGGCGTGATAAAAAATTGCACACTAATTTCCCATCCAGTTGGAGTTATCACACTCACCTTCCTGAGGAGCTCTCTCGAGCTGCGTTGTAGTTCCCTCTTGAGAGTTCACACTATCATTTCGTATCTAATGCAACTATGTAAGTTCCCAAGGAATGAACCTAGGCGATATCGTCGGTTCCTCTCGACCGGTTTTGTCACCGACGTGGGCCAATTGATATGAAATTGTAAAATATGTTTATTATTCTCCGAGAAATTCTCATAAATGTCGGAAAATAATGTTCACAATTCTCATTGAGAATCGATCTGAAACTATATCGCATACACTAAGTAGAACATTGCTATAAACATGTGATGTGATAAAAGTAACCCTTCGAGACTATGATATCATTAATCTCCGAAAATAACATAAATTTCCACATTTTCATATAAATTCAAGTACACTTCCCGGTTCTGGAATTTTGCATGAAATTACTTCACCCCGTACCGATAAGTGGCTCCCATCATTCACCTCCTCAGATGCGATCGCCTCGCGGTTGGGTACCCAGCGGAACTCGGCAGAGACCTCTGAGATGAAATTCTCATGTCAATCTCAATTTATTCACTATACCATCCGGATGAGTTCTTCTAATTCGATCATCAGATTAATTTCATTTTCCTCACCCTGTGAGTATTGCATCCCCTTTACAAGACTGCCGTCTCCCCCTTCCCCTTCCCTTCCCCCCTCATCCGAGATGCACCTCACAAGAACATCACTAACGAAATCAATTGACAACCTACATTTCCAAATCCGCTTGCTGTTCGCATCCCTTCGTCTGTCTCTCATACGCCGCCCTCGCCTCCTGAGCTGAGACCAGCCCGACTAGTATTCTCACAGTAGGAATGATTACACAGTTGTATTCCTCCCGAGGGGCAACGGAGTGCCACAAGATGAACTGTTTCAACTCCCTCCTCGAAGACCATCAATCTAATCATCGGCTAATTCGTATATTCGCATGAACAACGACGTGTGTTGATGATAATATGGAAAATTATGAGAAAATTTCGGGAAATTCTTTTTGCATTTTATACTCTTTCCCTCAAAAATGTGTGTGAACGCCTATAAATGGTGAGTGAGCTCCTGAACTCTGCTGAGAAGACCAACATATATTCCAACACTGGTCTAGTTGGCGCTCAATCGTCTGTAACCCAACACTAATTCAATAACAGTAATTTCGTTGAAGGGTTCAGTGTCGAAATATACGTCCGCTTTACTCTGCTCAGTTGAGGAGTATTCTCACTCATCATAGAGGTTTACATACGAATTCGAGGGGAAAAACCAATAGGGACCACGAAAAATTTTCCTAAATTTTTTCACATTTTTCGTATTGTGCATATTTCCTTACACAGTTATAAACTATCACCACAACACTCAGTAGTCCCCCTCCATAAGAGCCATCCTCTTCCCTCACCTCGGGCACAGTGTCCTTATGATCCCTAGTGATACACCCTTCGTCGTATGTATGCCAACCCTCACACGCATATCGATCGAATCAGCTAAACTGACCATCGCTCCGGCTATGTCAACTGCCTCTGAAATCTACTGATCCTACCACTCCAATAGAAACTCTCCGTTTTACTTAAAGTGTGATCAGTCTTATCCTCTAGTGAGAGCCCGCAAACAACTGTATAAGCCTCATCAGAGGTCTCCAACTTCAGTAAGGCTGTCCGCTGTCCTTCCATCAGCTTTCTGTCGAGCTCATTGAAGTACTTATTGAGTAACTCTATCGCCCTCGCTGGTGTGCACGATGATACTTCCTCTACTAAGCTGAAGTGAATCAGTCATATACTCTAAACTCGTATAATACGAGTTTCGAGTATATGACTAATACGAACATACGTAAATACGACGTATACGGAACATTAATACGAGTCGTATTAATGCTAACGCCATCAAGTTGAAAACGAAAATAATTGAAATTATGATTCTCACCAAGTGACAACAGACACTTCTTCGTAGTTGTCCAGGTCCCCATATACTCCATTTAGGAGTCTATCCACAGTGTGTCGTGGTAGACTTCTGTGTAGAATCGTTAAGGCCATACGATGCCTCGCCTATGCCGATTCAATTCAGCTCTCATATCACAACAGCCGATCTTACTTCCAGTTTGAGCATCTCGCGAAGTCTCACTTGGGTGTTTATTCTTGCCAACAGTTCCGTTTTCTCAAACGGTTTAGTGACATAATCGTTGCAGTTATACCTTCACTCGACCAGCAGTGTCTCTCAGAAGGATGTTCTTCCCATCTCACTTGAGACCCTTTATCACGTCATCACTTGAATTTTTAGCTGATATCATGATTATTGGCAAATCGAGGGGATATTCTTCCCTCAGTGTAGCGCACACTTCATAGCCGCTCAGACCTATACACGAACCCTGTGCACGAAAATATACACATTTTCAACCACATATGTTGATGGCGATATGAAATTTTTGGGAAATTCTGGTTGATTTCTGTACATTTCTACCCAAGGTCGTATACAAACTCCTTTGATTAATGAGAAAACTTCCAAGATCAGCTAAGGAAAGCCGACATATATTACAACACTCACATGTGTCGGTGACAATATGGAAATTTTGGAGGAATTCTGGGAAATTCTCGTTGGTTTCTGTAAACTTCTACCCACATTCGTATGCAAACTTATATAATAAACGTGGAAACTCCTAAACTCAGTTGAAGAAAGTGAACATATTTCCTTACCACACTGCCGTTGACAACAGTGTACCGAACCAATCGATCATTGCATTCGAGATTAAAGAACTCACCCGGCATCATAACATCGAGTAGAATAAGATCTGGCAGAGTTGTGGTATTGGCCATGTATTGTAATGCCTCGAAACCATCCATGGCCTGATGTACCACAAATTCCGCAGATTCCAACACAGTAGCGATGACTATCTGGTTAATAGGATCATCATCAACCGACAGTATCTGGACAACAACAACAACAACCAAGGCATGCTCCCTATCTCCTCGAGTCGTTATAGTCTAAAAATAATTTTGTCCATACTGAGCCATTAACAATAATTTTGTATGTATATAGCGCTTGATATGAATTCGTTCAACGACCTCTCTTATATGTTTTAGGACCTCCTTATTGAGGAATGGATGAGTATTCTATTAGAGCTAACCTGAGCCTCATAACAATTCCCAACTTCGCACACGAATTCACATTCCTCTGAGATTCCTCGTTAACTAATTTAGCAGAGTAAGTCGCATGAACGTGGAATAAATACTATAGTGGAGCTCAGCAACACTCGAATGAAACCATCACAAGTGTTGAGAATACACCACCTCGTAGGGCTCTCCAGACTTGAGTGCATCTAGGTGGTCTAATGATGGTCTCGAGAGGTAACCACGAGAAACCAAACCATAGTCATCGTATTGTGCTGCATCATCTGTAGTGGTGTTAGCTGATAAGGATCCGTCCATTTCAATGAGTTAATACGATGAGTACTGCTGTTTGTACTATCATTCCTCATTTTACAATTTCTAGAATGACGATCATACTACTATCATTTACAGGCATTTTCATACGCCTATTTTATCTATAGTGTGATATTTAACCGTATTATTATATCTTCATTGATCTAATATCAAGATGATAGTATTATAACTTGATCGTATTCATTTATTAATGTAGTTTCACCCGTTTTACGCGAAGTGGCGTGAATTTAGGTGAAAAACACGATATTCGCGATATGCTGTAGTCGTGAAATATGTTGTTCACTGGTGTTTTTCATATTACGGGTGGAACTCCAATAATAATATCAAACAATATGAAGATATAAAAATATAAATATGGGAGTACCAATTATAGGGTCCTCCTGAGGGAACTGGTCCGACAGACGAATCAAATCAACAACCATTTCCAGACAATCTATACGAAAATGCCATCACCGTTGGAATATATGTTCGTGATTCTCACGTGAGTTCAGGAGTTTATATACGACTTAGAGTAGAAGTGTACAGAAGTCAATGAGAATTTCCCAAAATTTTCTCAGAATTTCCACCAACACATGTAGTTGACTATGTGAATATTCCCTCACACCCCACGCCATGTGCTTCACGCGTGTCAAAGTATCGCCCAATGCTTTCATGGGCTCAACCGTTTTCACGGCTTTCTCCATTCTTCCAATGAACGACAATCATTAACTCTTCTAGAACCTAGAAGATCCTACATCTTACAACATGACTATGAACATCATCAGGGAAATAATATCCGATTGACGTCCGAAAGCATTATTTGCTGATGTATTCCGGTAATGATATCAGTGATTTGGGTTATAGTGAGGATACGGGTACCAACGAGTCCATGCAGACTGATGACTCTGGTCCTACCCATTCAATTAGCTTCCATCCTTACACAAATATCCTTTAATAGTGATATTCGGTCCTACGAGCTCGTCCAATCTATGTAGTGTTCGCCACTTCTACGTTCACGTCGTACCAAGTAATACGACAGCGCCGAGGCAGCAACTCGAACGGTAAAGCGCCGAGAACTGTTCTGAAGATTTCGTCCTAAAACCGGTGTCCACCAGAAATACGATGAACGACTATGCGACTATTTCGAGTTTAAACTCGCGTGTAAGTGGGAGTTCCAGAACATGATGTGATCTAGGTCTGTTGTGCTGCGTTTGTGTGACTAAAAAACCGTAGAGCAACCCCGAAAATAGGGTTTAACGACAACGGGAGTGTATCGCGTTGAAATTCCAACATGGCACGAGTAGTTCTGACTTATTTACATCATACCATACACAACAACACATAGTCCTGAATCATACAGAGACATACAAACTACGGGTTCATGAACCAGAGACTATCATTCTTCACCAGCTATGATGATGTCTTCTTTTCTCCTAACAATTATTCAATATAAAACCCATACCACTCCTCCTTACAATAGCAACTCTTGGCTATTGTGAAGGCGATGTACATCCGCATCAATGTGCTCCAACACCGACTGGGCCTCTGAAAGTAGTAGTATGTAACGGAGAGAAGGAAGTCCCGTCCCAACCTGTGTGTTCTAATAAGCCCGATTCGATCACATCAGAGAGCTCAGCTTGCAACTGCTGAACAACTGTTCCTACTTTCTGGTACCTGATAGTCCACGAAAGACCCCCGTTGATAATCCACCGAGACAAGGACGCCATCCTTCAAATGCATGTATGTATAATCGTACACATGTCCAAGTAATCACTAAAAACACACAGGCTCTCACCTTTGCGATAGATGAACAATTCTCGCAGGCATCCGGTCGAGCAAGGCCTCAGCTTCTCGAAGGTGGACATCTACTTCCGAACGCACGTTGTACCATACGGGCTGCAAAGAGCACATCATCATAATCATGATTGGGAGTGGCACTCCTTGATCATCTATTTCCCCTTCAGGATCACTTCCCGTACCGAAATGACGCATCGTAAACAAGCTATCTACTTCAATAACCATTTGGTATCAAGTGGAACCGAACGAGAAATACATTCGCACAGGAACTTCGGTCATATCATCGGCACCGCGAGCAGCAACTTCCACAAGGCAGTACTTGCCTTCAAGTTGTTGAAGACCTTGTCCAGCTGACCACCTTTCTTGTTATCCTCTTCCCCTTGCTCATCGTATCCCTCAGTAGGATCAGGGAACAATAGCTCCGTCACGGCCTGAATAGTAGTAGTAACCGAGGGCCTCGGTCCGAGGCCTTTCCGTCGCTCGTCAATTCGCCACAAGGCGGCACCAGATGAACACTATTCCCATCCTTCGATCCTCTCAATGGATGACATCAATAGTATTCTCAAGAGCACATCCCAGGCTAGTGATGCCTGGGATATGCATCCCAGTGAATCCTAGTGAATCCCAGGCTTCAAATTCGTCCCATTAAAGAACGAATTTCCTACAGAGAGCGCTGTGCTATGAAACTTACTTCGATAGTTTTCCGACTACCCTCCACGAAGAGATGCAGAATCTAAAATTACACCCAATGAGCATAGCTGACCACGCCACCCTTCCAAGACCATAGCATTCCTCATACAACTCTGCTTATCGTCTCCATGGTCTCTCAATAGACTCTGAACGATCTTCCAGTCACCAAGCCCCATCAGAACCTGTTCATAGCAGTAACCACCATCAGGAGCAACATGGGCTCACCTTCATTTTGGCATCTTCTACAGTCCTTAGCAACAAGCCTGCTATCTCCGGCTGGCCAGGGACGATTTCCACCTTCAACGCTCGCGTATAGAAACTCGCTGAGGAGCTCAATAGTTGTCCCAATGTTAAACAGTGAAACTAACGACAGTTAAGAGATAGGCCCCACCAAGCACGTTAAGATAAGTTTCTCTTTGTATACTCAAAAGCTCAGAGCTCGGAGTCTCAGTCGAGCCCGGTATGTCATCGCCGTCCAGGGCCGCCAGTGACCTCCGGAATGTTGGGCCTGATGAATTCTTCAAAATTGCTCAACACAGATGATACCCCCACTACTGGGTCTGTAATGATAGAGTACACCACCAGTAATACTCGCCCGTCGCTGCAATAAGGAGTTAATCGCAGCTTGTGGTGGTGCATGGAGGTATCTCCACGTACTAGGACACAGCTCCTCTACCGCATCTACGCGGTGTTGTCAACCAATTCTGGGGTGTGTGAGAGGGATAACTCACCTGTGGAACCGTGGCGGTTTATCGCTTTCCTCAGCTGAGCCCGGACAGCTTCCATCTTGATGACTACCGAAAACTAAGAGGACATCCTATTCCCCTCTGGAGTTCATATTGATGATCCTAGCCTGGGGATGAGAAAGGCCGAGAAGATCCACAAGAGGTCCGCACGTCATTGCATTTATGATGAGGCTCATCCAGGCCAAACCTGAACGCACGTGATGATAGTATAATCACTTCAAGTACACATTATATCACGGAGATAACTTTCACAAATGTCCTGAGGCGGGCAAGTCCTGCACTTGCTCAACTCACGTGAGTCGACTGAACTCAAACCCATGATGTACAATTGTGGCACTGCCACTAACGAGGAAGCGTCAGCATCACCGGAATGGATTTCTACCTGTACTGATTCATTACACTTGGAAGTCGATACTACCGAAGCCTCGATGCGGAGCGAGAAGGGCTGTCCGCTCAGCTAGAGTGGTGAATCGAAGCTGTCAAATTGCTTGACAATATTCTGAAGTTGTCGGATACCTTCTGGGTTAATGTCTACAGGCGAGACTGGCTCCGAAAGAAGTGTCCGTCCCCTCGAGAGCGTCCCATCCCTGCTAGCGCCTATCCCTGCGGACTCTACCAGTGAATTGTTGTAGCTCGTGAACGCAATCAATATGCACTCAACGTCAGTTCTTGTCTCCTTACGGGGGCAGTATCCATTTCACTATGGAACTCTTTTGTAAGGTGCCATAAGCGCCAACTACATATAGTTTCATTCCAACATCATATGTAGTTGACTAGATCCGAGTCCGAACTTGGAGTTACCGCCTAAATCTAGCCACAGGATGACGAGTCGTAGGAGGGTGGATTGCCGACAGCGCTGGCCTGGACGGCTTCCATGGAATAGCTCTTCCCCTGTAACCCACATATCCGACTCCCCATCATCTTCAGACTCCTCGGCACGGAGTCGTCAAAATTTACTCCTGAGGCTTCTGCATATCGTAGACGCTGGTTACGATGTTGTATGGAGAACCATGTGAGCAAAGTCAACGACGGGGAATTTCGTAGTGAGCGTAGGATTGCTACTGTACCAGTGTCCAACGAGCAATTAAGTTGACACAGAGTGCCCCGGCGCACACGTTGTGTGCCAGTGTCACACAACTGTGACAGCGACACAACGGGGGTATTCAGGGATTTTCAAACAGAGCCAAGATCCCCCTGTAGTCACCTCCATAGTAGAAGAATACTTGAGTAGCCTGGGCATCGTCGAGGAACGAAGACCTCGATAAAGATACGGCCAGGGCCATGGAAACTCCCCCTGAACGACATACAACTCAAACCTGTCAGGTTTGCAGATGAGCCACGAGCTTTTTGGTGTACCTCTGAGGCCTCCACTCCACGCAGTTAGAGTGAGTTCTTTCCAAGAATACCTGACATTGGGGGATCTTTAAATTTGGACTGGTCCGATCCCTTCGAAGAATTCCAATAACAACAGAGTTTTCGAAATGACGACTTCAGCCTAATTACTCCTCGCCAACACTGTTGATGAGAGGAGAGAGGGTGAAGACCATGATCGCTCGACTGGCACTCGTTGCAAGGTACAAGATGAACAACCTGAACGATAGGCACAGCAGAATGGAACCGCCCTAAACTTCACGATTAGTCTTCATGTTGACAACGTCAAGATGTGATAGCATATGCCCAGGTGAAGCCAAGATGCTTTATAATGAAGCTCCATCTAATAGATGGAGCTTCATTATAAAGCATCTTGGATATAGATGAAGGATATAGATGGCATCTATATCCTCCAAGAGTCCGCACGACACTCCTTCAAAAGTCGTACTCACCAGAGAAATTCTATGGGCTGCGCACGGTAACAGGCATCGCCAAAGAGAACTCCACCGAGGAAAAACACAACTGCGTTCGAGACAAATTCCATCACCGACCAGAACGAGTCAATAGATTCGCCGCTTATCAACAACGGGCGCATCCTGAGAACGATTACGTGGCGCGCGATAATAATCACGTGCAGCAGCACCTCCAAGAAAGCATCATCCCAGCCGTGAACGTCGTGATGACTCCCGACATCCCGAAGTAGACCTCCGCAATAAAGAAGGATGCATATGCAGTAACCAGAGATATACATGTCTGCAATGTAAGATCGTACTGCCCGAACCTGAGTCGCTCAACAGAGAACCAACAAGTAGAATACATGCACCCCTCTACTTCAGCATAGCAGCTTCTGTTTGAAAATATTGTACAAAATAGTACAAAAACCCGGAAATAGCAACGCTAGGAACTTCAGAATATTCGGGATCCAATGAACACTTGACTGCAAAGGCTGCCCACGAGAGCTCCCCTTTTTGTCAGCTCTTATTCATACAGGTAAGAGAAACAACTTTGACATCACAAGCAGATTGCCGACCACGGTGTTCGCGTCTAGACTGCATGTTTGACATTGTAAATCGTCTATTTCGCAAGAAGTCACCTTGTATCGTTGCGAAATGCGCAACTTGCGAAATGGACCAAAAATGAGATATAGGAATATAACACCCTGAGGCGGGTACCTGTTCCTGACATGAGACATCGCAGACAGCCCATGAATGCCCAAGAGCATGCCCAACGACACCGATCCAATCACTGCTCGCACAAGATACACTGCGATATCAACTGAGGAGATATACAGAATCTTATCACAGAGCGTGCGCGATCAGAACCCATTCCACGTACGCGCTCCATAGGGCGAAATCTGGTCGTCCAGCTCGGTCTTCGCCACGGAATAGAGGACGATGAGCATTCCATCGCCCAACAAACTCTCCGTTTCCATCAACGTTTTCAATCGCTGCGTAGCTGAGGTGAATAAAATGCTCCCATAAAATTACACACTAAACGCATTTCCCTACACCCCAACGCTCTCAATATCCAAATCGCAGCCGTCGGCTCCGTCCCCGACACCACCGCTCCAAAGCAGACACTCAGAGCCACAGGCCAATCTCGAGTCGATGGTAGGAACCTGCTGAACCGCCCATCTCGAGACGACCGGTACGAGAGCCTTCACCGTGTCGGGAGAGAGGACAGGAAGGCTGATATGAGGAAGCCGAAAGTCGCCATCAGTGTTGCTCTGAGAATGAGGACCAAGTTCATGTCAATGTGGGGTAATCAACAGTGGCTGCAGGAGGTATATACCTGCTAATACTAGCATTGACGAAGCTTCGACACTTCTTACAGCAAAACTATACAAATTTCGCAACAGTTTACCGAGAAAACTTCACTATCGTTGAGTCCTCCTACTCTACCCCTCTCGCTGGTGAAACACAGAAGACTCACTGAAGGAGACTTCCTCGGACCAGATTCGCATCCAGGGCGAGTACGTCACCGAACATGAGCATTGGGATGAAGACGAAGCATAGGAGCTGCGGATCGACAAGAAGCCACCTGAACCGTCACTCGCCACGAAATTCGGTAGGTAAAATCGTTACGTCTGAATACTGTCGCCCAATATGCCCCACTCATACAACGGAACATTGTGGAGAAGGACCGCTAGTAACTGTGGTATAATCGATCACGCGATCGATTTGGGAGTATTTTACCATGCCCAGTTTGAAGACAGCAACAGTTGGTGGAAGAACCTTCACGAAATTGGCACACACCCAGCAAAGGAAAATACCCATACCGACGGCTACTATGATGAACCTGAAATTACACCCCTCAGGCGACAGGCTATTTCGCGCGCCACGAAATTCACCACCTACGCTGGATGTACCGCGAATCATCCAAATTGCAGTGTTTGTCTATGTTTATTCGTCCGACAAAACATAGTCGAACGTAGGCGATAAAACCAAGGAATGATTGTGACACGATCGACTGCACTGTATCGCAGAGTCCTCCAACAGCCCGCTCTGGTTATGGCAATCGCCAAATACAATATCTCTGCTGAATATATTGATTTCGAACCTCAGACTCTATTTTGGAGCTCATTCTACTTCATCAAATGCGAGACAAATACCAAGTCCGATCTCCATAATTGATCTATCCTGCATGGCCCGATGATCGGTCTAAATTCCCCATTGAGGGAGTAAAAAAAGTATAGCATGATTCCACCACACAACTCACAGTATCGGGTAGTGTTGGCCGCCACTCTGCGCGGCCACTCCAACTTGTTTCCCATGAGATCCTCCGACTCGTTGCTTCGCTCCGCCGACTTCATTATCATTTTTCCCATGACCAGTGAGCTCCGCATGTAGCTGCTGTACCACTCTATCATGCTGAGCTTCAGCAGACGACTGCAACGATGAGCGTACGAAACAAAGCCTCTCCAAACGACCATCTATATACACTATATACTTCCTACAACGTCGCACTATGAAAGATTCACATACACAAACGATATGACATTAACCACTTAATGATGACTCTTTACCCCTCCCCATCCTCGAAATCTTCAACTGGTCTTCTGCTTTAACCAATGAGCAACACATAGAGACTCCCCCTCTACCACAAGGCTACTATCATCCAACTGCTACTACTACCAATGCATCCATAACAAGTACTCTCAAGCTCGGATGAATCCACCGACACTCCTACCCGTGCCCTCATAACGAGGTCCTTATACAGCGCCTCCCCGACTACCACCCACTCCCCCTGTTCAGTTTCGTACAAATTCCCACCAGTCGCTGAGGAGAAAAGCCAACACTCGCAATCTTCACACTAATGACTTTAATAATAACCCATTTCGAGAACTGCTCTACCCCTTACACCACATCAGCAGCGCACAGCGAAGATTCTTATAAAGATACCCCTACCGGGTAGGGCCTACCCACCAGCCTGGAGACAGAGCTTATCAGGCAAGGCCTCCTCGATATCGACTACTGCATCAATGGGATCCTCCGCCCGGATACTCCAACACACCATTACAACATACAGGAACATCGCCGAATACATTCCCAATAAAACAAGAGCTGCAAATGTTTAATTAACCAATTCTGCACGCATGCACACAACACGCATACACCGAAAGATTCTCAATATTGCACTAGTTTTGTTTGTTATATATACTCAAATCAACCGTTGGGCAGTCGAGCACGCTTGTTCAAGGCCGCCCCTTGTTGTTGCTGATCCTCCCGACCCGACTTGTATAGAGATGCTGCACCTGATGATAAGGGTATTCATATCAACATACCATCGTCAACAGTTTTGGAAAATATGCACATGGTCATCTGTTGGTGACAATATGAAAACTCTGTGGGGATTTTGGCAGATGTTTATTGGTTTCTGTACATTTCTACCGTGAGAAAACTCCTGAGCTCACTTGAGGAAAGCGAACATATATTCCGACACTGATAGTCAACTTAACATACTCTCGTATGCAGATTTCAGGTAGTTGCTCTAACCTACCAGTGATCGCCCTCAACCTCTTCTGTCCAACCGTAGAGGCAACATTAGATGTAGTAAACTCATGACAACTTCTACTGCTCGATAACCGCAGACTGTGTGCACTGCATGCCAACGGACTCTCACCGAAGTACCCATGATTCAACGCTCCAGCCGTTCCCAGTCGTCGGGCTGAAAATAGGGGGGACGACATATTTTTCTCGCGCGCCACGAAATTCGCTACCAGGGTCGCACTGCAATAGCCTCGCTAGAAGGTCTCTACCGCTGTCCGTGGTGTTGGAGAATACATACCCAAAGGTCTGCCGTTGCTGATAGAAATGCAACATGCCGGAATCGAACCCGGGACCTTCCGCATGAAAGTTACCTCATAAAACCGACCCTCATCCGCCGCGACCATACTGGCCGGCAGTCTCCCCGTGCTCACACTGCTACCACCCAAGCCCACTCCCGTTGGACGCGCTGAGGATGAGCTTGATGATGATGACGACGACTGAGACACCAAAAAATACTTCACAGAATCTCATCCGGATTCTAACACGAATACACGTCCAAAATACCATTTTCAAAAAGGTCAAGGAATTATGGTAAGAAACCTTCAATGTTTTCATCAGGAGGTGGGGTCGACGTTGGAGTTTCACCCGTGATATGAAAAACACATCTCACATTTCATCTCGCGAAAAACGCATGTGAGCAGTGAATTACGCGTAAAACACCTGATCGGTTCGGTGCAAGTCCCGGACATTGTTTTCAATTCACTTCATATCGCGTTTTTCACATAGAGTATTACACCACCTCACATAGAACAGGTGAAACTTCATTTTAATAAAAACGACATCCGTGGGATTCGAACCCGAGACCTCGAGATACCCTCATCATCTTCCTCATGTGTTGATAAGCTTCATTCAGCTGTGCATAGTTCGGCAACTGTGTACAAGCCGGCCACATCTGCTCACACGGAGCTCCTAGCGTGTCTGCTAGCATTCTATACCTGACCAAGATCAACCTAATATACCCACAAACACAGCACGCGTACACTTCCGTCTCGGACTCCCCCGGAAAAAGCGCTTTCCCTCTTATCAACTCCGCCAGTATACATCCAGCCGACCAAGTGTCCACTTTACTATCATAAATAGTAGTGCCCAATAGCAGCTCCGGTGGTCGGTACCTTAACAAGCGCGAGGTCCCCGGTTCGAATCTCCCCTGGGCTATTTTTGACCATTTTTTTACAATCAACAGCGAATGATAACATTCTCAAATAGCACACATGTTTGATTTTTGAGTAATAAGACTTACCATCGAGTGATAACTCTGTTGGTTTGATTGAGCCTTCCCTCTTTATAAATTCTCGCCAACCCAAAGTCCGCTATCTTTATATGTCCCAATTTATCCAACAGCAAATTGGACAACTTCAAATCCCGATGGACCTGAATAGTGCCGCAAGCTGACCTATTCCGTATCTTTACATGTCAACCTCAAGATACTCCACTCACCACATTATGTTTATGACAATAATCCAACCCTCGCAACACTTGCAGGAATATACACTTCACCTAACACACACACATTTGTCCACCCAACCTCATACCACTCCCCCACCTCATCAGGCCTCAGATTCCCATCGGACATGCCTGTATCGGTCCTTTGAGATCGATACGCCAACACTCCCGACAAGTCGTGGTCCATATATTCGAATACCATATACCTAATAATGACAACAACAACTACTCGAAAAGAGCATAAAAACCCAATCAGCATCCCAAACTGCTAAAAAATACTTTGCTTCTCAGAAAACCATCGGACGAATTTCTTAGGAAAAAATAGAGGAGTACTTCATACATACATGAATTCTTAGACGTTCATTTATATGCCCATCACATTCCTTTTCCGATACATTTCTTCATACCAAATCTTCCGCTCTTCCTAGAAGAGCCCAACCAAGGAACGAACACACTCAGCACTATATAGTAAATGCGTGTATACGCTATTCACACAAGAAAAAGCGTCGCCACCACGACTACGCGGAAAATACATTTTCATATATAGTATTATATATAAATATTCTTCAAACTAGTTCACATTCTCCAGATCTTCTTGATGCATATCATTCGATACGTTTACCTATTAATATCTAATAAAATGATAATATTATCCCTAGTAATTAGATATAAATATAAGGAAATCCATACCCAATCCTTACATATATATTATATCCTTACGGGATAGATTTATTATCATATAAATATATCTATCTATAATTAGTATTATATCAATTTTGCAAACCCCACTAGATCGGACAAAGCCACGTATGATTCCATCCTATACTAAGGCATTTGTAAAAAGCGCGCGCCCCACACTTACACAGAGCCTCTATGCTTGTCCCCGTCAGTCGGCTTAGCAAACACCACCTATAAGAACAACAACAGTAACTCCACACAACTATTCACTGAGTGATTTTCTTACATCCAACATTCGCACCACGTTTTCATGTTGTAATCTTTTTAGTATTTTTATTTCACGGACTGCAGTAACTGGAAATCCCTCTTTCTCATTCTTCAACAGCACACGCTTTAACGCCACGTATTGCTGGGTCCGTTTATCGATCGCTTTGAATACCTACCAACAGTATGAATGATATTCCCCGAAAAAAAAACACAAAAAATCGCGAAAACTCGTAAAAAACCCACCGTGGAAATGATATCCAAACTAAAACAACAACAACAAATCGAAAAAAATCGAAAAAAATCGCAATTTTCCCAACCGCTCTTCTCCCAAATCACCCTCGATAACAGTTAGAAAGCGAGCCTCACCTGACCATACGTTCCCTTGCCAACTTCGTTGAGTATTTCAAATTCATCCACACATCTCGGAGTGGAATAATGTATCATTTAAAAGTACGCTCACCTCCACTGAGAAGACTGTCAAAAAACCCCAGTGAGTGTTGGAGGAATATATTTTCGCTTTCCTCACCTGAGCTCAGGAATTTTCTCACTACCTACAGAGTAGAAGTGTAGTACACAATCCAATAACAATTTCTCCACAATTTTCATAAACTCACATAGCAGTTGAATATTTTCATATTTTCCCATACTATACTCGATTTCAACACCCCATCACCAAATTTTTTTACAAAAATTTCGATAATTTCCAAATAGCTCACCTCCACTGAACTCAACCACTACCACGCGAAACAAATCTTACAAATTTTCTTCTTTTCGGGACCTTCCCCGATGAACTTTCGGCATCATAAATTTCTCCAATTCGTTCATCAACCTCCTCTCCCTCCCCTCATTCGACACCGACGATGTCGACCCGCGCTCTTTTCGGGCAATCCGAAAATAATCTTCCCGCACTTCCTCTTCCGGACGCTCCCCAGGAGGGTCCACAATCGCCAAGAAACACCGGTCCAACGAGTCGGCTCTTTTTCCCATTTTTCTATCACTTTCTTCCTCCAAACTCATCCGTTTTCTCTTACTTTCTCGAAGTGTCTCCACCACCGTATTCGTCACTTTATTGAACGCCGTGCAAAAGTCCGGCACATCGCAAACGTTAATTCCATTTAGCGATTTTTCTATCAGATTTCGCAGTTCATTCACATCCTTTTCCCCCTCCACAATAGGCCCCTGTGCGACGGTCAGCACCCCCAAAGAAACTCTAAATATCACACAAATTCCAAACGCCCAATAAAAATCCCAAATTCTTTTCGAAACTTCTACCGGTAAAGTCGCCGTAAATAAACATAAAAACCATGAAACCGTCAGAAAAGAAAATTCGTTAAAACTTCTTTTTTCTTCTTTTAACGAGTTACATAATTCTCCCACATATCGCTCCGCCAGCTCTTCCAACACCAATCGATCAATAACCGCGCCCCTCAAACTCGTATAGTAATCCGGAGCCATTTCTCCATCCTCAATGATCGCGCATAAACAACAAAATGCAATTTCTTCCGAGCATACTTCCAGCAACAACGCTCCCACATAGCTCAACCCTTGACAATACCCCACCATAGGATTCCTCACCGAATAAACTCTCAAAATTCTCTTCAAAATTTTCGCTCCTCCTTTTTCCTGCCACTCCTTTTCCCCACAAAATGTTCTCGAAACGTCCAAATCGATCAGCTCGCCAAACTCCCCCTCCACTTCTACCAAATTCACATAGCCCGGATTTCTATCCAATGCTATTGAACTAGCCCCCGACAGCAAAAACCATACCCCTTCCCTTATACTCCCCGGTACTCCTTTTCTTGTCAATCTCTGTACCACACCTTTCGGAACGCTTATATTATTCATAATATAATGATCAACTACGCTTCGCCACCGACACTCCAAACAGGAGCAACCCCTCACATGTACCGAGCTGTTGTCGTCCGATAGGATCCTTAGCAGTTGGTCGAAAGCTCTGATGAGTTTATCAGGCCGGGAGTCTGGAGAAAGGTGATTAAATCCCGATGTGTAAAAACGTCCCTTTTACGGATTTTTTCACCCATCATACTCCGACGTTTGAATAGAGATATTCTTGCTTTTTCTTCCCGAAAAATCCCACAGAAATTTTCTTTCGATCCCAACAGCCCATTATTACTAAAACTGCTCAGAAAAAATTCGCAAAAACGGGAAAAAATTCTTTTTTCCGCGAAAATGGCGTGACCCCATTGAAAATTTTATTGCGGTTCGAACTTAAATAATTCAACCATTCCAATTTCAAATCATCTCATCATCGCAGCTCCTCTCGAATGACATTAATTTCGCCACACATATTATACCGACACGAGCATAAATTCCTAATTTTCCATCTCATAAAAACTTCATAGTATCGCGATAAGTCTCCCCTTAATTATCGCGAAAATTCTGACAAAATTTCTCAAAAAAATGTGATCAACTACGTGCGTTGGTGACAATATAAAGATTCCGAGTAAATTCTTATCGGCTACTATACACTTCCAACCGAATTTCTACGATTCGTCGAGAAACTCCCGAGCTCAGCTGAGGGAAGCAAACACATATTCCAATACTAAAATTTCTCCAAAACTCTTTCCCCCGTTACTACTCTTTATAATAACAACCGCATCCAACTTCTCCTTCACACCAACATCAGCGCACCACCTCACAAATACAAATACTCCATTAACAAGTCCATGAAAGACTCTCCCTCCCTCTCCAGCAGATACCATAAATTCCCGCAAAAATTTTCCGTTATTTCTCCTACAAATTTCCCCAAATTTTTCCTCGATTTTCCCTCCACGTAATTCCTTCGGTACCGCTCGGCCGTCCAAACGTTCATAAATCCTCCTCACAATCTCAGCCGACTCATCCTCCTCATGTGCATGCGTGCAAAGATATCCTCCCGACGAAGCCGACGATTCGACCATAGGCAAGCGACCACACTCTGGAAACTCAATAACAAACTTCGAAAAAAAGTACCAACCCGGAAAAAGATGAGAGAAAAAATTTTCAAAAGCAGAGAAAAAAATTTTCAGGTCATCGCTGATTACAGTACTTGCTTATTTGGAAATTTCCCAGCCCATAAGAAAATAATTTCACCAAAAAATTCACAAAATCTGTGATAACCAACTGAGTTGGTAAAATAATTGAAACTCGATCAAATATTATTATCAAAAATCTCATCTAGATTAAAATGCCAAATTTCCTCAATACCATTCTTCGAGCAACTCCTCCTCATAAAAATTCACTCCAACACATTCCCAACCACCAGCATAGAAACGTTTGCTTACAGTAAGGAACATCATCAACTGTACTAAATCGGACCTCATCCGTATCTTCCACCCTCAAGCTTTGGATACCATTTCCCTCCGTATTACCTCCCTAACCCTCCCCATTTTTTCGCCGCATCCTTCTTTTTCCAACTCTTCGAATAAATCATCAAATTCCTCACCGTCGTCGCTCCCCGTAGTCATCGCTACCACAATTTCGTCAATTTTTCCCGAAATTTTTTCCGTTCGCTCCGCTAAAGCATCATCAACCATTTCTTTTTTCAAATCAACGACCAAACTCCCCATCGCTTCAACCATCGCTCCTGCGCTCTCCACAAGAAATAAATCATCATCATCAAAATTCAGCAAATCGTCATCGTCCTCATCTACTAGATCAGGAGCTCCTAAAAACGAAAAAAATGGAAAAAAATCAGGAAAAAATTTTATTCACCATCTTCTTTTTCCTCCCTTGCTCTCCTCACTGCAGTGCTCAACTCCTCCAACGCGTCTTCTATACACTTTACATGTCTTGTCACTATTTTTCGACACGCACTTGCAGGCCCCAACGACATTTTCTTTACACGTTGAATACGCTCTAGAATAACACCGCCTGAAATAAATAAAAAATTCCCTCAAAAAAACTGGAAAAAATCCATAAAATTTGACGAATTTCATCCAATAAAATCCCGAAGAAACGACAAAAAATTCAATTTCAATTCCAAAGACAACAATTTCTACCACAATTTCCTCCCCAAATATTACATATCCTGCTAACAGCTGCTCTATTTCGCACTGCCGCCTCACTCAGCTTCTCCACTTGCTTGTCAATATCATCACCCAAGGCAGCCACTTCAGCAACCAAACACTTCCCTCCTAAAAAAATTATAAAATTCAAGAATGATATTTTTCCTATTAAAATTCCCACAGGAAAGTCAGTAAATATTATAATTTCTATCACGTGGAGAGTAGTGGAGACATGATGACACAATTTGCCATTTATGCCAGAGGACATAATAGGTTGCTGCCAATCCGGAGCCGATCCCGGCAGTGCTTGGGACAGTTGTTCCGTCGCGGTGAGCAAAACCGCTTTCCTTCGTGTTGCACGCATACACAAAAGATTCTGTCCCCTAGCGTTTCGCTAGGAACATTGCCATCATTATTCACTAACATGTACAACTTCTCCTTTCTTAAGTTCGCCTTAACTTTTGTTCAAAAAAGTTTTACTACAGATTTTTTATTCAAAAAATCCACGCGAAAAAATTTTTGCTTTTTTGGAAAATTTTTGAGAATTCCTCCACAAGGTGTTTAACGACAGTGATTTAATTTAGCATTTCAAAATCGTCGAAATTTTTCCTTTCAAATTGCAAACACGAGCATCAGCTAATACAATCGCATTGATTAATTTCCCAACACCTCCCCCTCCCCTTAGTATCACCCTTCAAGGCAACTGCCGTCATACACGTGCATAAAACCCCAAACGTGTTGGCGACCTCCCGACCAACCGGTGTGAGGATGGTAGACACTTCCTCGTCACTTTCAAGTTGGGCACAGAAACATCCAAACTTTACAATGCTGCGCTGAAAAAAACATCGTTAGACGATTTTCCCCGTGTAAAAACGACCCTAAAAACAAATAATTCCTAACGGTCGGAATTATATAAAACACAAAACCATTAAAATCTCAACTTCTCATTGATGCGCTAAAACGAAAGGAAGAGAAAAAAAACTAATAAATTCGCAAGAAAAAAATCCCACTTTTTCCTGTCGAAAAAAACCTGAAATTTTCCCTAAATGCACAGCCGAAAAATTTATCAGCTAAATTTTTCCCTTCCACCTTGAAAGCATCCGCCTCTCGAATAAGCTTATCCCTGGTGACGTCAACAGTAACCTTAGACTGGCCCTCAGAACTACTACCAACATACTCCGGCACTTCTGATACGTCAACACCTGAAAATTACATAAAATTAATCACCATTATGTAAGTGAAAAAATATTCAATTTTTCGAAAATTCCCAAAATATTTCTACCTGGACAAGTTGTTTTAGTAGGAAAATTCACAAATTTCAACGCCTTGAAAAATCTCAGGAAATTTATGATCATAAAAATCAGCATAATGGCAACATCAATTCTCTTACGCCCCTTACGTAGCTTCCGCCAGATCCCCTCAGTGTTGATGATTTTGTTGGACATTATTAACCCCTACGATACATTCACACAACACGACTTAGGCAAAAATAATGAAATCAATGGAGTTTCACAACCCGTTTTACGCGAAGTGGCGTCGTAAAACTCGGTGAAAAACGCGATATTCGCGGTGATATGCAGTAGTCGTGAAATATGTTTTTCACATCACTAGGGTGGTGAAACTCCATTGATATCATATTAACCCTCGTCTCTTACTCGAACACGCTTAATACGGAATTACCATGTATTGCGTCTCACTCGGTGATGATTACAAATGGTATGGTATCGGTAAAATTAAAATCCATCGCCTTACAGCATCTCAAGTCACGTCTTGGAATACAACACAACTCCTAATTACTTTCCCAACAATTTCTTTATAGATTTCATCGATACCAACCGTCCAAGAGTATCCCTCATCTCTCTCACCACAGGAACCTCGCAGGTTCGAATCCCACAGACTACAATCAGCTCGAAAAGAAGACATGCACGAAAAACTTTTAATGACGGAAAAATGTCCTACCCGGGGATCGAACCCGGTCCAAACTCCAGGGTAGCGACTGATGCCTGGTCTATTGACTTAATCAATAGACGGGGGCTAAGCGAGCATCGCCCCGATAGTAGCGAGCTGAGCCGATATAATAATAACAGCAGCCACGGCTTATTAGCTCGCCTTACTACTCATAACCCGCCTTCTACCTTACCATACTTATGCGATTCTCTTCCACTCAAAGGCGACGACTTTAAACTTGTCGAGAGGTGATAAATTCCTCCCAGTGAAGTGTATTATGAAGTTTTCGTTTTCTTAGGGTGGAAGAACACAAACCGTTGATATGACAATAAGAATCGCGATAATCATTAACATTCATCATTCCATGCCATGGACCAGGCGATCAACAACGGCAGCTCTTCTCCTTATAGGAGGATGATGACGATTAAAGAGAATCGATCCAAGCATATCTCTGAGGTCGGGCACATAGTGAGGATTAACGTCAGTTCTGAACCTGATGATCAACCGAGCATTAACCGTCATTAGAGATGGAGAAAAAATCCAACGGTTCACGGCAATAGTATTTGCATTAGCAGCGAAGGCGTAATGGTAGTCCGAGACTTTAGTACAGCACGTCATCAGTGTGGAGGAGGAGAATATGCACATGGTCAACCACATGTGTTGGCGATGACAACATGAGATTTCTGAGGAAATTTTGGTGATTCTTTGCTAATTTCTGTGGGTTTTTAACTCCTTCACAAACTCCTATGAATAGCGAGCTCAGGTGAGGAAAATAATCATATATTTTCGTAATGTACGTTACACCACTTGCCGTACCAGAGCCCGAGAAGTGAGTATGCCATACACGCAGAGCACTGACAATTCAACTACAACTACCCAAGTTTCCTCAAGATCTACTAGATCAACCTTCACCGTTATCTCAACAGCAACAGAAAGCCAACCTCCACCTGATGATGTTGGACAATCCTCACCTCCGCCGACGCTGATAAAAATCGTCTATCTGCAAGTGCTGCTTTCCATGTCGATACAGCTTTCTAGGACCGCGCGACATGAAACTACTTTCCGTTACTTTGGTACCAGTGAGGACTCCAAATTGCGACTTGAGAACCTATAACTCAACTCTAGTTCCTAAACACGGCAGTGCTCCTCACGTGGATGGGGTTGCAGTTAAACCAGTCGAAAAGCAGAGATTCCTGAGCTTCCGAAAATGTCACATCGGCAACTTCAGACTCGCCCTTAGCCCTCCAAGGCATGTTGAAGATAATCGCCAAACATAATCTACATAAGACCGACTGCACCAACTTTTCATCAGTTGTTCACGACTCGTGAACAGTTAAATCGAGATAATCTCAAATCATAACTACATATACGCCGCTTCCCAGCGGAAAGTTTCTACGCAATGAGGGTATAAAACGTAATCATGAACAACACAAAAACGATCCCAAGTACTCACAGATAAGCTCCACAAGCTGCAACAGTAACGGTCGCGATATTCGGCGCTGTCGCCCTATCATCCCTCCATAACCAATACACCGGAGCCGATGCCACTGCGCCAATGACGAAGGTCCACAGTATCAACGCGCATAAATCCAACCTACTTACTCACTTTCAGCACCTCGTAGATCGCGCTCGCCATGTTGATCGATTTGAAGTTCGAACCGACCCACCTGTGACTGTAATATATCCTCACCTTCGACATCCTCAGATGTAGTATCTTCTGAGAGACGTACATAAATGCTGACCAGCCGATCATATTAATAAAGATAGTGGGGACTACACTCGAGTGTGACACAGTGAATAAGAAGAACATACACCTGATATGACGCTCAATAGCTGCCGAGAGTAACGCATCATCGATACGTAAGGCAGTTTGCGATCATTAGAGAGTAATCCCAAGCCAACCACATCGGACTAGGCTCGAGGAGCGTCTCTGCTGATGAGGCCGTTATAGTGGAGTCTCTTTTCGCGCGGATGTACCTGAATGAACAAAACCATCATAGAACATGCTCTCTTCTATGCTCACATGAACCATAGCCTCAGCACGTATCCCCCTAATGCAAAACCAATATATGGTAGAAGGAGCGTCGCCGGCCATAGCATGTGGTATCTGATGACACCACTGAATGCCTTTGAGTGAGAGTGAATACTCCCACATTAGTGAGGAAATGCGCATCTCCACAGCGAAGGCTTCAAGGGAAGCTGTCTGCAGCACAGTACTCAACAGGCTCCAGATCCTGAATCATGCAGAACCAGTGATGAATACACCAAAGTTCTCAAATATATGAAATAAACCTAGCGTCGATATTGTGATATTCCTCGATGGAATTCAGCTCCTCAGGTGGGTTCGTGACAGCCGCAGAAATGAAGTGCTATGAGAAAATTTTGCGAAGTTTAATGGAGTGATGGAGTAGCATGAATCGAGCAGACTCACTCATTTCCATCGGCCACGCGACACTCATACGCAGCCACAGCCGCACTAAAGATGAGGTTGAAGAGGGATAGCGGGAAATTCGCCATCAAGATTATAATGTCCGCGCCGTTCTCTCGGTGGGCCCCGGCAGAATTAGCTGTTGCATACAAGGCTTCCCCGAGGAGTGTGTTACCTGACAGCTGACTATCGTACGATGCGACAAACGAATGCTCACAAAGAGAGATCAGAAGGCCGAGTAAAACGGGTTCGATACCACTCGGAGTGATTCCAGCCTCGCCGATGAAGGTGAAAACGTATCTAAAGCAGCGACTCGTATAGTCTGAGAATAATCAGCAGTGCCCTCATTACATGCAGAAGGGCGTGAAGAAGATGGCGATGTAAATGATGAAGGTAAGCAGAAGCGTGAGGAGGCCTTTCAAGAGTCGGAGTGAGAATGATCGCCAGCTCACGTGGAGACTGAATAGAGGAATAAATCACTTCTCATTTCATTAACTCGGCGTTAGTTCAACGAAGATTACGGAGGACGTGTGGAACAATCTCAACAAAGACAGCCCAGGCTGTAGGGAATTGACCCGGACCGGACCGGGGCCGTCATTGTTTAGACGCGGCGCCACATCACTTGGACCCCACTGATATCGAACTCGATAGTATTCGGGAAAGTGATCTAATCAGCGACTCGCAACACATACAGGAATGGAAACGCTGCTGTGCGTAAGGAATATATAGTATGAATGCACCGGTACGTCGAACAGCCCGTTATCTTGGTAATCAGCCTCCGAGAGGCTATAGCTCTGTAGACAAGAGCGTCTTAATCGCCCTCCGGAGGCAGAGGAGCTTCCATTGCTTCCTTCTACTGATCGACCACAAATCACATTCCGCTGTAAAGTTTTAACATCAGGTTTGTGATATACTTGTGATGATTAAATCACTCGTCAGTTCTCCTCCCGACATACCATTATGTCCTTGGCAAGAAGAGCGTTGTGGTGTGCGAAGCAGCCAATGCTGAGAGCATATGGTTAGACAAAGAACCTCTGTTGATATGTGCTGCTGGGCAGTCTCAGAATCTCGCTGAGTAATCAGCGCTTTGGCAACAATCTTGCTGGCGCTCGTCATGTTTGTGGCGTTGTCAGTCATCATTCCGCCCATGACACATGTCTGGATACCAACGGTATCGGCTCATCTGAGCCTCATCATCAATCGTTACATCGCATCACTCAGTCTCCAATGCACCAACCAGCCGCGGCTACTGACGAACTGGTTTCAGCCCGAAGAGGCAGTTCGCTGGAAGCCAACTGCTTCCCGAGGATGTTTCATCAAACGTTTCACAGGTAAAGCGGTCACCGTAGTCCCTGTCTTCTCACCATTGACTGGAAATCTCCATGATCGCAACTTCTCACCAATGGCTTTCACTGCTATCCCTTTGCGGTTTCCATCATAGCATTTCCGAAGCCAGTACTGCAATACATTTAAGTTCACTCTGGATCCCACTCTGGGGTTCCCAGGGCTTGATTCTCGGACCGGGAATCCTGAGTCTCGTATTCCTATATCATTATGCTTGCCTGCTCTGGAGCTCAGTAGAGTCGCCGAAATGAGTAACTCATCAGGAACCTCTTATATAAGGTGGCCGCAAAGATCGAGTCAGCGTCTTCGAGCTTCACTAAGCTCATAATGGGCGAAGAGGAGTGTTTGCAGTGTTGTGACCAATGGACTCATCAAGTAAACTGTAGTGATAATCACTCTTATGATCACGTAAGTTACGTGACGTAACTGCCACCCAATAATCATAGTGCGGTTGTGATTTTTGACGCAGGGGTGCTCCTCAGCACATCACAGTGAGGCGGCTATTACGGTCGCTTCCGTTGAGCGAAGCTAGATCTATTATAGATCTATAGGCCTACTATAGATCACCTATAGTAGGCCTAGTCTTTATGGATGGCAGTTTTGACAGCATCTTGGTCCGCTAAACTGCTTTCGAAGGACGCAAATGATGGATCACCTGTTCCAGTGGATGTTCACCGGTTCTGCATAAATTCTGCGGACCGTAACCTCATGATCTGTCCCCGAGGCGGCTCCGACATACGAGAAGCTGGTGATGCCTGTCAATGATCATGTCAACCAGCAGCTGGTTACCAGCTTCAATCGCGGAGAGCTAGTAAACTCAGCTCTCTTTTCCCAACTAATAAATTCTGAGTTGAGGGGTCGCATTGAGTCCGTTACCGCTGAAATTACTGTCTCTTACTAAGAGACTCTTAGACTGAGAGTCTGGTCGCTAAGACTTAGAGTGATGGGACCATTGCTTTGAATACGAATTTTTGTGAAGCATGCGAATGCTCAAAACCGGATAGCATGTCAGGACTAATCGAAGGTGTCACCCAGGGGGACTCACCCTGTAAGGTTTTTAATACGTCTTACGGTAGAACGAGGTTATAAGTTCTATTCCGACGGTAAAGCGAACACTAGCTGATACTCACACATCGCTTTCTCTCGTTCGGCTATAGTGTTAAACACGGCGAAGGCGATACCGGTACCCTCCAGCTCCAGTAGCATTCCACGAACATCATCGAGCGTGTATCTGAGAGAACCATGAGGGCGAACTACTGGAGGCCCTCCAGTGGAGGGACTCGAGAAAATTGCTGTGGGATAAAGGATCCTAGACTGATAGCACTCCTCGGGCAGAGCCACTGGGGACATCTCTCGGCCTCCATCCTGGCTGTAACTCCACCGAGATGGCGGAGAACCCACCAGTGACCCTGTCAAAGGTACGTCAGAGGACCGCACTGTTGAGCTCTTTGTACCATGTGCCGAATCACCTCTGGTGGCAATGGCCAAGCTACGTCGTGAAGAGTTTAGCGTCGCATCGTGCATCATCTCAAAATGCTGCAGATGTGTATCACAGAGCTTTTCTATAATATCGGTCTTGTCGATGTACCTACATCGGCATAGTCCGGCCGCCAGCTCTATCAGCATCGAAAACGTCGATTCGAAACCTGATGCCTCATCAACACCAGTTCACCTGTAGGCGATGCTAACACCGACGGGCTCCACCCCAGTTCGCTCTGCTAAGATCGAAATGAGAGTATCTTGATCCGTGGCGCTCGGTGGGAGACCATCGAGCTGGAGAGCGAAGTCTTCCATAGTACAGTGCCGGGAGCGGAAAGATTCTACAGTGTCCCTAGGGAGGAGAACAAAAAGTGACTCACCGTTTTTCAGTGAATGAGATCCATCCAAAAGTTGGGAGAGGTTTACCTTTGATGGACTGCGAAGATGACAGATATGACGAAAGTCATCACGGCAATGAGCGATCCTACCATTACCCTGGAAAAGGACGAGTTTTACCAGCAATGATTATGCGATGTGCAAGGTGAGCGGAAGTACCACTGTAGAACCAGAGTTACGACGCCGCCAGATCATGTGATAACGGAATTTCCGTGAACCATCTCACATTACTGCGCATCAGCATAGTGTATGACAGCTATCCTAGCAGCTTCAGAGAGCTGTAGTTCGGCACAATCTTGCTGGTCCAAGTATCTCGAGAATCGGCAACTGCTGGATTGAGTGACAATTCAGGGGCTCCAGGTGGGGGACGGCTCAACAAGGATAGCTTACAAGCTACTTCAGACAGAATATGTATAGAAACCTTCGAACCCATCTCGCCTCGAGCCTCAGGCCTACAACTTCGAAGTTCGAGGGATGCAAAAAGGCAAACCAATTAGGGAGAATGTTATTGACATCGCCATCAATTTTAATTTCATGTTATCAATACTTGTTATGCATAAGTTGACGATGTCAACTGGTTTCTCTGGGGAACTGCGAGAAATACAGGTTTCATTTTCTCGAAGAAAAAGTACGTCGGGTAACTACTAGAGTACCCGGTATCTGTAATTGATGTTGGAAATTATCATTATTTATCTGATGCTCTCTCGTTACCGCGTTTACGAGTCCTACTCAGTTACGATTGTAACAATTTGTGGAAATGAGTCATTTGACAACTAGCAACAATCATAACTACCGCGAATAGCATCACAGTGTCTTTTAAATGAGACTGTGATGCTGCTCGCCGATAATGATGTCAGAAGAATCACAAGAACTGTCTATCGCTCTGAGTAAACTCCGAGCAAGAGTAACTCTGACAAGATCCTCACAATTCATTCACTTACATTCCGAAATAATTCAAGGCAGCTCTTCTCTGAATCACCGCATATCCCACGGCTAATATTGTGAAAAAAACAGCGATGAATACTAGCCAGTTGTAGTACCTGAAGATGGATGCGACAAATCCGCATGAGTCCACGAAGCGACAACCCCGAGATTTTCCATGCACGACTGCCATTGGCAATTCGCCAACAATAACTTGAGAGCTAATATACGCTTATACGCAATACTTCAGTCAGTGAGGAGGAATAGGAGACCAAAAGTGGTTGTATAACAACCTATGATGGCTGCACGAGCAGTATTCATCTCGTAGGTTGGTATGATACATCAAAGGAGTTATCGCTACTGTAGAGAGAGTGCTCCCGGGGCGCAGCTCCAGATCGGATAATAGAGGGCGGTCGGAGGCACTACCTCACGCAGGTTGTAAAACTCTGCTTTCAAAATGATCGACTTAAGTCGACGATTATCGTTGAATGACACATTCTGTCAGCCAAGCTCTTCAGTGCATCCTGCACTGTGCAGTTTCCTCTCCAGGCAACTATGAAGTTTTTCACCAGGACTGAGACAGTTGTGCCTGGTTGGATCCTGCCTTGCTTGAAGCTACTGTTGACCGCTTCGATGGCGTTGTTGTGTCTGGGTACCGTTGTACCAGGTAACCTGGCGTCCCAAAAGCGGAAGGGCAAGACTGGCTCCGGGGTGTACTGTGCCACCCCATCCCTGAACGACACTTCGAACCCCTCCAACAATTCCCTCAAGTCGGAGTTGAATTTATTTCTTAAGGTAGACACACTGTGCCCAGACAAAGACCCCCCAAGGGGGAACCCCGCAACACCCCCCAAGACCTGGCACCGTAGGCAGTAGTGGTGGTCTTGGCCACAGTAGAGTCATGACACTTGAACAAGCGGAAATTGCGGATACGAACGGAAACCCGAATGCTAATTTCAACATCAGCGACAATCCCGTGGGGTGAAGGCGGCACGGCGGGGAGGAGGGGGCCGGGGAGCGGTGACGGAGGAGGAGGGGCTGGCGGAGGAGGAGATTATTTCCGGGTTCGGGTAACCTGGCCCAGGTTAACAATGTCAGCGACTCTGTAGCCAGTAGCGCGGTCACGGGCCCACGTCTTCCTCTCCAAGGACTGAATGAATACCTCATATTGAGGAGTATTCATCAGCTCATCATGGTTTTTCTCTCGGCATCATGCAACCATGGCCACATTTGGCCGAGCAACGAGCGGCGAAGATTACCGCGGCGGTAATACCATTACTGCCGCAATGGCGGTAATACCGCCATTGCGGCAGTTCTCAATCTTCTCTATTCGAGGCACTCAATTCGTAGTGACCTTGAATTCCGATCTTAACAAGGTCGGGACTCTTTGCCGAGTCTGTTCAAGCATGGGAGCCTCTCTTAGAGAGAAAGATCCTCAATAGAGCAGAAGATACCCATCCAGTGCCTCAGCTACAATGAGCTACAGCGAGCATAACAGAATATACTCTACTCTCGAAGCACTATTCTGGTTGACTGAATGAACTAGCCTCAGAACCTTCTTGTTGGCGGGATAAGATTCATCTACAGTGAAATTGATGGCGAGAGTCAAAGACGTTGCTCAATATGTAGAACGTGAGATGAGAACTCATGACTGCCGAGATTCAAGGAGCCCAAGGGCCAATCTCAGAAGTCTCCTTAAATAATTAAAACCTCCGACTCTGACTCACAATGCAAGGCCGACTCCCATGACGTAATCTCGATGCATGTTGGTGGTAAGAATGGAATATCTATTGAGGAGACACATGTATGTTGAACTGCCAAGAACAGCGCCTTACAAGGGATCTTCACTGCACATGTCGTCATTTTCTCCCACAGGAAAATACCCACCTGACCTCCCAGGAGTTCGCCGTGGGAGACAGCGTCGATGGTGTAGTAACTGACCATGGTGCATGGATTAGGGCTAATACGAGTGCAGCAGACTGGCGTTCAAACTCACCCCGAAGGATATTTCCACTGGTCTTTTCGCTGGTGCCAGCGTCTGAGAATAACTCACATACGAAGATGATAATGTCCAATGGACGCTGGGCCAATTGCTAAGAGTAACTTACAGCATACAAAAGGAAGGCAGCCAATGCACCGATAAGCGGTGCCGATAGCCAATAAACAATAGGGAAGAACTTAGCATACCTGCCTAGTAGTGACTAAGCTTGTTCTCTCTGTTCTCTCCCAGCTTACACAAAGTCGCACGAACCATCAGGTTGCATCGTGAAGGTTGGAGCGCAGCGGAGGCAGCGCTGGGACGTGATGCAGTGCCTACATCCTTGCACTGAACAGGTACTGCACAGACCAGACGACTCATTCGGGTATCTGTCAGGCCAACAACAAAACGTATGGGTCCGCAAAGTTCGACTCCAAAATTGGTGGATGCAGAAGTATCAACAGGAGCACGACGAACTCGGTGTTGAAACTATCAACAAGCAATACTGATTCTATTCGTTCTACGCTCTTATCGTATCCAGCGATGCAGCTTACGGTCTCAGGATATCTCTCGCCGAGCATTCGTCTCCTCCCACACAGCTAACTTCGCACACGAAGTTCCTATCTATAGCTATGAACGGGCACTCGGGATTAGAGCATCTCTTATGCAGCATCTCTTGGGATACGCCTGAACTACAACAGCAATCAACGAGACTCCTACTCCGGAGATAGGAACTGCTGGAAGCGGGACAACTATGGGCGTATTACACGTAGTTCTATACACATCCCGGCACGTGTCGATCATTGTTAACTCCTTCCGGCTGAATTCCACCTTCCTCGGGTCACTTCCTCGTTCATAAAAATGGCAGCGAGAAGCGTCTGAATAGCCAAGTAGCAATAGCCGCAGTTCGTAAACCTCAGTTGAGTGACTGTGGGCCACAGTCTGTGGCTTGCTAGTACGATATCACAGTTCTATATCATACAGATCGCAGTGTCCACCACAAAGTGACTCCACCAGGGTTTTCGGACAATCTTACCATCATTTTCTCCACATCTCGAGACGACAAGCCATAAGAACAGCAGTTGTACTCTCATAGCAAGGCGGCGAAATTACTACACTCATATGTGTAACAGGAGTTCGTGATCCCTGATCACATCTAGTAAACTCAGTACTTTTTCATGACTATCAAGTCCACAGTGGATCCGCAACACTGTTCGACATTGAAGAGTTAATCATCTAGTCTCCAACGGAACATCAAGAGAATACTTGGGCCCTATGAGGGATCCATTCTAGAATTTCAGCGTCGAGGTATAAACAGTGAGTTCCCCTCAATCAACTGCTACTCCGAGATTCGCTAATGTCCGGAGTATGATATTAAATGCCATACGATTCACTTCCTATAAACGGGGGCATAGAAAGAACCCTCGTGTGCGCGACCTTCCCCGATGAAACTTCCCCATACAGTTATCCAATACTCAGCGGCACGATTTTGCGGGGAACTCAATCCGAATAGCCGGCAGCGGCACAATAATTCCGGAGAGAGACGCCTCGAAGCACTTGCGAGCGTAACGCCATGATCATTCACAACTATCGACCTCAACAACCTCAAACAATGGAAAAACAGTCTCGAGCAGTAGCAGCTGCTGCTGTTCGCATTTGAGTAATGCATATAGTCACACAAATGTGATGTAAGATTCTCGACAAGAGCACGCACAAAGTACCAGTAAGAGAAGCATCGAACACACTTTGGCCGATTCGGATGTACAACGATTAAGAAAGCTGCTTTCAGCAGCACATCTCGAGAAGCCTGCTTAGTTGCTTGCAGACTGTATCTTTTCGATTCGGCTCATGAACGCCTTCTGAAAATGTGATGACAGTCGTACGGAGAGAATCTATCGAGCTCTACAGAAGAATAAGATGTGAATTATGTCACTGCCTTACTACTAGCTATTCTATGACCTATTGTGTTGATTCACAGACTAGAGAACATGTAAAATATCCTTAGACCAGCCACCTCCCATGCTGACCTTATTTCCCTGTGGAGTAGTAGTAGGTCTACCAAGATCTGTCCTGACTCCAGGTTTGACGAGGACTTCGATGAACACAGGCCCTCCATGAGGCTGCGCCACAGCGTCGGCTACTGCTGACGAGAGCTCCTCCTCGGTACGAACACGTATGGCAGTTGGATAACTGGGGGGTAGAAACAGTGTCACCGAGAGTCGAACCCGGGACCTTTCGATTACCCAACATCTCGGGCAATACCACACAGATTTAAACCAGCAGCTGCCGTTGGTTGACCTCCAACACTCTCATGCATCCCATTGTTAACCTAAGCGATGACAAATTAGGTCGCAGGTTCGATCCCCGGCACCGCCTACCAGAACGTGGATTAAATTGGTAGCCTTATTAGTAGCCATCGACCCCATATGCATCAACAGGGCACCATCGCCATCCATGCATACTACGGGTGACTCCGACGGCATGTGGCTCGCCAAACCTGATCGAACACACTCCAAGATCGACTATCAGGCTCCTCATGAGTGGAAAATTTCCACTCAGAAATCTCACCGTAAACACAGATTCGAGAAAAGAACATTCATTAACCCTGTAATAAAAGGCTGTCACAAATTCTCAATGATTCTCCTTACCATGAATTAAGCACGAATATCAGAACATACTATTCCTATCAGACACACCCTCCTCAACAACCAGAGGCGACACAACAACCTGTCCCCCCTCCATCGAACAACGATTGAGAGCAACCTCTATGACGTCGTTACCTCCGGCGATAGATCCAGCGTGGCCCATGTTGCCAACGCACAGGAAATCATGAGAATGGTCGCCACCGTACTCGTTGGTTCGGATTTCGAATAACTCCCGACTGAAATGAAACTGCATGTACGACTACCCATCCTGTGCTTCCGAGGTTGGCAGCATCTACCTCAAGAACCCTGTAGTGCCAACATAAGTGGCCTGGTCGCCGCCGGACTTCAGTACTACTCGGATCGCATTCTCTCTCGTCATAGGCAGGGTATGGTCATAATCAACTGCCGTTTTCAAGCCGTACCTTCACAAAAAAACATCTACCCGAAATGACAGCTTGTGACGCTCTACTACCGCGAGAAAGTATCTTTGCGAATTAGTATTAAATGAGGACTCTTGCTCTCCATAGACTAAAGTAGACCGCGGGAATCGAACCGGGGACCTCCCGATTGGCAGATCAACACACTACCTGTGCCGCTGCTGCCTCCAGGGCTTCCAGCGCTTCTGTGTTCTCAGTAGGCAACTCAGTACAGGCCAAATCCATGGCTTGAATTATACCTACACGAAGTCACTCCAGTCGGGTTCTATTCCCGCAACCTGTGGTTTTACCAGCCTGCAATTTTCCCATAACCTTATGCTGTGGCTCGTCCTTAACACCCGGTTCTCCACGCCAGCCCACCAAAACCTTAACGAAAATCGGACCTCATTCGTATCTTGCGCGGCGACCTCAAAGATACCACCCCCTTACAAGCATAGGAATCCCATACACACCTGGATGTGCCAGCGACAGTAGGGGATTCACCATATTGCCATAACCACTATTCTGAGTATACCTACAACAAGTCGTAGCCGCATAAGCTGAGTAACTCCTACTCCTACACTATGGGTAGCTTCCCAGTCGCCAAATGGTATCCAGCAGCTAAACCAACGGCACTTCCTTCATTTACAGCGATGACATGCTCGTTGGCTTCTGCATGGTCTGTGACATATCTAAAGGTTGAGCGAATAAGATACAGAATAGGCCCACGTGCTGGACCTACGCGCAAAAGTCCTTCAATAAGGAATCCGGCACTCCCGTAAAGTAGCCGACTCCACATGCTCTAGCCTTATTGTAAAACTCAGCAACATTGACACTTCTCGTGCCGTGTGTAGAGAACGCGGCCTTTCCCAAATTCTGGAACGACTTCAATGTCACAGGTCCCAGCACCCTCGTCGATGGAGTCAACATTGACAGTTGAAGTGATGAAGAAACGCTGAAGCCTCGAAACAATTGCTGCCACCCTGCGCAAGGTACTAGCGTTATGATTGAAAAACGACTCCATGTCACAAGTAGTACTGGCTAAAGGGGATAATCCCAGTTACAACTGCTACGATGATTACTCTGATATTTCTGCAATCAACTTATATGTGATTGAGTATCTCAACTGTAGCCTACATGCATCTCACTACATAGCCAGGAGAGTCGTCAACACCAAGATGAAGCCTCCCTACTAACGCCATTATTGCTTGGTGAGATGTCCAAGCAGCATCACCGACACTCTATGCCGTTTTGGAATAATGGCAATACCACGCGTGTGGCTCAGCATGAGGTAACGTCGAATGCAGCGGAGAGGCAAACATCTCTGTGGACTTCTGAAAATACAGGGATATCCTAAGAGCCATTCAGTGAGACGCGAGATGTGTACACCCGATAGATGGTCTTAACCGATCCGCAGCCTGCTAGGGGAGATACAGTGATGGCACTCCTTCTCCTTCTGATACGGTTATCTCTCAGTGGGAATGCATTCCCACAACTTGCATCGGCTTCTCCCCACCAACCGGACAATTGACATACTCAATGGAGAGTACGAGATGAAGTAACTTCTACACTTTCAAACGAATACAGCAAGCGGCATATCACTCAAGGTTGGTATGAACAATTATCAATATTCTGTCGTGGAGTTTTTCAAGTCAAAATAACCCTGAAGTCGTGCTTTGCCATAATTCTCATAATCAAATGCCGCATCCTCATCATCCTCATCATCATCGCATCCTTGCTCTACAGCAGCAGCGCTCCGGTCCTGCTCGAAATGCTGTATCACACTCCATGCGCACCAACGTAGCTCAGCTGCCATCGCATACAGTCGAATTGTCTCCAACTGATGAAGGCAAATCCGTCTACTTCCGATGAAAGGATGCTCACCATGGTGCCCTCGTCAAGACTACTGTACTCATCTTCAGTGAGGTAATTGCGGAGAAATAGCAACTGTGAGAAGATGTCATTGGGTAGAATCGAACCCGGGATCTCGACTTCACCTGCAGCTCTTTGCTGGGGAAATACTTCTCCACATCATAATCATCATTCACGATGAGCATACTCTCCACCACCTGAAAAAGGATCATCGATTCAACTCAAACGTTTAGTTATCGGGTAACATGGTACGTTTAAGCGTATCACTCATCAATATCGACCGTATACGGGACAGAAATCGTCACGAAAGAAAGCTGGCAAAAGAGGAATAACGTCACCCTTCCTGTCCTCACCGATTATATTATGAGATTGCATACACTAAAGGCCTCCTACCGAGGGCACGACAGAACATGAAGGTTCACCTTACCGCAGCAAAATGGTTGGCAATATCGGCTGCCGCGGGGTTGAATGCGCAGTACTCGTAGTCGATGAACTTCAATTGGCAGTTACTCCCATCCTTGGGTACCAGTATGTTGCCCGAGAGCAAGTCGTTATGACAAAAGACGATCTAAAATTAAATACCTCCATCGAGAATAGAACCCACAACCATCTCCACCGTAACCCCGAGCCCTAACCTACTAACCTGCTCGAGCGGACACACATTGGCAGTCTCGCGCGACTGTATAGTCCTCTCCAACCATTTCGCCTCACGCTCTACTGAATCCAGCATCGTCATAAAGTCACCCTCCTCATCTTCCGGTGACGCATTGAATAACTCTCGTCCCTTTGCGGCATAGGACTCGATTGTCCTCCACAAATCCGGCACATTCGGACCATCCTCTACCATAGCTGGCTTGAGGGAATGCATATACCTATATACCATAATTTCATAAATTCCCACATGCAAGTAACCACCGTAGCCGCCTCGCGATCAACGGCGTCCACTTCTCAGAAACCATCTCAAGAGGCTCCAACGGACGGAGACGAGTGAAGAACTCTTCTATACGTCCATTCCTAAAGTAGGCCGCTCTCTGACACAAATCTTCCCTGTGCGTTCCTCACTGAAAGATACCAAACAAGGTCGGGCCGAATCCAATAGTGCTGAGGTGATTGAAGATCCGATTCTCCTCATCTCTGTCGATGATGGAACTCCCTGCTTCACCGAATATTCGGACGAGGCAGACAGGGAGATGGTCCGGACGGCTGCCTTCATTATCGATCTCACAGGAGCTCCCAGTGGTGGAATCGGTGGGCGCGTTGCTCGCTGGTGAAGTTGCATTATCCTGAGGTCCCAGGTTCGATCCCCACACCCGGCATTTTCAAGGATACCTCTAAGCCACTGAACTCCACTTTAAATAGAGAATTAGTGATACCCCCCGTGACTTTGGTGACACCTGCTGTGACATTCTTCTCCCGAAGAGCCTCAATCATCGAAGTGGCGATAGGATTGACATCGTCGTTATACCGCAGTAAGCACTCACCTGAAATAGGAATTGGCCGAGAGATGGTATAGGAGGGGTCGTTACGGCAAAGTCGTTCGAGTTGCTGTGAGATAAGAATATCCGTAGGATTGATGGTATCCTCGAATCGAGGTATCCGCGTCCAGACGTCCGTAGCAGCCATAACGAAGAAAGGCTACCACAATTTTGCTAATTCCCGCCTTTCCGACAGTTTAGCGCTCGCCCTAGAGTAAACTCAACCCCCCTGCAAGACTGGTAAGACGTAATAGGGTCTTGCAGGAGTTGCTTACGGTGAGCCAGTCTTGGCCTTCTTCTTGCCGACCCGGATGATGTTATATAAACGATGATCAGCCAATTTCGACAGAGACTTTCGCACTTTCAACGGCTCCTTCCCCGTCGCGCGCCACGAAATTCCATCCGTGTTAACAGGCCGGCCACCGCCATCCCACGGTTCCCCAGTCTTCTCGATAACCGCCGTGAAGAAGCCACCGGTGTTGTTGAGATGAGGGTACACTCTCAAACACGGAGACAAGTCAAAAGACCCCGACGGCCACATGCTGGGCCGATACCACTCCTTCCTCACATCCCCCTCAGATATAGCCTCACAGTGGTATACTTCATGTGAGTCCTCCACCTCCTCCACCACCTGCCAATGGTTGAGACCCGGATAGGTGCGGAAGCCCGGCAGCTCCACGCGGACCAGCCGGCCGTGGGGCGACACTGAGGAAGGTAATTTCGTGGCGCAGTGACAAAATTTCTCACCGGCCTTCAGGACGGCTTGGACAACAGCCTCGTTCTCGAGAGGATTAACACTGCAAGTCGAGTACGACATACGACCACCCACCTTAAGCAAGGCGAAGGCCCGCAAGGCTATCTAAAGGTTGACCATACAAGATACGAAACAGGTCCGATTCTTGCCACTACCTGTATCTGCGTATGATGTAGCCTCCTTCCCAATGAGGGATCCCAATGTTTCCACTTTACCGGGTACTTCCGGAAGGTCCCATCACCCGAACAAGGCACATCACAGATGACTCGATCGAATTGATGATTATTTGGTATCAACTGTGCTTTATGATTGATGACCATAAAGCCCTCAGAGGCCCCAACCCTCCCACACAGTATATGAGCCCTCCTCGTGTCCAACTCATTAGCGACCACCATGCCCCTACCCTTCTCTACAACGTCAAGGGCCTGCAGGGTCTTACTCCCAGGGGCAGCACACATATCCAACACCTCATGCGCAGGTTCGATCCCCAGGACCGACACTGGTACCATCGAGGCCACCTCCTGCCGCCTTGCCCCTCCTCCGATACCCCCATGATGGGCCCTCAACCACTCGTCCAACTCCGGATAGGCCTCCTTCGCTGTCTTAGGATCACATCCCAATTGGTACCCCGAACACCACTTGAATTGTCGGGCGCGTGGTATCCACCTTCCATTCCTCGACAACGTCACATCTTGAAATATACTCCTCGGTGGACTGCAGTCAGCATCTTTCCGCACTCGGAAGGATATCGGCAGAGGAGCTCTAAGATGGTTAATGAGATCCCTCCACTCCTCATCACCATTGTCCAGCTGCAAGCCACAAGCCCGATAGAAGTCCTCCCATCGCTCAACCCCTTCAGTGACTATCTCCCCGAATTTACGCGTAACAGGTTCATCAGTACTCTTGGTGGTACGTTTCGGACCTGTTTTGAATCTTCTGTGCTTGGACCTCGGATGCTTAGCCATTACCAACCCTACATCAACACTACCTGCCCTCTACTACAACGCCACACCGTCCCCCATAAGAAACATCACTCGAGTGCACAGGACAGTTACTGAGTCTATTGCCATCACTCCTCAACTTAGCCAAGCCATAACGTTGCTGAATACGCCCATCCCCTTGCCGGAGCTCCTCCGTGGCAAGCACCATCGTAAAAGGACCATCATAGCATAGCAACTCCACCACCACGTAGGCCGATGATGATTCGGATGAATAAACGACAGAGTCGAATATCTTCTCAAGATGTGCTAGACCTAGAACAATAGCAGCACGCATGCGCAAAATCTTCCGGCTGCGGAGGAGCTTTCCTCACAGCATATCTTCTCATTGTTGACCTTTTGCACTATCGGTCCGCCGACCCAGCCACTGCCATAACCAGAGTTGCATTCATCAGCGAGGACTTGTGTTAACACCACACATTCCTGAGAGCCCGCAGGTCCAGAGTTCGAACCCCACCCCCTCCATTTTAACCTCACAGCAACGTCTTAACTATACCCCACTCCTTCGACTCGACCGTCATTTGAGCTCCCCCTTCCTACCTCCTGCCGCCCTTCACCAGTCCGACTCTTCCTCCCAGTATTGACCATATGCTGTAGATGTGTAGGCCTATCCCTATCTGATGCCCACCCTCTGAGGTAGTCGACGCTGAGTGGTTGGAACACCATACCTAAGCAGCTTACCACACCTCCATCGATTCCTCCCCTTCCCTCACCCCTACCTCCTGCTATAAAATAAGGAGGTGCCTTAACATCGTACATCTGCCCTCGAGGGACCAAGAAGCAATCCTCAGGTGACATGAGCTGAACCCTCCTCCTCCTCTCCTCCACCCTTGCCTGCCCCTCCTCAGGCCCCCTTGACAACACCGTCAACTCCACTACGTCCCCCACATAGTAGCTGTCCAGCAGTGCCGTCATATAGAGCCTCCTCCCGAGGTACCACACATGACCAAAGCTATCCAAAGGTGTCCCGTTGATAGCAGTGATAACATCATACTTCCTCAACGAGGGGTTGATAGACCACGATACCATCACCCCCTTATACTCCATACCGTCTACAAAAACAACAACAAGAATAACAGCCACCAATTTCCGAAGCTCCTCTTGAACTTCTGTAATGTCGAGCCCGATGCAACATTTCTCATCAATACGGTTGAGTCAACAGTTCTCTACTACATTATGAATTTTTGAAAATGAAAAAGAACCCTATCGTGTGTATCACCATCTACAAAAGGAGAATAATCAATTATAACTTTCCGAGCTTTTGAACTTTTGTGAATCTTCGCAAATTTCGAGCCGGCGTGAATAAAATAAGACTCCGATTTTGCATAACATATTATGAATTGAAAAGTAATAAACTCCTCCTCTCCCTGAGACACCCTACCACCTCCCCTCATCCCTAGCCATGTCTTGAACTGTTCGTTTTCCACTGGTTGACAGGTCACCCCTAGACAAGGGAGATCCAAGGAGGAGGAGGAGGAGGAGGAGGAGGAGGTCTGACCACCATCCGAGGTAGCAGTAGCAACTCTGTTGATGAACCGCCAGATAAGGTAGCTTGGAACGGCATGGCCTTGATTCTCTACACCACGGGAGACATACTTCTGGAAGGCTACTCCTAAGATGAGCAGCTAGTGGACCTCAAATGAATCTTACCATCGACAACCTAAGATTCTCTCCCTATTATTACCAATGATCTTATCCGAATTAGGGCACATCACTGGTCCACCAGAATTGCCAGCGTTAACAGCAGCATCGACAGTAATGCCCAGGGCCGGTCGGGCGCTATGAGAGTACTCCACTACCTAGAGGGTTGGCGACAGGAGGGGTAGCAATAGGAAGACTACTACTACTACCTCACATCGGGATACAACACCACTGGTCACTGATAACTTGTCTCCCCCCACAGGGTACCCTACGACCTGATCCTCTTGAGGTCAACACCAGCACTACTACGACTACTAGTACCTGCACGGTGTCTCGGAGCTCAGGTAGGACGTCCCATTTGGCTAACTCGAGCGGCCTCATTTCCACTGGGGGGCTCCCTGCCGAGGTCCCTCCTAAGAGACGCTTATATTCACATTGGGGGAGCCTGAATTGAGTACCGAGTCTAAAGCCATCCTTTTCATCAGTCACTTCCACCAACGCTAGATCGGAGTCGTGGCAAACTGCCTTCACAACTGCTGAATATTTACTGGGCTCGAAGTAGTCCGTATTCCGCTGAACCGTCAAGTAGATGCTGTCCGCTACCACATGGGCAGCAGTGAGGATGAAATTACGACCATGCCAGGATGAGTCCACGGACTCAGGTAGGGATAGGAGGCACCCTGAGCCACTGGAGGCCTCAACAGGAGTGCTCTGCCAAGGGACGGTCCAACTAGGGCGTTGCCGGGTAACATGAAGTTTGACCACTGCTAAGTCAGCGGGGCTCGGTTGGGAGAGCCTGGCAGCAGAGGTGGATAGAAGTCTTGATGCTAAGTGGAATGGGTTGTGGGTGGTGGCATTGAGGAGGAAGGAGGAGTAGCCGTTGACCAACTGACTGGCAATCGACATGCCAGACAAAAACTGTAACGATTATGAATACGAATAGGCAGACGACGAACGTTGGAGCGTCGGAGAGGTCGTTGTTACTTTAGTAGATCTTACAGTTTACTTACCCAGGCGAACGCGACAGAGGGAGATATTTCAGTCGAGATAGCATAGTGGTAGAGCTCGCGGCTGTCACTCGGAAGGTCGTAGGATCGATCCGTGACAATCGTATTATTCTATCACCCGTTAAATGTTCGCCATTCGAAGTGAACTCTGCGATCTTGCGTACAACATTTAAATATCGTCCTCCTGCCCACCGTTAACCAGTCCTCCAACATCCTCAATGGAGCCCCCCCCACCACCGAGCGCCCGGACGGGGGCTGTTGACTACGGAATTGTCGCGTCTCGTACACACCGTATCATTCCTACCACTCGTTGTTCACTTCCTTAATTCGGGACTACTACGCTCACTGTTTTCTATACTCAATCGGGTGGCTCTACGTCTCCTCGCAATGCAAAATTGTCTTTCTGATTAAAGTACGCCAAGTAGTATAATTAATTTCATTCCCCCTCATGTCACCAAGCCGAGCCACTCTAGAGTTCGAAGCTGAACTGGCGACTGTATTAGAGGAGAGTAAGGCGACTTTCGAGGAGGAGGAGAGGAAACGGCAGAGGAGACTCCTACCAGAACGGAAGGCCTGTGGTCTTCCTAAGGAGTCCAAGATGTTGACTAGAAGTTTAACGCAGACCTTCACTGAACTCGGGAGGGAAAATGCAAATCCTCGACGGCAAAGCAGAATCGTGAAAGATGCGGAAATCTCTTTGATGGCATTAGTCGTCAAGAGAAGGGAGAGGAGGAAGTCCGTCAACTTGGGCCTATTCTGAGTCTTGCTCTCTTCGACCTAAGATATTCCTGCCCTTCAGACAAAACCCTCCATCCGAATCTTCCGAGTGCGCTGCGGCCGCTGCCGAATTAGTCCCGCCTCCAACGCTCCACTCCACCGCAATGAGGGTAGAGGCAGCCTTAGCGACGCTAGGGGTGCAAGTGGTAGATGTTGGCAGTCGGAACACATCCGAGAGTGGTAGGTCTACCGTCACGCGCCACGAAATTAATATAGTCCGGTCAGGGGAGGAGATGTACAATCAGTGCTTCTACCTCTCGTTAGCGGCGTCTTGGCTGGCTGCCATTTCTGAAGGTTTTATCGACTTGAAAGAGTCCGTTGATACGATAAGAGACGTAAGGGTTCGATTTGGGCCTGATTTGTATCTTGCGCGCTCGACCTAAAGATACTCTTTCAGACGGCATTGTCACTCAAGCGATTCATCGAAGGACGAGTAATTGAAGCCCATCCCGAATGGATCAACACAGGTCACATTGGAGAGAACATTCAAGTATCTTTTCATCCGTCGGCACCTCGCTCAACCTCAAGATATCTTCAGGCGTTTAGCGACTTCCTCCCCTACGCAGTGTGCCGACCCAACACTACCCGTGGCCCAATGGACGATCTTTGCATAATCGTCGTCAGCGAGGTCGGCCAAGCAGATGTCTATATTGGGCGGAAATTTTCGGATTCTAAATCCGACGTTGTTTTAATTTACCACACACCTGGTCACTATCAATGCATTTTACAACCGGACGGGCTACCACTACGCCGAAGGTCTGTGAGAAGAGCTCTTGACAGGTGGGGCGTTGTTGTAGTCGAGACACGAGAGGTTTGATAATCACCATCATCATGAACACTTCATCAGATGTTATCAACGACTCGACTTGTGTTGGTCAATTTAAGGAGTCTATCGTGATACCGCACCGACCTCAACTCGTGCGTTTTTTAGATCCCATCAAGGTGAGCTAATCCAATCTACGTTATAGATTCTCATTAGCAGTAACATCGTTTGTCTTGTTCACCATCTTGATGCCATCAGCATCCCTAACTGCCCTTGAGACTATCCTCACTAGCCTCTACCCCTGCAATAGACCCTCCAATTGGGTTCAGATCATCAACACTCCCTCTCTAGAGGACCTTCGAACCCTCATATTCGCCCAGTTCAATCACAACGTATCCCCCACAGTCTTCGGCTCGGCCTCAACAGGCCTAGTCGGTGAGCATTCTGACATCGATATCAACCTCGCCTCGAGTGACACGGTCGACCCTAGACGCCTTATATGCTGGCTGGCGACTCGTTGTGACTACCTCGGTCGTTTTTTCGTAGAGAACTATACTCTCAACGCACGCGTCCCCATAGTGAGGTTGCGAGATTGCCACACTGGAAGGGTATTGGACGTGAGCGTTTCCAACTATCTGCCTGAGGTCAACTCAAAGTTGGTGGCAGCATACGTTGGGATCAGTCCGAAGGTTAGGAGATTCATAATGGCGATTATAGTAGGGTGAAGTAGGGTGAAAAGTGGGTAAAATCGTCCGTTTTTATCAGGCATGGGCAAAACGGTATGGCCTTTGTGGAGTTCAGCAGGTCGGCGGCCTCAGCAGCTACGCCTTTACGTTGATGTGCATCTTCGCACTGCAGGTGAGGTGTAGTTTTGGAAGAAAATACTTTTTTGATTTCCTCGGGAATCTCCAAAGCTATATTATGAAAATTCCCACACGACTTGGGGAAAAGTGTAAGAAAATCAACGAGAATTCCCTAAAATTTCATCAAAATTCCCTTCTTTTCGTCAACACACGTAGTGCACCATATGCAAATTTTCCGTATAACTTTCTCGAGACTACTTGGAGCTGTCGAGCGCGAGTAGATGGAGACGAAACTACTTGTTGTAAGATTTTCCTTTCTCGATTGCTCAGGCCACCGGGTACCTTCCCTGTCTCCAGCAAGGTCGCAACTTCACAGATTCTTCCGAGTGCGTCGGTGGGGGTCAGGAAGAGTATCTTCGATATAATCGGGATTCAATACTTGGCAGCCTCCAGTTTGATGATCCATGTGATGTCGACCTTTTCAATGAGGTAGATTCACCAAGTAGTTGGACGTCTACGGTGCCAACGACAGCAAGTGTTGGAAAATCTTCGCTGTGCGCTCCGTCGGAGTATCTTTACGACGAAGTGAATGAGAGCATATCTGAAGAGTATCTTCCATACCGACATGCCTTGGAGGAGGTCAAGGTCGTTGATTTGGTGCGGATGTTTTTTATTTTTTATAAGGAGTATGTATTTGCATCGAAGCACGCGGTGGTGGTATCAGTTCGTCAAGGTTGTCTACTAACCCGACAATCCTCGAGATTTGAGAGTCTTCGCCCATCTGCTATGGGACGCAGAAAGCTGATAATAGAAGATCCCTTCCTTCTGGATGTGGACCTCACTCGAGTACTTCAGCCGGAGGCATACGAACGAATCAAAACGGAGATCTGTAGGGGTTTCGACCCTTTCTCAGCAGCCTCGATGAATCAATTAATCGGCGAGGAGTTGCCGCTGGGAATCGAACCTGTGCGGGTTTATGATGGCGGGTTAGGTGAATCGATGGAGTCTGTTGAGGCGACGAGGCTGCCACGATTGGAATTGCCTGTGCCGGTGAGGATCCCGAGCCCGAGCTCTCTGGGCATCTATGAGGTCGGAGGTTCGATCCCCACACTCGGCAGTTTGCTTCCCCAAAGAATCTACCACATACGAAGAGCTAGATAGCGCCACGGTAGCCGAGGAAGGAATGACCAGCCGCGGACGTGACAAAGATACGCTGTGCGCACTCGGAAGATTTTTGGGGAGTTGGTAATTAAATAGAAGAAGTCGAATATATCCGTCCATTGTCCCTTTGTATTTCGGTGCATGCTTATCGGAAATCTCCCATCCCAAGCTACGCCGTCTTGGTGATGATCATGATGATGATAGACCTGTTGAGTTGTGAATCTTAGGTTGCCTATGGCAAGATACGGAATATGTCGAATTTCAGAGCTCATCTTGATGGCGGAAAATGAGGAGAGCAACGCTGAGGTCTCCGTCGAGGCCGATGATTCCTGCGCCCTCATCCAGATAGAAGACCCCAAAATCGGGTAAATTGACTCCCCATAACTACGCTGACCAGCTCCTCCTAACAGATCTATCGCCGGCAAACTCAAAGATCTTTTTCCAGACTTACAACTAATAGAACATAACGTTACTGTCAATACGGAGACGATAGAAGAGGAAGATCGCGGGGTAGATTCTTCAAAGTGTGTTCAGTATTATAGTACCTCAGGGCATTTGCGAAGTACCCGTCGAACCAACATTGCCTTGTCCTGTCACGGAAGAGGCCCGGGTCCACATGGCCGCCATGCGGAAGTTGGACGACTTGGTAGCCGATCAAGCGAGGGAAGAGATAGAGGCGATGGAGAGGAAGATGAGGGGGAGGATGATGGAGCAACAAGAGGAGGATGAGGCGAAGGAAAGGGAGATGAAGGAAGACTATGGACTCTCTTGGGGTCGCCAGATTCCTAAGGAAGGGCTCAACAAGTAAAGAGGAAAAGAGGGCCATTGCTATTAATTTATCCGCATTAAAGGTGTTTTGGAAGTCCTTCAAACGAATTGGAAAGATGCTCCTGTGCGCAGCCGAAAGATTTACTATCTTGTGGGGATCTCGGCGCCAACAGTGGAGGTCAGCAGCTCATGGATTCGACCAGACAGAACGCTGCTGCTAACGAGAAGTGAGCCGCCGCCTATTTGTGAGGTCTTCTATGGACCTCTCAGGTATCTTACACCATGTAGCATCGTGATGGACTCAGAAGTTCGACTCAAATACATCTCGACAGGACTTCTCCCTCGGTGAGTATCTCCTCCTCGTCGTTGTGGCGCATGAAAGTCCCTCCTCAGATTCCCCAATCTGGTCGCCACGTCCGTTCCTGATGATCCAAATTATCTTCAACTTACCTTTTGCCTTCGACGGAGGCGTCGAAACAAATACGAATGGCCTCAGCCTGTTTTACCATGATGGTCGACCTCATGTCTTGTGCTTATCATGTTTTAATGTTGCGTACAAGTAGTGATAATGAACACACGGCGGTGGGATGGTGAAAGGCTCGCTCCTTCCTACGATGCATAAGCCTCCAAAGTGGGAAAGGCAATACAAATCTACCCAATATATTCATATACCCATACCAGCAGAAATCATAAATAGGGAGAAGCCTTTCTTAATAAGCCAGCAGAGAATTTGTCGTATCAATAACATCGTAATGATAACTGTATCAGCACTATGCATCGCTCATGTAGTTCCCCAGCAGGATAATATCCTCCCATAACTAGTAAACACAAAACCTCTATTAAGACCAGACTCCTGTCGATGCTAAGCCGTATGGTAATGTACATAATTGTAACCGCAAGACAGCAGTAGCCCTGATAACATAGATGATAATCGTCATCATCGAAAGGTGGTCAACACACTATGCATCTCTTATCCCAACACTTAGTTGCTGTGTAATTCGTGAGGGATCACTATAATAGAGACTAGTGCTTGGCAGCGAGACGTCATTGCTGTCACCATGGAAATAGATGTAACACGGATGATGAGCATACAACATCTACTACCAGCTACAACGTGGATGAACACTACTACGAAGACGAGACAACAATGATGATGATGATGACGGCATAGCAGCAATCAAAGGAAAGATACCACTCCCTCCTGGCCTCAGCTGGCTATAGAAAGCGACAACAATAGTGACGAAGAAGAATCCAATGAATGATGATAGTCTTGCCGTAACAAAGATGGTGAAGCTACTATTCCTTCACCATAATAGTAGTAGCGGATCCTGGGCGATTGATCATAAGAAAAGCCACCAAGTACATCGACAGAAGCATCATCTTGGTAAGCGAAAGTACATAAAGAATCGTTAACGGCAAGGACTGTTCATCACTACAACAACGACAAATACCAACATAAATAACACTGGATGAGCCGTTCTCACTCAATCCAGCAGAATCAAGTTGGCTAACATCGGCATGGGTGAGCAACAGTAGCAGCATGAATAACAGTCGACTGTATTCGACTGCTGTTAGATGCAATGTAAAGGGTACTACTGCTCACCACGACAACGGTCGTGTGCTTCTTCGTAAATGCTAAAGGCGATAGTAGTATAAGGAGTTAGGGCCAGCAGCAGCAGGAGCAGGATATCATGACGGCACCAAAAGAGATCGGCGACGACAAAAGGTTCCTATCTGTAATACAATAGTAGAGGTCGCCGAGACGACAAACGACGAGGATTGGGAAATATTGCTACTAGCATGTATACAAGCAGCGATCATTGAATACATAAATACACCACTACGATGTTATTATTGACGATAATAAGAATGATGATGATAGGATATAATTCAACATGTTGCAGGCACGTAGAATCTGCTGCAGTAGTGGCAGACCCTAGTACAACTACATGTAGAATAAACTATCACATACAGATGATCATCATCATCATCATCACCAACCACAAGTAAATACCAGACTAGATAGGGTTAAAAGGAGCAGCAGAGACGACGACCACAACTGACCATCTACTTTAGATGCTTTATTGTTTACCAACAACTGGTCGATGCATATCATTGCTATGCCTTCTACCATTAGTATGCTGCTGCTGTTGAGTACTAGCCTTATGCGATGGTATCATATAAGGAGCCAGACAGCCGTGAGCAGGGTCCATGACCAAAGGTAGATACTCTGGGTTCTTGATCCTGTGCACGCTGGCGTTCCTAACGAGATTGTCCAGATTGCGCTTCAACCCCTGGACAACTGCAACCGAGATGCTGAGGGAACTGTTGTTGGCCCCACCCTCGACTGCAGAGAAGCCCCCAACAGCAGTGCCGGACAGTTGGATCTTGTGAAAAACCGACTTGAATGTCGCGGCTAATGCAGGGGTCAGGAAGTTGACAAAACCGTAACCGAGATTCCTTCCTGATGAGATATCAGTTGGCAAATAAAAGAAGTCGAAAGTCCCCTCAAAACCGCGGCTAGCAAGCTCCTGTATAAGCATGCGTTGGGAGTACCGCTTAGGGACATTACGGATCATCATAGTAGTAGGACCAGTCACAGGGGTAGGGATAACTTCCGAAACGCCAGATGCTGGACTAACAGGACCCTCAGTGTAGTCGACTGCTGGGGAACGACTACAGCTCACTACGCGGTTTTGGCGACGAGCCTGAGGATAATGATTAAGTTCGGAGAGATGAGCTGCTGCTGCTGCTGCTGCTGGTGCTCACCTTCCTCCTTCTGGCAGTTAAGCTCATGCCGGCCGCCGAACTTGCAGCAGTATCCTTGTGCGTGGCATTAGCAGGGGAGTGGTTGCTGCTGCTGTTGCTGGGCTGAGGAGCCTCGACGATCGCAGACTTGCATGAGGAAGATGAAGCAGCAGTAGACTCAGGTGACAGATCACCACCACTGTTGAGGGGCGAATAAGAGAATTGCTGACCTGATCAAAATGAGCAAGGTAACGCAAATGGACCTATTCTGAATCTTCTGCAATTGAAGCTAGGATACTCACCAAAGGATGCGGCGTTGTTGAAGGCAGTCGTCTGAGGTGATGCATTAGCCCCCCTGAGGAGCATCCTGATGCAAGCTTGATCTTCAGGGGAGAGAGCATCCATCAGATTCTTCAGCTCGTCATCATCATCTTCATCGTATACACAATCTTGCGGCTGAGGTCGCCAAGCGTTAGCAGCAGTACTGTAGGGGTCCAAAGGCGAAGCGGTCATCATAGTAGTGCACGGAAGGGTGCTTATTCTACACCAAGGTAGAAAGAACTAATACAACAGTAATAATCGTGACATGACGGCTACTAAAACAGCAGTCTTAAGATTCTACCACGCGCCAAAAATTTACTCGCTCGCCACTACAGTAGATAGCTCAGACATATCCTAACGCTCGAACGAAGGTCAACAGATTGTGGACTACCTCCTTTCTCCGAATAGTGACATCTGTAGTGGCTCTATGGAAGGCGTATTGTCAGTGGTGATCCTTTGAGAGGCCAATGTGCGCCCGCATTCGCGTTTTAATGCAAAACTCACACAAACGTGAATGCGGACTTGGGAAAAAAACGCCCTGAAATTAGCACTGCGAATGATGTCAACTCTTATTGGTGTCAACGTGGTTAACGATGATGAGAGTGATGTAGCAAGCTACTGAGGTAGACAAATAAATGAACTAGATCCATGGTCCTCACAAAGACTCAGATAGCATACATGGAGGCACGAATCGTGCAATCCTGCGAATGCACCCTACACAGGCCACGAATTACAGGCAAAACTACGAGTGTGTAGCAGCACTCCTTGACTGGACTAAGTGGGTCTAACAATCCGGTATTCGGAGTTACCAGTGGTATCAACTTCATGGGCTCAAGGAATATCATTTGTCATCTGAAACCGTTCCGTTTTTTTATTCTGCAGACGATCGTTGATCCCAACGGTTTGATTATGTGGACGGTTGGATGTGCTTAGATATGAATCGACAAATCTTGCTTGCACCGCGACAACTCTCACTCGACTCACATAACCCAACAACAACCTATCGCAACGATAACGTAATCAGCTACAACAACAGGATAAGCGGTGATAATGGTGAAATGATGATAAGATGGGGGCCGAAGCCAAATGGATAGAGGGGCGACTATTTTACCTACAGAGGCGAACGGCCGAGGTATTCACGGCAGTTCTCAGTAATGGTCTCAACAACACTGTGCAGTTGCGTAGGGGTGTTCCGATCCAGCATGTTGCTTATCCGTACCTGAAGATGTCTTCATAGAACTTGAACATGATGAACAGTTTCTACATCAAGAGTGAGAGGATCATGGTCAGACATCTTGTAGAAGTGGGCGTACTGGGAATCCTCTGGTAGCTCACTAGGTGGGTCAACCCCAGCCAGTTTACACGTCTCATAAGCCCAGCATCTCGGTACGTTACGGAGAGTATACCCTCCTCCACCGAGCACGATCATTGGTAACTGACAAGCCATGGTGATGGTAGAAGCTCACGACTGCCTCCCTACTCCATAGGACGCGAGATGCATCACCGTCTCTGAGTGACCAACATGCGATAGATTAAAGCAGCCGAGTCGATCGCCAGCCAAGGAGTCCGCACCTATCAAGAATATTATACCACTTATTATCGAGTCGGAACGCTCGATAACTTTGTCACACTGCTATCCATTGACCGTGACCCGCGCGCGGTGTTGCACACACACCTATAGACTTCCCACCCAATCATGAATACGCACAGGATTCGACTGAGTATTAGTGACTCCGCTTCGCTGTCCACACCATGGTAGACCAACAGGACGGTATAATAAGTAACGTAGTGCTTCCCCACCTACCCATCTGAGACACGATAGCCTCGGGTTTGAACTTCTCAAAAGCGGCATCAATAACTCTCTTGAATACCTCAATATACCTAACAGGAGACTCCACAATCAATGCCATGATCCTCCTCCACCTCGCCTACGTTGCATCCCCGATTCCTTCATGGAGTGGTACGTTAATAGCATGCCCTCGGCCACTACCAAGACCAATGTCGTTTATCGCCCCTGTAGACGGGAAGAAGCCGTTACCGTACTTGTGGAAAGATATCGTTAAGACCTGTATAAACCGATTCTGCTGCTGTTGCTGCTGATGTGAGTGAGGAGTGGTATGACCTTATCCGTTGTGAAAAAGGCCTCCTCCACACCGTCCCCATGGTGGATGTCCACATCGATGTAAACTACACGTTTGAAGCCTTGACGTAGCAGCTCTATAATCTGAGCATTATACCGTCAAGAAACGAAGCCGCTCCATATTCTCGAACTATACGAGACCGCTGAGATTTCAGTTGAACATACTCAGGTGAGTACTACCCCCACAACGCAGTCATTGACGTAGCAGAAGCCCGAGGCTGCGCTCTGTTTGGCGTGATGCATTCCTCCATGAAAGTTGAGGCAAATACGATCTTTCCCCTCCGCCAATCGACGTGCTGCCGATACCGTCAATGTGGTATAGAGGTTACAGAACTCATACCTACAAGCCAATAACCCTGGTTCGAACCCCGGACATGTCATTTTTACATGTTACTGAAACCCGGACAGTCTCCTTCATGCCCTCCCTGACGATCTCCCACTGTGGGCCTGCCAGCGTCCACCGAAATATTGTACCTCAACAGACCACCCATTCACCAAAGAGATCATCCCCTCCATGCCTACTTTGAGAGTATCCGCTGACTCGCCTCAGGCGTGGTGAGGTAACCAATACCCCCAGTGGCTCGGTACAGGCCGACTTGACGGACAGTCTCTAGATAATCACTTGAATGGAAATAGGACATAACCTGAGGCGACGTCGACTGTTATAACGACGACGACGACGACGAAGTCATTACGCCATGATCGAGCCGACCACTGATCTGATCCTCATCCTTCATCTCCTTATCACGAGAATCTTCAACGACATTGACGGGACAGTTGGTGCTCCGTAAGATGTCCACCACCTACAGATAGATATCTGGTTCGATCCCGGCACCTGTCATTATTACCATTGCCGCTCGACAGGTCTTCATCGGATGTGACGAGCCCAACGAATACATCTCCAACGACTCTACACAAAAAAAAGAACATCCCCACCTCCACTTTACCTAATTATCCGATAATTTAGCACAATCGTAGAGCACCACGATTTCTCTCCAAAGAACCCTGGATCGATTCCTCGTATTACCATCGAATAATAGACTAACTCCATCCTTAGGCCGCTTCGAGCCGTCTATCAGTGTGGACATATGACAGAACAACTCCGATAAACGCTCAACCCTTCTCCCCAATAACTCAACCATCCCTTTTCGAAACTACCATCGACCACAGGAGATTAACCCCGCCGCGCTGCCTTTGACCACCTCTACTTGGGAGGGTTACTAACCATGAACCCTCCCTGACCATAAGCCTCAGCCGCCGCTATCGCCGCCTTCTGATCCCTCCTAGTGCCGTACATCATCGACGCCAACTAATAGCACGAGCCTTGGAATACAGTCATCATAGTCGTATTACCTTAATGCCGATAAAGGCTACCACGAAGGGCGCTTGAGTACCCCAGGAGCCGGCCCGATGAGCGTAGAAGAATCGACCTAGGCAAAATGATGATGCTTATAAAACATAAACAATCGACGCTTACCGAAATGCCTGTGGGTGAACTGTTGAGCTGACGAGGCCATCTTAGCATTTAGCTCCGCTCCAGTGAGGTTCTACCAGAATATCTCACCAACCGGTAACCGCAATAGTAGGAGTACCTTGTTGGCCTTCCAAAGGCTCGTCCACCACTTTATGCCGATCGGGTGAGGATGTAGGGTGAAGAGACCGGACATTACGATGAGAAAAACCTCACAAAAATAGGCAAACCCTGAGCCGACGAGATCTCGCAAATCGGTGGGACATGAAAAATATAATGTAATTGGCCATATGCTGCTGCGTTAGCTACACTCTCATCGTTCGATGAAGAATTTGGTCGCCCTCCAGAACGGAGTCTTCAGCGGTACTAAAAGGAAACACCTCACCACCTCACCGAGAAACGCCCACTTCTTACCTCAAGATGCAATCAATAGTCGCTTGCGCGTCCTTGCGCCCTTTCCTGACGACTCTAGCTTCCTTCATGAGCAGACTCCCAGGCCTCTCATCGCCGCCTTCGGACGGTTGGAAGGGTAAAGGAGTAGTGATGGGCGTCTCTGCCGAATGGTCCTCCCTCGTGGGCTCATCCACAATACGGCAGTTGAGCGTCCAAGTGACTCGTGTGAGGTCGTCACCGTCGAGGACGAAGAAGTCAAAGACGATTTGATGAGAGACTTTCACCGCCCCTGGCAGAGTGAAGGAAGGCGACTCCTCTACTGGAATGTACAGAGGAACTGTCGAGCTCGTCAAACCACATTCATGGACTGACGGTAGGACGCATTCCGATACCGCAATTCGGTGAACTCCCACGAGCTCATCTCCAGACCGCTCAGTGCGGACAAGGCGTACTCTGAGGTGTTCCGTGGGGATGCTGCCCTTAGTGGTAGAGAACCTCACGCTGATGGTCATGGGCGAATCTAGGTCGACGTAGAGGAGCCTCTCGGAAAGATTCCAACGGCCACTCACTGAGATCTCCCCGACCGGCGCTTTGTTGAAACTGATGGAGAAATGCTTCTTCCCAAAAGTGGCCGTACTGCTTTCAAGCTCAGCTGCCGCCTCCTTTCGAGCCGCCCAAGTGAGCAGCCGATCTTCGACCAGATCGTAGCTGCCAAAGATGGAGTCGCGCCGAGGGATGCATCGAACGGCCCTTCCCACGCACTTCAGGCCGCCTCGCTCGCACGTGACCCTCAGGGGCGTTTTTGATTCAAAAACCGTAGAATTGGCGCTAGCAGCGACTATGATGTAGTAGCGAACGATAGTGTACTTGCCAGTGAAGGAGGGTGGCAGTAGATGAGGCAGCGTGAAGTGGAAGACGGCTTGACGAGACTCCTTTGGGTCAATCTGGACAGCCAAGATCTCGGGCGAGGTCGAAAACAGCAACGCTGATGAGCTCGAAAGACGCTGCTCGGCAGGGACGTAACCGTGGGTGGAGGCGATCGAGGGTCGAGAGGCTTCTTCTGGAGAACGGAAACTGAAAAGGACACATATCGGACATATTCCGTATCTTACCATGGTCAACCTAAGATACTCCGGTTCTACCCATGCCTACCTGAGCTTGTCTCGATCGAGTCGAGCCCCATGTAGACCAAGGACCTCCCCACAGGCTTGTGCCAAGAGCCAGTCCACTCGGGTGCTCTCGAAGCCTGGGCCAAGCCCTACAACAACCTCTACCTCATCACCAGGTTGATACCTCCCTTCGGAAAGGGCCACTTCGATAAGTCGGGACTTCAGCGGACCTCCTTGGAAGTCCGCATTAGAGGCCTTCTTCATTTCCGACTGTAGGATTAGTCAATTTGCTGCAACGATTATGCTCGGGCGCGCGCTAAATCAAAACTTGATCGATTTGTTGGGAAAGTGGAGGTTGAGGAGAGCTGCATCTTAGGTTGGCCTAAGGATGATACGGAAGAGGTCCGCGTGCGGCACGCTGGGGTTATGATCCTATCTCAGGAAAAAGGAGGAATTCTGGTAGACTTTGGTAATAATGGAGGGCGAATTTGAAATCTGAATGTTGCTTTTCCGGACCTGTTTTGTATCTTACCCGAAGCGACCTCGGATACGTTAGGTTGTTGTTGTTGCCACTCTTCCTTCCTCATTCATGAGCTACTATATTCGGCCTGAGGCTGTACTAAAGCGAGCCGATGAGCTCATCGAGATCGGCGAATACCAAGCCGCCATCGATTTACTCGGGCAAGCGGCTTCATCTCGTCGCTTTAAATACAACTTCACGCCGGCAGTCGAGGCTATTATGGACAAGTTCCTCAGACTATGTGTGCAGATGAAGCAGGTCAGGCAGGCTAAGGAAGGTAGGAAGAATCTTTAGCTTGAGCATGGAAGATTCAAAAGAGGTCCGACTCTGTCACACCTGCCTTCAGGTCTTATCCAGTATCGATCTATCACCCAGCATACTCAAGTGCAGTCGTTGGAGGACATGCTGACCCTCTTCCGTACCCTCAGTGAGGAGAGGATGGAGAAGGCCGGGCAGAAATGCTCGGTGGTCATCACCGGCGATTCCCCCGACCCCATTACCCCGGACAGCGTCATGTTAGCGTCTTTGGGCCAGGACCCGACCGACCACGATGAGATAGAGTTTAGGGAGGCTGTCAGGGACATGTGGGAGACCTATAGGACGGTTTTGGAGACGGTCCGGACTAACGCTAAGTTGGAGGGCTTGTACTACTCTACCGCGTATAAGGCATTGGAGTTCGTCAAGAAGCAGAATAGGCGAGTGGTATGTATATTGGGCTCTCATGGGGAAGGTCGTGGGTTCGTTTATTGTTGGTGGTTTTTAGGAGGCTAAACGTCTTTGTGACCTCTTCCGTTCTCACTGGGCGAGCGCTAAGAAGCCCATGACGAGTATCGGAGCCAGCCAGAACATCAACCCCAACGACCCTGGTGTTGTCTCTAGGGTACGTGAAGGGACGCCCTGCCCTGTCAACCACCTCTGGGCGGCAGGTCCTCGCCCTCCGCTTTGCTTGCGTCAATACGGCCATGGACATGGGCTTGTGGAGTCTGGCATTCACCGTCTTAGAGGACGTCCATACCTTCATCTCAAAAAAGCGACCGGCACCAACGGCTATTCAACTACTACAGTGAGGAACCTTCACGTTCACGTTGCCTCGAAGGGCCTCGCATGTTAGGTACTTCGATCGCCTTTCCAACGTGTTGGGATCCACTTACATGATGGAATCTATCAACCCACGCTCCCTTGCTGACAATGATACCCATCAAGCCGTTCAGAGACTCTTCCATGCCCAGGCCTTGCTGAAGTACCGCAGCCTACCAATACCACTCTCCTGGTTAATCCTACTTAATAGGTACCTCTACCTCCTACGACAAGTACGAACACAGCATTCGAGTGCTGACCCTAGTGGTGTTGATGCTCAAGAGGGGGTAGCGGACTTACCATCACTGGAGGCCACAGCGGCTAGGACCGTCCTTGCTATATTGGCGGTCTCTCCTACTAGCCGAGGCTTTATGGGAGTCTCGCCTTCTGTTGGCGAACGAGCTGATAGGTTGGACGCTCTCTTGGTGAGTGGGGATGGTGGCGTCACAGGTGTGGGCCTATTGTGAATCTTTGTAGGGCCGAGATGTGATGCCAACTCGGGAGTCTCTCGAGGCGGAGTTGATCGAGAAGAAGGGCATCGAGCTGGCGCCAGCTGATGTGAGGAAGCTTTTCGAGGCGATCACCACTGCCGAGCAAAAGGCTGATACTGCGGGGACTGTCGATGATGGTCTTTGGTGAGTCTTGGACTTGTGGGGGAGGGGTTGGAAGTGTATGGCTTGATGTCAGCGCGAAGATCGATGGTATGTTGAAGGCCCTCCCCGAGGCCTGCTGTGGAGCATACGCCCCCTCTATAAGACGCAATGTGGTGGAGCTTGTTGTATCGAGCATGGCTCAGGTGGTTAGGGTGTTGGTCTAAGGATCCTATGGTATCGGGTTCAATTCCTGGCCTCCTCAGACGCCTAATAAGTCTACAACGTATGACGACATTTCGAGAGTCACCAGCACCTGCGGGACCATTGCGGATATCACTGACCTCATTGACAGGGCTTCCTCTAAGGGTCCTATCGTCGTCAAGGACGAACAAGACGCTGTTGAGAAGCGCATGGTAGGCGGCGGCATGCGGGGTAGGGGGGAAACGATTGGGCCTTGTAGATCCCTGTGGTTGATGATGCTACTTCTACGTTGCATTTCGAAGTGTTGTCGGAGAAGGCCGCAGTGGCGACTGCTGATGGTGAGGCTCAGACTAGTCTCAAGTTGGAGGACTACACTCAGGGCAATAAGGAGAGGGCTGGTAGTGGCTATGGTAGCGTGGGAAAGGACGGATGATCATGTTGTTGGTGCTGTTAGAGAGGGAGGCTGCTCGGGCTGCTGCCGCGTTGAAGGCAGCGCAGGAAGCCGCTGCAGCTGAGAAGAAGCGTGCAGAGGAGAGTAGGAAGAAGAAGTTGATGGAGAGGCAGGAGATGGAGGCTCGAAAGAAGGTATGGGAAGGAGGTCTCGGGTTCGATCCCGGCATGCTGCATTTTAGGACCTCCCTCGTACTACTGCGATGTTGGAGTCTGTCAAGCAGCAGGCTAAGGCGTTCGGTAAGGCTGTGGATTTGATTGTTTTTCTATCAGAATTGATGCAGGACCTAACCACGTTACCACCATCACTATTGATGGCAAGGCTCGGGATGTACAGACTATCGCCGACCACGAGGTCATCAAGATCGATCGTCAAGAGTAAGCAGCCTCTCTCGATAGTCCTCTATAATGCTCGTTTCCTCAGGCTCGATGACGTCCGTAGGAAGCAGTTGTTGAAGGAGCGTACGATCAGGATTAAGTAGGCGTGGTGGCGGCGGCGGCGGCGGAAATGGTAATTTTATTGCTCAGTTTCCGACGAGAAGAGTCCAAGCGTGTGGAGTATACAGAGCGAGCCATTCGTGAGAAGGAAGGCCCACATATTCGAACTTGGAGGGAACACGTTGATATCAACAGGATGAAGCGTTATGAGGAGCTGCAGGCCCAGAGGTGAGGACGACGAGGGCGAGCTCCTCTGATGGGCTTATGGTCAATGCCAGGCAAGCGGCTATGGAGGAGCTCATCGCGAGTCGCAAGGAGGATAAGGCTGCATTGAAGCCAGCGATGTCTGTGGTAGAAGGATGGATATCTGAGAGGATGACTGAGCGCGATGAGGTGATGATCCTTCTCGAGTGGGGATGGTCATCAGGGAGTTTTCTTTTCAGAAGCGTATGAAGAAGATCGAGGAAGCTCGATCGGCGTGGAAGGCTAGGATGGTGAGAGAGAAGCTCGAGCGAGCACTCAATAAGCTAGCATCGTTCGAGAGTCAAAAGCAGCAGGAGGAGGAAGATGAAGAGGAATCTCTGTAAGTGTCCAACCGCTGCGTTGCTGTACTTGGTTGTGTAGGAGGAGGAGTACCTCGGCAGCCTCTGGATCCCCTCGTAAGGCAAGCGCCTCCCCCTCGGCCAGAGTCATCAGTCGTGGAGGTGGCCTCGGTCTCAGCACTGATGTCGCGGCTAGTCGCAACGCCTTCAAGATGGTAGTAGGATTTCATTGGCTCGCGGTCATGGAAATGCCTTCTACTTTCAGCACGCTCGTGAGTCCTCGCCTGAGCCAGAGGATGGTGGTAGCTGGAGAAGGCCAGCGGCTGCGGCTAGCAGGTTTGGTGCGGCCTCTTCGGCTGGCAAGTAAGAGGGAGTGTCACTTGCAATCTTGGTTAATCTTGCATTTCCTCAAGATACGTCCCTCCGTCCCGACGCGGTCTGCCCGCTGGACGAGACGCTGATGGCTTCACTGAAGTCCGTCGTCATTAGATGGTCGTCGTCTTCGCCGCCGCCGCCTCGTCCTTGGTGGTTGGGAAGTTGTGCGCATCATCATCATCATCATCTTGAAGTACCAACATCACTGCTATTCCTGTTTCCACTACTTCATTACGTCACTACGGTATGTGGTGTTGAAGTCAAATTAATGATGGTTGAGAGGCTTGGATGCTCTCTTCAGTGGGGCAGAGTCTTCTAAGGCTTCGTGTTGGTGTCAGCAGGGGATCGCGATTTCACATTTGCTACAGATCATTGGTATCAGTTTTGATAACCTTTGTTTTTATTCACTTGTTGATATGAGTCGATGCATTGTTGAAATGATCAGTAATTTCATTAGAACCCGAGGTGATTCGGTGAAAGTCGGCGGAAAAATAAAAAATTGCCAACTTTTTTTTCTAAAAAAGTGCGTAAATTATTGAAAATTTGGGCGCAACATTACATTTACCTGAAAATGCTGTGAACGCTACAGTTTCAGATTGAAATACAAGAAGCAGTTTTCGAATATTTCATGTCGACCTCGACGCCACCCTCCTCTGAAAAGGCGTCCTTGCGATCTGCTGAGAAATCACGTGTCTCGACGTGTGCGTTCGCGGATAGAATTGCAACAGCAGTGGTGGGAGTCTACAGGACTCTGACAGGAACGACAGCAGAGTCCGCGATGGCTCCTAACGTCCTGGCAGGATTTGTCGTTTTTGATGAAAAAAGCGACAAAATGGAGGTGGTAGCCTTGGCTGTGGGTACGAAGTATCTCCCTCCAGATATTGTGCGAAAAGATGAGGAGGGTCGGAACGAACTTGTGCACGATTGCCACGCGGAGGTGTTGGCGAGGAACGCTCTACTGAGATGGCTGCGAGACTCCCCTGCTGAGGAGTGGACCGACACCAAGTCGTTGCACATGTACAGTTCCTCGGCCCCTTGTGGGAATGCTTGCATAAAGCGATGGGTCACCGGGAAGAAGGAGAAGTTCAATGCCGAGGAGAAGTTGTGGTCAACAGCCCAGCATCGAAAGGTAGAACTACACTCGATTGCCGAGGGACAGGTTGAAGCTACATTCAAAACCGCACAGGGGGATCCTCCTATGAAGGAGTATTTCCCGAAAGGTATCGTCCGGGCGAGCGCGGTTGACGACCAGCAAGGAAGGATCCTCTCGTGCTCTGACAAGATCGCCTTGTGGAACGTTTTTGGTGTGGGGAAGGTGAATGGCAAGTCGCTGTTTATGGACTCGATTACGATTGGGAGGAAGTTCTCTCGAGGCTGTTGTGAACGGGCGCTGTGCTGTAGGATGGTTTTCAAGGGGGCCCCGAGGGAGGTGAGGCATCCGAGTATCCTTTGTAGTGCGGTAAAGCTGCAAGAAGGAGGGATGGACGCTGACAAGGGCGCGGACTTTACTGATGGGGAATGTCGATGGTGGAGGAGGTGTCGGGAAGGCTCTTGGGAGGGAGAGGTACTCGATGGCAGTACGGGAAGATGTGCTGATGGTGCGGTATCGAAGTTGGCACGATGCCAAGTATCGGTAGGAGATCATCGAAAGAAAAGGAGTAGGGTTGAGGAGGTTTGCCCTGGCCTGTTCAGTGGAAGACACTCGCCATTCAAGTGCTTGTATGCTCCGTCCCTTGTGGTTGACTATTTTCTGACGTATTGTGTTGGTAAATCTAAATGTCTTTAGAGTGTATCGCCGTGCGTCTCTGCACACAAGCTGGTTGTCCCCATATCTAGCGATGCAACGACGCACTGTAAGTAACAGTACTGTGGTTTTCAATGATCGGTAGCACTGCGGCAGGACTCATGAACTCTTCCAAGTGCCGTTTGGTTTCTTCAGCTGAGCTCAGGAGTTTTCTCACTTTTAACGCACCATTTAGGTTTGAAGTGTATAAAATTAACGAGAATTCCCCGAGGTTACCTTACTCTCACCAACGCGCTTGGTTGGACATGCGCATATTCCCCAACACTGCTTATTAGCGCAGTTATTCAACCTGTCATATGGCAGTGTCGTCGGCAACAGGGGGGAACTACTTCCAACCACAACGCTTCCCGGCTCATGCACCCGTTGACGCCCCAGCTGAGGATGGCGTTATTCTCTGCAGATTCTCCGATGATACTGGTAGAGTGTAGGATGCAGGGATCGAACCTGTGCCTCATATCCTCACAGATGAAGAGTATCCTGTTGCCAACATCACATTCAAGCTGTCTGGAATCGTCCTCAACTTCAACAACCATGATGGGCATCTTTCTCCCATAGGGATCGTCGCAACTCCAGGTTTGACGATCGTGAATGTCTCCGTTGATCACCGTGATGCATCCCAAACGCTCGCATAAAAACTCATAGCAGAAGTAGCTACGCTTACGCTAAGATATTAGACGACATTGACAGCAACACATGGCTATGACATCCTCTTAGCGGCCTACGTTCGAGTGTCTGGTAGCGGCCGACAGAAGCTTTTGGTCTACCATACGAGTCCCTACCCTAGATGTAACAACATAACTCGACTCGAGCTATATCGGGTGGTTAGCAGGCACGTTGAGCTTTGCCACCTCCGACGACTGTAGTCTTGTGAGTGCTCACCTCAAAGGCTGTGCATCGCGAGTTACGACGAGTGTGATGGGATATATTCATCCGCAGTACGACTATGTTCAAGAAGGAGATGATGCTTCTAGAGTCCTGTTCTCGGGCTGGGTAAACTTGAAGCCTTCATATCCCCTCGATGTGATCCGATCAGGTCATCCAATACTCCCCAAACCAGCCACCACGCTATGGTTCGGACGGCGCTGCCAACAGGAAGTTCGTGGTTGGCTATGCTGACGTTACGGTGAGAAACAAGACTAGTGGTGTCTCCTTAAATTGGGCTACGGTTGTTCGATTACTACTACAGATCGGTTTTACGTCGTTTCAGTATCCTGCGTTCGACATAGCTAGGCGTATTGGCAACGACATGGACGGCACACTGAGGGTCTTCTCCGACAAGACCAAGGAACATCGTGTGAGCCATATACTCTTACCTAGAGTGTCGGAGGACCGAGATGGGCTCCGATGCAGAGTTCGAGGTGGGAGGGTGACGGCCTCAATGAAAAGACCGGATCGTTGCTATTACGTGAAGAGAGACAATATAATGTCATCAGTACGAATATTACCACGGAATCATGCTCTATCCAATCTGCTTATCATTTAAACTCATCTGTCATCACTGCAATGGAAAATAGGTGGTCCAGCATTGAACAGAGCTAGATAATGATGTATTATATTCTGCCAATTTCCATATATGTTTTCCGATATTCAGCTGAGAATCCACTCGAAATAACCTCTTCCGTAGGTGCGCTGCTCTTCCTGCGCGGAGCCAATACGGCCGTGTTGAGGTTTCCATCGGAAGCCCACGCCAAAGTGTGGGCAGCTGCTGTCGAGATGGTCACAGCTGTACCTCTCCTCGATGAACTTCTCTCGTCCAAAGAAGCTAGGAAGAAGCATTTACAGATATTCAAGATGGTGAGCTGTGAGGGTTTTCATCGCTTCTACCCCTGCGGCCACTCAGAGGCGATTCAATCTACATGAAGAATTAGCCAAGCTAGGCTCAGCCGCTACTACTGCTGACTTGAATTGTGAGACCCTCTTGATGGACGTGTTGGAAGAGGTGAACTTAGTATTCATCTACGCCAGTCCCTCATCTTATGATTTTGGATCTTTAGCCATTCCCGGCAAGAAGGAAGCCTCTTGGATCCCAGAGTGTAATGGATAAGGCATCCCACTCCTCGATGCTGCCTGGTGAGTGGAAATGTCTCGCTACTAAGAGGTGGTGCTTCCAGAAGGTGTGTCGACTGCACAGTCGTCCACGATATTGACGTATAAGTTGCCGGGGGAAGTCCTACCAGGGACGGTTATCATCGGTGGAAGCAATACTGTCACCACTACGGCATCCAGCGGCACCGTACTTGTTCATGATGCTCAGCAGATCGCTTTGAAGAGGGACGTTCTAGGTAGAGAGGTCAGCACTGATTTGAGTGCTGAGTAGGAGAATCGTATCACGGTCATCGTGATATTGTATTGAGTGGAGTCCAGAAGGCGGAATTTCCGCCGCGGAAAACAACGATAATTTGCCTAGTAAATGTTAACTGAGCTTTGAACTTCCCAGCATTACGCCGAATAGTCTGTGTTGCCTTTGAGGAATGGCAAGCCGTGGTGGCGACAAGGAGATTATGAACTGCTGAAGGTACTGTTATCGAAGGTCCGAAGGAAGAGTGGCATCCTGGAGACTATGGTGGCGAAATCTTCACTCAGGCTAAGCCGGTGAGTGTCTTGTTGGCAAAGAGTTCACTGTCCTCGCCTATTCTGCTTCCTCTTGACCCGTTTCAGTTGGCTGAGGCGATCCCACCAAAAGGAAACATCCTGGTAACTCATCATATTCAGGACGACTCTGGTGGACAAGAATGATAGCAGAGCTGCTGTTCTGAAGGCTTTCGAATAGTTCATGTTAGTGGACTTTGTTACTTGTCGATCTTCATGCTAATGATCATGCTGCTGATGTTACTTTCTCCATCAAGTACTGTTGGCGTTGTTCAATTCGCCTGGTGTTGCCATCTGAGGCATTCCTCTGTTATATGAGAGTCCAACTGGTCTCGCAGCGCTCGAATGGTTATGAGGTTGATTAGATCGGATCTCTCTGATAGAAGTGCTCTGAAAGCAGTGGCTCGTGACAACGACTTGGTAGTTCCTCGCGATCCATAATGAATGTTGAACACAGCTGAGTCTTGCGTTTGTCTAGGAACTTTCTAGTAGAAAGTCAAAGGCGCGAGCAGCACGAGTTTTGACCATCGGCGATAGTCCATCGCTGGCCAGTCACCAGTGGTCACAACTTGTGGAAAACTGGTACTCCTTAAAAAATTGAAATTCAGATGACTCTTAGGACAATTATCGTAGATCGTGTTAACAGAACTATCGCCGAGGCTTGCAACTCACTATACAGAGCAAGATATACTAGGATGAACTCAATACATTATGGAATGATTCAGCGAGAGTGCTCTCCTCACTCTGCTGAATGAGCGCTCGCAACTTGCCGTACCACTTCCAACAACTAATACTTTCCCAATAATTTGAGGACGGTGCTGAACATAACTCTATAGTTCCTGTGAAGCTGTACAGCTTCATCACCGAAGACCATCGAGAACGGATCAAAACCCTTGCCACGAGCGCGCGCCACTGTGAATGCAAATCGCGCGATTCCTCGACGGACATGCCTACGAACGTGCATACGTCGTTAGAATGAAAATCGGGGTTCCAGGACGGAGAAGGACTGAAGGCACGATGCAGATCTACAACTGGCTGCGCTCGTGCCAGCCTGTAGCCTCAGCAGCTGAGGCTCAACCCGATAAACCGAGAACAAGCCTTGTTTGTGCTCGCTTACGAGGTTGCACGCGCGAAAGTTCTTGATGGCATCGACGACCTCGATTCGAGGTCTCGGCAACTCTCCCCCCTCGTGTTTTGCACAGTGTGCAATGCACACCCCCGGTCCTTTCATTTTCTAGAAACATCTTTGTAGCGTGCTATTCTGTCGCCTAGTTCCAAAGCAATTTGGCATGAAACACGGCCTCGATGGCTTGCCGAGTTACGGGATTCAATGCGTGGCCGGCGCACTTCACAAATAGCCTAGTACAGTTGACACTCGGAACGAGTTTTCCAAGCCGATATAGACGACTCACCTCGTTCGGGAATCGTAAGAACAACCGACTCACTAGGCGAATATCGACCATCCTTTGTCGCCGACAACGCGCTCGGACTGAGTCTTCATCTTGAGCCCCGAGTTCAGCGCCTGGTTAGGGTAGTACAATGACGGCAAGTCGGAAGGCTTCCAGACCATCGAGGAAACTAGTACTCATAACAGGGAACAGTAGTAGAAACTGAGTACCTAGGTAAAGCAGATGCGCCCGCGAAACGGTAAATTATAAGCTTCATTACGCACAAAAATATAAGTTTGTAAGGCTGTGACAAGACCATTGTCGAGCTGTATTCACGGTAATCTTCACACCCGCCGCACAACTCATTCGAGGAGACAAAAAATGTCGCTATTCGAACAGGTTTTTGAGCTTCTCATAGCACGACTTCAGAGTCACCTCTGACTCTCTCTTCAAAGACCTGGCAGGTCTTATGGTCAGACCTGCAGCGCTTAAGGTCCTCAACAGCATTTCCTGGTCACGTATCCGGAAATGACACCGTTAATCCGGAATAGAATGCTTCCAATATAGTATATTGGATAAACTAAGAATCCATGAAATGTCCGGTTGCCCGCTTTCGGATCTTCTCGGTGATCGAGACGGATGACCGAATGCATAGCTGATATAATTGTAACACTCAGGACATATGAGGCGTGCCTTGAGGAAATAACAATGCCATAACGATTCCGATTTGGAATCGCGAAACCATCTCGCGATTCCAAATAAAAAAATCGCCAGCTTGGCGCCGCCAGGCTGGCGGCGCCAAACAGCCGTTACAACATCAAATGTTTTACAGAATAATTTACCGGGTAAATGTTACCCGTAGTAACTGCAACCGCAACATCTGGTGTTGAACACCAACTGTTGGCACTGGCAGTGCCGATTGACCTGTTGCCAACAGGCTCTTGATACCAAGTTGGCACTGAATCCTTGATTGTGATATATTTTCGACGTTGTAGGACATAACGCAAACAAGATCTGAAAATGAAGTTGGTCAACTCTGAGTAGAATTGACGAACTTGATCTTCAGATGTCATTCTTGATCCTGGTGAAAATCTTATCAACAACAGTGCTCTGTGAACTGCACACGCCACCTTATCGTGGGATTAACTGCTGATGCATCTTGGTCAAATAGCCACAGCTGTCATCGGAATGTAGAGACGAATCGAGTTTAGGGAAGGTAGCGTGTGACAGAACTTCAAATTCTGATGTTAAACCTGAAGCTTTCGAGATAATTCGTGGAGTAAAGCGCTTTCTAGAGTAGCTCGTGAGAGCCTTTTATGCGGTCCGAGACATTTCTCTTGACATATCTTTGATGATCACTACCGATACTCTTGATAGCAAGATGGTAGCCTGCGTACGACTATCTGATAACCTGATTCACACATGTCGGAATCCGAAGTTATAGCTACGCTACAACATCTCCATCTTTATTGTACATTATCATCGTTGAACTGTGCCACCCGTAAGAGTCTCACCGTAAGACTCTTACGGTGAGACATTCTCATCGGACTCATCTAACTCGACGAGATAAACCACGAACATCATATAACTTTCAACACGGCACTATTCGAATATTCAACAATAGCTGCCTCTGAGCTACTCGAGAAAGTTTGCCGGTGTCGCAACCGAGCGCTATGTCCATCGACCACTCACTCTAGAGGCTCTCGACTCCAGCCCCGGAGCCGTTGATACTAGCGCTCACTTCCACATCGGAGTGCCAAATTATGGTAGAGTTTCTCCACCGAAAAATATGCAGACACGTCTTGTCTGCAGACTAAGTCTGCCAGACTTTAAGGATGACTTTTTCTGGACTATAACTTTGGCTGAGGCACTGTCTCCGGGTTGAACACGCTGTGCGCAACATGTAGCCTGGTGCGCTATTAGCGCAGCGCTAAGTATTTCATCGACAACCGCTTGCAGCTGGCCACCAGTAAACTTGGAAATATATTCTAGAATCCCCAGGGATCTCGTAGAACGAGTTTTGAGAAATGCAAACTCAACAAAAGGCTAAAATACTACGCGTACTGTACACGTTAGCGGAGCGAGATCTGTTCTCCATCTGAGCATCTGCTATTCAATAGAAGCTGCGTAGCTTAACTAGCTTGGATTATGCGACTTCTCGCATCACTCAGCTATTGTGTTGTTCGTTCAGCTCAGTTGTGCGGCTTGTTGCCCATATTTCTTGCCGCTTGGCTCGTCTGGATGCCACTTTTGCTACGCAGAATTCAACTTCTTGCACTAGAATGTGAAAAAAAACGTCAGATAGTTCACCAGTGTGTGGCACCACTACCCATGAAATGCCTCATACGAGTTTGGATCACTTAAGTGATGATGTAAAAGACAATGCTCATCAATGCCTCACAGAATATTATTCCACGTCACGCACGCAGTACGAATAAGAAACGGCAATGCGTCGGCGACGAAGCACCACTCGCCAGTCCATAAGTACCACATGGCAAAGCATAGCCCGCCGAGGATGCAAGCACGCCGCTTAGCATAGCATAGCGGCACGCCAAGCGCTCAATAGCAGGTATCAGAAAATGAGAAATAATGTTTCGGGGGTGACTGAAGAGTTGTGGACCCCTCACTCGACCCCTCAATCATTCCTTGAGCTTGGCGACACCTATTTTTGCTCCAGCCCAGTCGAAGGAGTAGTAGTGACCGACAAATGCTGGTAACCCCAAAATCCACCCTTCACCGAAATGAATGGCCAAGATACATACGTCAGGCTCGGGTGAAACGATGTATGCTCCAGGAGATATCGCAAGCGTAACATCGGCTTTATCGGGTATTCCTCTCACAGTGAACCTCATCGACGGCAAGAAGCTGACATCTTTGCAGTCGACGCCGAAGACGTCGTCTTTTTCCATAACCTCGACCTTCTTCTTGCCGGCGGTACTAAGGAGAACTATGACCTCTTCACGAAGCCGCTTAGGGATACTTATCAAGGAGGAACCTGTGTCAAAGATAACTGGCCCGGGCTCATCTTGCCACTTAGTTCCCACGGCGAATGCTTGTAGTTCGCCGGTGTGCTGCTGTTTGTCTGCAGTACCAATATACTCCAGGGGACCGTCATATTTACTAGCATCTTCACCACCAATAATAAGTTCGCCTGATGGAGAGTTCCCAGACGATAAGTAAACCGCAAAAACAGGACTATCGACGATTTCCGATGACAGTAGCTGATCAACAAAGCGCGGAAACGGCGGGTTGGTGTCCTGTGGTCCGAGGCCGACAGCTGCCCAGGCAGAGTGTGAGGCACCCTTCACCACTCCGAAGTCTATGTCCTCGACAGTCGCATCGTTGAAGTGGAAGTGCCCAGAAAATGGGAATATGGTCAGCGAAGATTTGTCAATAAAACTAATCTTCTTGGCGGCATTCAACTCATAAGACTTTGGTTTGCAGTCATAACACTTGTAGAAAAGTTCATCGCACCGGCCGCCGGGGAGGCGTTCGTACCAAGTTTTCCATATCAACTGAGTGTACGGGCTCCCAGTATCGACGATGGCGTAAAGATCTTGAGTGTCGACCTTCAAGGGAGCCACGATGAATCTCCAAGGCGCCGAGCGTTTAGTTTGTTGTACGGATATCTTCAACCTGATCACCTTACCACCACAAAAGTTCCCAAGGAGCACTCCGATACAGACAAGGGAGAAATGAAAGAGACTCATGGCTGTTCAAATGGAGGTAAATACTTCAAAACTGATGCCAAGTCGGCCAAGTAACAGTCATCGTACTGAAGAAAGTCTAAGCGTTGGACTGTTGAGAAAATTCCGCAGATTCTATTCCACTCGAATTAGAGGCTACGCTGAATCTAAGCTTAATAAAGGATGACAATTGCACTTTACGTCAGTACAGTGTGGCTATTTAAGACAGGGCCCAAAGTGGAGTAGCGACTTCTGGCGCGGTAACAGTAGGCAGCGGCTTCGCAAATCGTACGCTCTGACCTTGGCTCGCGATGGCTTGCGTGCATCTCTCGTGCCCCGAGATGTTTACTCGGATAGGGCTACGTGGCTAGCCCTATTTCGGGTGCTCTAGGTTTCCTGAGGTTGGTGGACTCTAGGTCCCCAACATAATTGTTCCACTGAACCGCCCATCCCTCCCCGGGGTGAGCTTTCATGGTGCTTCGTCTTTTTTGGGCGTTCACACCCTCAATCTACAGAGCTCGTTTGCTGGCTCCTCACGCGGTCACTAACTTCCATGTCTACGTGGATGAAGGCCTTCGGTTCGGTGGAGCGTCCTGGCTCCATCGTAGAATCGGTATGGATGAAGGTCTTCGGACTTCCAGCAGACGAAGTGAGTCTGCTCCTGAGTCCGGAGTCGTAGTATTTCGCATCTCCACTCGAACTGAGTCTCAGCTACTGGGCCTATCGAACTTGGCATCCGATATCCAACACTCACTTGTCGAGTATCGTATATGACATATACATTTCTCGACAAAAACGGTTGTTTTACTGTGTAGCATGAAACATCCAGTGTCGCCGAGCTCGGACACGGGTCGGCATTGCCGACTCGGCAGCACCCTCAGCGTTGCTACTGAGTCATAGTGTCTCCTGGAGCTTGCTCTGAGCCCAAATGAAACACAATGTCACTTGCGTTCTTCGAAACGCGCCATCGCTGTAGCTCACAGAATGACCACATGTGGCGACCACAAGTTCATGACATGAACTTCATGTGCGAAATGCCATCGAGCCTGATTCAACCGGGCTAACTCATATTCGCACCAAACGCGCTTTACTCACGTCTCAAACCGAGCGAAACAGCGTATCCTCAGTATAACTCTTCCTGATTCACCTATCATTATTCCTGGCATGAAGGGCATGCACTTCAAATAGCCAATGTGACAGCTGTCATCGGCATGTAGGAACGAGTGAGTTTAGGGAGGGGCGCATGTGTCGGAACCCAAATTTGGATGTTTCAAAAAAATGCCATGCGAACCCCATGAGATGAAGCGTTTCTCTCTCGTGAGACCCTTGTGCGCGATCCGGGACCTTTCTGTGGAAGGCTTCCTCCTACATTATGTAGGTTACATATGACATCCTGGATAACCAATACCAATACTGCCGATAGGCAGATGAAGGAATCTGTACTACAGATTCTGTAGTACTATCCAATATCCGAATTCTCACATGCCTGAGGAATCCTCAATGAGGATACTGAAAACCCGACATCATAGCTAAGCTATATCTCGCACCATAGCCGTGCACCAGAGCTATGCCATGCATCCGTCTGACATTGTCATCAGACTCATCAAACTCAACGAGATAAACCACGAACGTCATATACCTTTTGACATGGTGGGATTCAAATATTCAACAACAGCTGTCTTTGAGCTACTGGAGAAAGTTTGCCGATGTCGCTGCCGAGCGCTCTTTTCATCGACCAACCGACTTAGAGGCTCTCGATTCCAGCAAGCCCCAGCGTCATTGACACTAGCGCTCACGTCCACATCGTACCTGCCAAACTCTAAAAGGTTTCTCCACCGAAAGTTCTGCAGACTACGGATGACCCAGACGATACGATAGCCTCCCCCCAGAGATCGCTGCGGACTCTATGAAAATATTGAGAGGACCGTATGAAGATGGATGTTACATCCAGGATGTGAGTTGCATTGAAGATGGATCACTGAGTAGTAATCCAGTTCATGCGCCTCAGTCGTTTACTGCTGCGGCGATGGGTAGTTCTGGGAGGAATGTTAGTTGATCGTCAGGGTGATCGCTCACGTGTTGGGTCCTTCAGTGAGGCAAATGGGCTGCTTCGAAGAGTGGTAGTCTTAATACACCCCAACAGGACCATTTTGCCCCACACGGAAGAGGAGGTAGTAGTAGTAGTAGTAGTAGTAGTTGTTGTTGTTCACTGAAATAAGTCGTGACGCTTATGCGTATTACGACTGATAAAGTTAGGTTAACCCAACCTAGTCTCCTTCACAAAAAGTCCCAGAGCTCTCCCTCTTTCCAAGGTAGCCAGAAAGAAGGAGAGAAACCTAATTTTCAGGGCCCCAGTAACCGGATCAATACGTTCAGGACCAAAGTACTTGAACCTCAATGACCTATACTTCCTGCAGTATACCAGGGCATGCCTAGTATCGTCCAGGAAATCACCAAGGTGACCACAAACGTCGCAGTATGGAGAAACCGTAGAGTCCGACCTAGAGTAGTATCTTCTAGTGCGTAGCAAACCAAAAACCGCTTTCAAAGCATAAACCCCGTTCTTCATTTTTGCCAACTTCCTGAGCGTATCGACATGATGCCACGAACCCACAAAGTCTGTTATGGTGGTGTTGGTCAAGTACTTCAACCTAACCATAGGCTTCCTTGCATCTCCAAGCTTGGAGAGATAGGTTGTCGTAGTCCTCGCTGAGACTTCTACTTCCATAAATATACCGACTCGCGTAGCACTTTTCGCCAAAGCATCCACCCATTCATTATAGAGAGCACCATTGTGAGCCTTTACCCACGTGAACATAGCTCCAGTTTTCCGGATCAGACCACGAATTTCCTCAAGCAGAGTCGTGGATCTATCTCCTCTGATCGACATCAGAGCACTCTTCGAATCAACGGCAACCATACATCTTCTATTAATAGTCTTCAGGGCCATCTTTATCGCGACTAGCTCAGCTTGCTGCACTGTGGCATGACTCGGCAAACAGTATAGACCAGCTTCACCAGAATGGTGGGAGATAAAGGCCGCACCTACTCTATGAGAACCATCATCCATAGGAAATTTGCTACCATCCGTGTATACAATTGGTATAGTTCCATCATCGAGTGGCGGAGAACCATCTCCTTCTAGCTTGAAGCAACATGCGTCAATACCATCAGAAGAATGTGAAAGGGATTCCGGTATACCTTGGAGAGCAGTCACACCAAAACACCTTTTAAGAAGCTTAGTTTCAGACGCACCCCATTCCCTGCTATGGAACTTCCGTGCAAGGTATCTATTAGTGAGCGTCGAGACCAAGTCCTTGTCAGAATTCACCACCAACTCTGCCAATTTAGGGTTGGCACTTGACGGTATTCCAAGTATGACTTTATTAACACCACCATTCAGAGAGGTCAGCTGCTTCCTAACAGTGTAGCGGGAGAGAGCCCCTCCCCATGCCTCCAACCCATAAGCTAATACGGAGATAATATGATGGCGAATGATCTCCCTAGCTCGCATCTTAAGACAAGGCTGTCCGTGCTTCGCTATGAGCTTCCTGAGGGTAACCAACTGTGCCTTGGCCTTCATAACTGAGTGTCGAAAATGCGGGAGCCAATCCCCACTGAGTCGCAGCCTGAAGCCCAAATACCCAATCTCCTTCTTGACCGGAATATCTTCAAAGACTGGAGGAAGATCCTCAGAGAGGATTATACTCTTTTCCCTGCTCATTCCGATACCAAGACTTGGCAAAATCAAACCAAGTTCTTCAAGACATCGCTTTATTTTAGTGCCAACCTCTACAGAATCGGACCCACCACAGATGAATATGGTATCATCAGCATAAGCCACCACGAAGGCATGAGGAGCAAGAGCCCTTATGATCCGTGTATGAACATAACGATATAAAAGGGGGGGAAAGTATCCCACCTTGTGGAGTGCCCGCGGACTGCTGCGTCATCCGAGTACTGTCCTTAAAACTAACCAGACGACCATAGAGATATTGACCAACCACATTGATAATGGGAGCCGGCAGAAACTCCGCCAAAACTTCACAAATCTTCTCATGCTTTACATCATTGAAGGCAGATTTCATATCAATGGCCACACATGATACATGCCGCTTCCCTTCGGCCAGATCCTTGATGTGCTTAGTGACCGACCCCACTGCGGTGGCTGTGGAGCGACCTCTAGTGTAACCATGAGAACAGAAGAGCTCCCTATATAGCGGAGAGTCCTCAGGAATCTCACTCTCATACGAGAGGATCAGGTCCGTAAAAATTCTCTCTATGCACTTACCCAAGCAAGAGGAGAGAGAGATGGGCCGAAAAGCCTGGGGACCATGGACCTCCGGTTTTCCCTTATCGAGAAAAACCATCTTAACCCTCTTCGCAGGCAATGGATAGTGACCACTGCGTACCATACTCTAGGGTGGCACGAATTATTTCCTTCCAATTATTTCCTTCCATTTCCTTCGGAAAGATGAAGGAAATTTAGAAAATTCTTTCGAGTAGGAAAAATAGGGAAAATAGGAAAAATAAGGAAAAATAAGGAAAAATTAAGAAAAAATTTCCGAAACGACCATAAATGGGCACAAAAATTTCAAAAAACAAGAGGTCTCACACCAGGTGATGTCTGGGATATATGTCTGTGTTAGTGGTCTCGGTTAGACTGAGTATAGGGAAACCTTGTTCGCCAGGATGATCAAAGACTTTTGTGGCGAGCGAGAATTCGATTCGCACTTCCACTGGAAGGCCCAGCTTGCGGTTTCGGACTGAAACTTTCAGTTATTGCATGGCACTTCGCAATGCGAAGTTCGCATCATGACCACTTTATTCGAGCGGGAAATGCTGCATTCCCACAAGCATAAGACGGTGGAGTATCAACGTAGCATACTCCAAAACAAACGGATAGGTATCCCTGACGCAACATATAGGCAGTGGTTCTGGAACCGGCCGCAGGCTCACACTGTGAGCCTCACAGTATGAGCCTCATACTATGAGGCACTGAACTAGTCAGTAATCACCGTTACCAATAGACTGACGTTTGCACCTCATTTCGCATAGTAAGTCAATGTTCTCGTCTGCGTTTCTTGCTGAAAACGATCGAACCTGTGAAAACGATCGAAACTGGAAGGCTTTGTTGGTTAGTAACCAATGGTTACTAGAAGACAATGTTGGCCGCCCCATGGACTGCCGTGACTAAAGTTTTCGACAGCCCTCTTATTCGAGAAAAAATGAAACGAAGGAATGCAACCATCAAAGGATCAATCAAGTAATGCTCAGCGACAGCTCTAATCACCGAGCGTTGCGTTACAAACTTTCCTATAGAAAGCGCGCTTGTTCAGCCGCTGAACTTTAGCGCACGCCTTGGTCTCTTCCAGTGTGGATATCTCCCATATCTTGTAACGCTTTCAATTTCAATCAAGCTATGAAACATGATTAGTAAGTGCAAATCATCTGCTAGCAGCCCGACCGAATAAGACAGTGACGCTCTGGCCTGCCAAACCTGGCAGGCCAAGCGAAAAAATTTATTTTTCCATATTTTTCCGTATTTTTCCTTCATTTTTCCTTCAAATTTCAAATTTCCTTCCGAAGGAAATAATTTTTCTATTTTTCCTTCCGCGTGCCACCCTACCATACTCCTACAAACCAATGCGAGACCCTCACAGAGTGGGTCAAAACCGCCCCATAGGTCCGAATAAATTACCGAATCTGGCCCCGGTGCAGTATCACCCTTCCTACGGATCTTATTAATAGAGGCTCTTACCTTCTCCCGTGTGATGAGGCCAAGGACACCATCTACCTGCGCCTCTGTCGACGGTAAGCAAACTGGACCAGTGTCAACTTGCTGCGGAGCATAGTGGATAAAACACTCCGGACCGGCCTGACGACTAAAACCCTGGGTACCCTTGGATCTCTTACCTAGAAGCTTGGAGGGAGAAGTCTCCTCCGCCAGGTCCTTGTAAAATAATTCCGACTTCCTTCTTCTGATCTCCTCATTATATGAACGCCGGATCTCCCGGTATGCAGACCAATCATCCTTCAACTGAGACGAGTATGCCTTACGCTGTGCCTTACGTACTTTCCGCCGAAGAAGGTCCAAGGAGTGACCCCACCACCTAGGTGATCCCGCGTTAACCCGTAGAGAACGATCCGTTTGAAAGGTCGACTTGGTCCTCGTAATTCTTGTCACAAGGTCCTCGAAGGAATGATCAATGCTCAGAGGATCCATGTCATCAGTCACCAAAGACGCCCATTCTGAGATCGTACGTTGAATCTCACCCCGGTAAGCATCCTTGTCCTTAATCACTCCCGGAAAGGAGACTCTTTCTTTAATACCCATACCGGTAATTACGATAGTGGCCGTAATCCAGAAATGATCAATGGGCTGGATGTCCGGCCATGAGGTCCAGCCTTCTGTGCACAGAGACCGCGAAGAAAACATAACGTCCACACAGCTACACTGGGCCCGATTTCCAGGCCTAGCAAACGTAGGAGTACCCGGAGAGTTGAGACATACACCACCCCAGGAGACCAGCCAGTCTTCTAACATATAGCCCCTCAAGGTCTTATCCGAGGGAGTACTTGAGTTCTCAAAGCTACCCCATAACGGATTATACGAGTTAGAGTCAGAGCACAGAAACCATTCTTTACAGTTCGTGCGACTCAGCAGATCAGAGAGAGTCCGAACTAGACATGGGCACCCTTGCCCGGCCCCGGCGACCCGATTCGCCCCGGCCCGGCCCCGGAACGAGCCGGGTTGGGCCGGGTCAAAGTCACAAACCCGGCTTCCCCGCCAGTGTTGCCGGGGTCATGCGGGTGAGCGGGCGAAAAATGACCCGCAGCTGTCCGCGGGTCACCCGGAAACCCGGCAGCGCAGATATTTCGAGCCATTCACAGTGATCTTAATTGTACCTAGCGCGGAATTTCGCGTTAATTTCCAGGGATCATCGCGATACCTGAAAATTAACGCGCACTTCGCGTTCCAATCGCGTGACTTGGCACATTGGAATATTGTTTCATCCATGCAGCGCTGATATTGGTTCTTGACAAGAAGTTCTTACCGTCGATCATGTTCGAATGGCCTTCCTGCCTGGCGATCCGGGCCGGGTTACCCGGCCAACCCGGCGGGCCCGCTAAACCCGGAACATGGGTAAGAAAAGACTGCCGGGTCACCGGGGCCGGGCCGGGGAAGCGGGTTCAAAGGCTGCCGGGCCGGGCCGGGCCGGGCCGGGCGACTAGAAAATCGCCGGGTGCCCACCTCTAGTCCGAACGTAAAGACCAGAATCGATATCTGAAGCCATATACATACATATAACAAATAAACCTCCAATCATAGCACCACACCAGTCTTTCTCAGCGACCACTGGAGTGAAGTCAAGAGACTTCTTAACCAACAACCAGGTTCTGCCTTTAGGGCTACCATGGATCGCATATAGATCCCGCCACTCATCCGAGAAGAAAGATGGAGGTTCACAAATCCCAATTACATCAGGAAACCAATGCTCTAAAAGACTATCATACAATGTTCTAAGTCCTAAATGCGATTTAGCAATGTTACAGTAGCCCACCTTGAGACGGCAGGGACCCAAATCAGCGGCACAGGCATCATTGGCTTGAACCATTGGGCATAACCTCCCTATTCCTACGCATCAGCCTATCTCTGGCAAGTCTCAAGTTGGGACATTTACCCACATCGAACGACCTATGACCATCTTGACCACAATGAATACAGTGAGGGCTGTCAGCTCTTACGCACTCCCCCGCTAGGTGGCCCGTGGAACCGCAAGTTTTGCAAATTGCATCCTTCGTGCAAGCACGATAGTCGTGGCCCTTATCATAGGAGCCACACCTCAGACACATATGTAGGAAAGCCGTCTCAACAGCTCGAACCCTTGAGAAATTGAGGTAGACCGGACCATCTAATATCTTCTTCCTCAAGGCTGCCGGGGCTTTGAGGTAGGCCGTTTTCCCAACAATACGTGTAACTTGGATATCATCCTTGTTAGCACCCAACTTGTTGATGTCCACTAAGTCCTCTACCAATTGTTGACCATTCTCATAGCCATAGTAGTAGTAGTAGCAGTAGTAGTAGTAGTAGTAGTAGTAGTAGTAGTAGTAGTAGTAGTAGCAGTAGTAGTAGGGAAGTAGCGGCCCTAGTAGAAGTAAGGATGGGATCGTTGACGGGCAGGTGAGGCTTAGTTGCCAAAGAATTACGAGGAATGGTGGTAACTGAAGACACCGAGGCGGGGGAGAGCGAGTATCATTGTAGTTATTTCTACTGTGAACTGACTTCAAGGACGTCTCAATGAAGTTAAGACGAAGATGGCTTGATGGTGGCAGTCACTATCAAGGACTCTCGTTCGGGTTAGGGCTCTGGGACTTATGTAGCCCGAGTCTCAATTCAATTGAATTATTTGGATCCCGAATAGAAAACACAGCTGCAAATTCAACCCGAACCGAGCCCTGCAGGTCCTGGTGGTTTATCACAGAGTGCAAGTTGTAGTGGATCATTTCTATATACCAAAATAACGGGAAGCATGGGCATTAGGGCTGCCTCAATAGAGCAATCGCAGAAACACTGCAGAGAGAGACAGCAGCATCCATACATTGTTAAAATGTCTACGACCAGGCCGGTCCCATCGACGTCCTTCGTTTATGGATGCTAATCGTACTTTGGGGCAGATTACAATAAGTGTGAGCCTATGTTCCGCAGCGGAACTTCCGCCGTCGCGAACTTCAACGAAAGAAACTTACGATGGCATAGAAGCCTGCGGATTCCGAGAACGAGAGCGGAACTGAATGTGAGGCTCAGATTCTGAGCCGCGGAATTGCTGCGCGGGTGAGCACTGAGGACCAGCTGAGTCTTTGAATCCTTGGGTGCTGGAGATGGAGCCCGTGTGATGCATGTTTCGGTAGCTGGACACATCCCCCCGGTGAAAAGTGGATCCCACCACGAACGAAAGAGATGGTATGGCCTGCTTACTCTATTGGTTGAGGCCGCCATGGCCTGAAGCTGCTAGCAGATCGACATCAAGCTAAACTACGCCGACGATGGCATTGAACAGTCCAAGCTGGATTTCAAAGTGTGACACATAGGAAAATCGCTCCACAGTAGAAGTTTTCTACTCGCGTGAGAGTCTACTCGATAGCTGAGCTATCGACTGAAACAAGAGGTCAAGCAGCACGCGACGATGTACAGTTTGCGTTAGGGAATCAAAATTCAGATAACACCTTTGGTTTGTGATAGAGGATTTTTGTGTTCCCGATCAGTTCTACCAAAACAGTTTTTTTCCGACGGGAACCGACAGCCTCCACGCCGAAGTCTACCTTATTATCGGTCTGACGAGGCTCACTTCGGTAATCATTGTGTCATGGCCCGCGGTCTCGGTGTGTATAGGCTTTCCAGTCTTCTCAACTGTTGAGACTCAACATGAGTACTACTCTCAGAGACTGAAAGTAGTACTCGTATTGAGATGACTGAAATTCAGTAGATCAGATTATAGGAAATCCTTATCAACCCTTCCAATGGAAAAGCTACAGAAGGGCAAGCTTTTTGTTCTAAGTAAGTTATGAATGAAATACAGCCTCAACACAACGGCACGGTCATTTCAATGGGTATCAGCAAATTGGACAGTGCACTGATTAGTCATGTACATTAAAGATTGGACTCCACTCTAGGACCGGGCCCCCGTCACGGGCTTCTGGAACTTCCAGACTGGAACTGATTTGAAGTTCAAATTTTGAAATTCCTCCGAGAACAAATATATTCCTTTTCATCTTAGGGAGTCTGCCAGGCCGTTCAAACCAATGAAGAAACAATCAAGATAGTATCTCTGACTTGCACCTTCGTGGCTTCTGCAAGCGCCGTCATATCGCTTGAGCTTTTGATATAGCGTGCTATTCTGCCGCCTAGTCCCGTAGAGTTTGGCATGAAACACGGCCTCGATGGCTTGGCGAGTTACGGGATTCAATGCGTGGCCGGCGCACTTCACAAATAGCCTAGCACAGTTGACACTCGGAACGAGTTTTCCAAGCCGATATAGATGCCTCACCTCGATTGGGAATCGTAAGAACAACCGACTTACTAGGCGAACATCGACCATCCTTTGTCGCCGACAACGCGCTCGGACTGAGTCTTCATCTTGAGCCCCGAGTTCAGGGCCTGGTTAGGGTAGTACAATGACGGCAAGTCGGAAGGCTTCAAGGCCATCGAGGAAACTACTACTCAAAGCAGATACGCCCGCGAAACGGAAAACTATAAACTTTATAACGCACAAAGATATAAGTCTGTGAGGCTGTAACAAGACCATTGTCGGGTAGCATTCACGGTAATCTTCACACCCGCCGCACAACTCATTCGTGAGGAGACAAAAAATGTCGCTATTCGAACAGGTTTTTGAGCTTCTCATAGCACGACTTCAGAGTCGCCTCTGACTTTGTCTTCAAATGCCTGGCAAGTCTTATGGTCAGACCTGCAGCGCTTGAGGTCCTCAACAGTATTTCCTGGCCACGTATCCGAATAGGACACCGATAATCCGGAATAGAACGCTTCCAATATAGTATATTGGATAACCTAAGAGTCACTGAAATGTCCGGTTGCCCGCTTTCGGATCTTTTCGGTGATCGAGACGGATGACCAAATGCATAGCTGATATAATTGTAATACTCAGGACATATGAGGCGTGGCTACGTGACTACCCGTAGTAACTGTAACCGCAACACCTGGTGTTGAACACCAACTGTTGGCACTGGCAGTGCCGATTGGCCTGTTGCCAACAGGCTGTTGGTACCAAGTTGGCACTGAATTCTTGATTGTAATATATTTTCGAAGTTGTAAAACATAGCGCAAACAAGATTTGAGAATGAAGTTAGTCAACTCTGGAGCAGAATTGACGTGCTTGAGCTTCACATGCCATGCTTGATCCTGGTAAAAATCTCATCAATAACAGTGCTCCATGAACTGCACACGCCAGTGGCGTGTGCAGTTCATGGACGTTAAATAAGAGGTGGCAATAAGGTGGCGTGACGCCACCTCAACGTGGGATTAACTGGTGTTGTATCTTGATCTAATAGCCACAGCTGTCATCGGCATGTAGAGACGAATCGAGCTTGGGGAAGGTAGCATGTGACAGAACTTCAAATTCCGAATCGGAATTTCCGATGTTAAACATGAAGCTTTCGAGATAATGCGTGGAGTGAAGCGCTCCCTAGCTCGTGAGAGCCCTTTATGCGGTCCGAGACATTTCTCTTGACATATTTTTGATGATCACTACCGATAACACGATAGCACTCCTGATAGCAAGATGGAAGCCTATGTACGACTAGTGTGGTGTCGGAAAAGGGGTCCCAAAACGGCGGAAAGTTTCAGAGAAAACTTTCCGGGAATTTTTCCGAAAGTTTCGGAAAGTTTCGCCATTGGCGGAGAAGGGATACTCGCGTAATTAAGAGCAAATGCGTTGACACAATTCATTCTTGCAAGCCTCCGTGGAGATCATATTGCATTTGAGAACTTCCTGTTTGCTAAATCAACTACTACGAACTTTGCCGCGGATGGTGTTGGTCATATATGCGAGTGGAATATCAACTCAACACGGAAGATATCCGTATTATGTAGGAGGATAGGAAGAGAATAGTTTTGGATGTATTCGCAGAAGAATAACAGCTTAGCTTAGTAGTGGGACAGCTGAATAATGGGAGAGCGCAAATGGGACAGCCAATTGTGTTGAATACTGGCGACTACTGATAACGAACATTCATATATTGGCGACTGCCAACAGTAACTCGTTCGATTAATCCTTCATGCTGCATCATGACGCCAGTGACGCCGCGCTGCACATGACGGGACTCTACATCATCGTATTCCATACCCAGCTTAGACTTGGCGGACTACTCCATTTGGAATCAGTAGACTTCCTCTGGTCCAGAGGCACTTTCCAGAGGCTCTGGAAAGGCCTGTGGGAGCTTCCATTCAAACTTTTATTAGAAAGTCTCTACATTGTAGAAGTTGGCATAGCTCAGTGTAGAATATACATTGAGCGGCTCAATTGTAGCCGATCATCAGCTGACAATGGCAATGTCATTGCCACTCCATGTTGGATCAGAGCCCCTGACTGTGTACTCGCCCAAACGAGTAGCCTCTTGCACTCTTACACTCACTCACTCATCCCTTATTTTATTGGTAATGAACGCACATCAAGTTTGCTCTACCTTGCCCTTAAACACAATCCTGTTGAATTATGAGCGGTATAGTCGAGTCAGAGTTGGATTCCGACCAAGAACGTGAATCGGCCAAGGATTGGCCACTAAATGGTGCATCATCCGAGAAGTTCTTGAACAATGTGGTCACGACCATCAACAACGACCGTGATGTTTAACAGAGCAAAAATTCACTTTCTGAGGCTGAACTCAGGAAGCTACGGCAACCAACAACAGCCACTCTCACTATTCTTGGCGTTGGGACATTCGGCTTGTACGGTGATGTGACTGGACTAATTCTAATGTCGCCCAAGGGGAAACTCTTGACACTAGACGTCAAGACCTGGCTCAAGGAATGGGCGTTTGCTAAAGAACAGTGGCCAGAGCCATTATTGACGCGCATACTTCATCGTGTGTCCTTGGCGAAGCTGTCCTGTCCTCTTAGAATTGCTATACTGATCGCCGTTCTCTCCAAGACACAAGCACAGCATGTTTTGGAGATTTGCCTGGCCAGCATATCCCGGTTGACGGCTTGGACTACCATAGATATATCTCTCACAGACTGGACTGATGCCAAGAAGGCCGGTATGAAGCTCAGCCTTGAGCACTGGTCGCAAGATTGTGCCGATGTTTTCAGTCTGATACTCAACTCTCTCGAGTCCGAGTTCATCCCAGCAGACAGCTCTACATATGTCTCCCACTGGGTGAATTCAGACGTCTACAAGTTCCACTGCTGGTCATCATTCTGTGCCACAGAGCGGCGCCTCTTCTCTGAGTCGGTCAAGAATCAACCGGAAGCACTGAGCTGGAAACTACGTCGCGATCGACTACTAGCATCTCTCCATAAGTTCCCGGCTTTTGCAAAAGATCTCTCTTTGCGATCCACTCCCTTTCCATCCCTCAAGCTGCCCGAAGATATCCGAGCTTTCGATAACATCTTACAAACATGGAGGCTTACACATCATCCTCTCACATTGGACCAAGTATTGGGCAAACCAACCGCATCCAGCTCAAGCTCACAAAATAACACCTATCATAAATCGAAGCGCGACTCCTCTACTTCGACATCAACCACAACATGCCAATCCTTCGCGAAGACCGGTCGTTACAAGTACGCGTGGAATGTAGATTCGTACATCAAAGTAATAAGGCCGGCGATTCTCCGGAAGCTCCAACCCTGAGCAGATCCGAGTCGGATCCGAGTCGGATCCGACTCGGGTCTGCTCAGGATTATCCGACACTTCGCAGTCCAAAAGCCCATATGGACATACCGGAGCTTTTACTTCTCCTGGAGAGTCACTCCGTCGGTACTGCAAAGAAGAAGGTCACTTCAAGCGGGACTGTCCCAAGCTGAAGAGACTAGACTCGGCGACATGACCGACAGAGAGAGGTACCGGAATTGCTGACTCGAAGACTCCTCCTGTGAAGACGTCTGAGACGAACTATACTATCTCTTCTACTGGTTCTGC